TTTGGACTACCCCACCTCTTACCAGAACCATATTATAAGATTGTATGGCAGCTATCATTACCCCCCAGAGCCCTAATTTTTATAAATATATTATTAAATAATCTACTTTTTAGACGATGAAAACCCCCATCCAACGTAGGAGTTTTAGACGAAATGTCTCAATAACAAAAAATAGCATTTCATTATAGTATTACGGGAAGTATAGCAACGTAATAATTTTTTTTTCATCAAACGCATACGTTTTTTGAAAAACTTGTTTTTTTTTCTAGACAATCAAACTCTTAAAAATGGATACAAAATACATTTTGTTTATTTGAAACTTAAAAACAACAAAATAATACTGATAAACACAATTTTACCAGTCAACAAACACTGTTATGCTCAAAGTAAAAACCTACTTTTTGGCTTGGTCATTAGGGAAAGATTTACATAAGTAGGTCAGGGGGGATTTTGCTGTTCTTAGAAGAATATTGTAAATACGCCGCTATTTTAAAACAACAATTCGAATATCTAATTATTTCATTTTAATAAAAAATATATTTTCTATTCAATACGGATAGTTTTTTTTTTTTTTTGACACGAATTGTTGTTCACCTGGTTGGGTCGATTTTAATTTTTAAAGGCATTGCGTTTCCATTTCAAGCTAAAACCGTGTCACGTAAGTCAACATTGAAAATAACGCTGTGCTGAACACTGTTTCTGTACTAGAAACTCGGGAAAATAATTTATTGATTCTACAATGGCACTTTATTTTACAAAAGATAATCTTTTATACAAAAAAATAAAAACTACTGTATTAGAAACTTAAACTACTAAAAAACATACACCAACGAGGTAGGAATGGCTAGTAACTTCAAACGAGTAAAGGATGGCCAAATACCTAGGTCCTAAAATCTAAATTATAACAACATAATATTGATGGTCCGATAAGCTAGTAAAACTATGATTTTATAGTCCTGTAATATAATGTAATTTGGTTGTAATATTAGTCTGCATTTGGAAGAGGCGATTGTTGTTCATTAAGCATTGACACGAATGCCAGAACACGTTGTTTGCTCAATCATGAATATTCTTTTTACCCTCCGACTAATTCCTTCCGCCGGTTCACATTCGAGATACTCGGCTATAATATATTTAACAAGGCGAGTTTTAAAAAATTAATATATTTAGTCTTTGTGTTTTTTTTTTTTTTTTTTATAAAACTGAAATAATCGGTTGAACGTGGATATTTTTTTCTTTTTGAAAAACAATGGCTGTTAAACGGTGATTTATTTGTTTGAAGAAGTTCAATAACTCAAACCGCCGTATAGGTACAAAGTAGATGTACTTACAGTGTAATACCTACACGATGGTTGTTCCTAACGAAAAATATGTTTATTCGTATTAAGTACACACATCGTGTACCTATTATTTGCGTTGAATATTTAAAAAAAAAACCATTCGACACCTGCATCAAATCGGTCGCGGCAAGCAAAGACTGTAATGTTAGTTTTTCGGCGTGTTTGGTGTATTTTCACCTTTTGGATAGAAAAATATATTGCTTAAATAAAACGAAACTTATCGACTACCGTTATGAGATTAAGGTCACGTAGGCTTAATACAATTTCTGGCTTTGATAAAATGGAGCGGATTACATATATTTTCAGATTTTTCCAGACAATAATTATTATAAAAATATATCTCGACCAATTTGAGTATAAAAAAAAAATGATGTAACTATATAATATTATATGAGTGATATTTATATTTGGAAAATGTAATGCAATTTAGTTAAGCCAATTAACAATTTAAACTTGGATTTGACTTAAACGTTAAGAGAAACCATTACCTACCCGTAATTTATAATGTAAAACAGTGGTTGTGCAAATCAATACTGTAGAAGCTGTGATAGTACTAGAATCACCAAATTTTCATAGAAAATAATTATAAGATACTAGGAGAATATTATCTGTGCTTAAGGGGATTGCGTGCGGTATATTTTTAAGGAGTTTTGTATAGGCAATATTTAAGAAAAAAAGAATTTTTAATAAATTTCGACCATGTCAATTAATTTATATAAGCTTCAAGGTATTGTTTTTAATTTAAATAATGTTTTCTATGAGTAAAAGCCATTTTGGTTATTTTAGATAAAATAACCAGATAAAATGTCGACTAATAGGATGGTTCAAGAGATTCCAGTTTTTTGGCTACTTTACTATGATAACTAGGAAGTCGATTTTTGTCAGTTTCATGTAATTAAATAAATTAAATTTGCAATTTTTTCAATATTAAAACCCAATTTTTTACATAAAAAATCAAAAATCTGCTTCCTACATAACCTAGTAGTTGCCAAAAAACTCTTATATAAATATTTCCAGAATTGAAATCGTACGGCGTACCGTCCTAAGCAGTTGACATTTTTCTGACTACTTGGTCTAAAACATACTACATGCAATCCCCTTAAGGACAAATGATGTTTGCACCTAATTATTGTGAAAATTTGTCGGTTTCCTAGACACTTTGGGTTTTGATTCGCGCAAATCTAAATATATTTTGATGGCAAATAATTGTAATTTCTCTATAAAATTAATTGTGCTGTTGGTCTGATAAAAAAAAAAAATAATAATAATAATAACAACCAGCCAATAAAAAAATCGCATTACTGTATTGACATGTATACAAGATCGTTCAAGCTCCAAATTGAGATTTTGCAAAAAATTGCCTATACTCTTCTCCTTGGCAAATGGATGTGTAGCGTCCTAATTCCTATTAAAGGCTGACTGTAACGTTCAATATAGTGGTTATTTCTATACATTAGTTGTGATAAAAAAAGAAGATGACGCCCTCCATGCGCAAATTGTTTTATTGTCCTCTCTGATTTAACTTACTCTGTGGTTTACCACCTATTTATTAAGGAGTTGGGTATAGGCAATTTATTACCAAATGAAACTTCAGATCAGAACTTCTTCTACGTGTACGTAGAGTTTTTTCTCTATAACTTTTTTGACATTTGTTCTATGAACTTTTGAAAAAAATTATTTTTGAAAATACTATACGTAAACAATTTTGTTTTTTTTTTTTGAAAATATGGCTCATACACATAATATAGCAGGTATTCCAAGCTTTCAGGAGGAGATCTTCCAAGCATTATAATACCTAATTCCAGAAAGTTCTTTGTAATCCTTTCTCAGTATTTCGGCAACAGTGAACAGTGGCAACAAATATTTGACATAATTATTTATGTTTCTGTTAAAACTCTTACTTGAAAAAAGTTTTGTGTACTTTTATATTAAAAATGTTATTGAACATTCGTTAAGAATTTGACTTTTAAGTCCGAAAACTCGACTAAAAGTATTTCTAGATAGATGTAACGTGATATGTGTACCTTATAACACAACGTGTCTTAAGAGTCCACGACTCGAAAGGATTTAACCATTGTACTATATCTTATGCTTTATGGTAATTTATGTTTTTAAATTGTATTTACTGCAACTAAAATATTTAATGGGATTATAGACAGGAATATTATGTTAGTTTTTAGAATGAATAAAAAATCCATAGTAAAACATTTTTTTCTCATATTATAATTGCAATTTTTTTAAATAATAACTGTTGTTATAAAAAAAATATTTAAAACTAAAAATTAATGGAAAAATGAGTAAAATTGTCTATTTACGATTGGTCTAATATTAAAGTACGCCAAAATGCCAATTCTGTTTACAAACAAAAATTGAAAGAATACAATTGGAATACATACTTAATTCGTTTTTTCAAAATTAACGAAAATATAATAAAATACAATAGAGGTTGATAAATTATGTTATAATGTAACATTAAATTTTATATACCAGGTGACGGCTTCAGTCCCCTGATATTGTTTTTGTAATTAGTGCTATTCACCACCGGTTTGTTTCAGTTGGCATAGCTCTCCAAGTTTAACACCAAAATTGTGTCTACATGAAAATACTGGCATAATATTTTTAACAACTATAAATAATAGTTTTTGTTTTTTCTAAAAAATAAGTAGTGCTATTTAAAAAGAAGAAAATAATCATAAATGTTCACATCTTCTAGAGAAATGGGTTAAATATATACATACTTAGGTCACGTAAATTATGCTCAGTCACAAAATTATGGTATCGGGACAACAACATATTACACGTCTTCATCGTATATATTCAATATTGGCTTCCGTTACCAATATTTTTTAAGTAAACACTTATACGTAATTTTCTCTTAATAATAATAAATTCTTATTATTTTTTTACACGTATTACAGGTAAATGGATATTTAAAAATGATTAGTTCTAAATACCTATAGGAACCTAGAAGTTGACTATGTAATAATCCCAAAACATAAAAAATTAATTAATATAAATAAATGAAAGTAGGTATTCAATCTTAGTATTATATACAAACATCTAAAAGATGGATCACACTGAATAATTATTCGTTATATTATCTGATTAACGTATTCGACAATTGTAACAAAGATTTTGAAAAACGGTTTTAAGCAGGCGTCAAAACTAATGTGACCTTCCTAAAACTACACATTTATTTTATTAAATGAAATAATTTTTATGGAGTACCTAATATTACGCTATACACCCAATTTTCTCAGCATTATAACATACCTACGTAGAATGTGTTTTACTCTCTCTCTGATGATTTTAGAGCAAAATACCCAAATAATACACAATAACTATAACTCTTTTTTACGTTATAATTTTCAATATTTGTTATGACATTGATGTGATAGTCCAAAAAATAACTGAACTAATAATTACACAACACAGTTTAACCTTTAAATTAATATTTTGCAAAAGATTGACTATATGTTCCTCCTTAGAAATGAGGAAAGAAATTGGTCTGATGGCCTTGATCGCTTTGGTATTCAATGATCTAATGTTTTTCACACAAAGCGGAATAATGTATGATGTGTAATTTTTTTATTAATAAAATAAATACTTATTTATAAGGTAAATCCCAATTGACAATAAATTTATTTATTTATAACTGGTAGGTTTTCAGAATTATATACATTAAATTTCATACATTAAAAAAATAAATTAATTTTAAAACAATTTTTTTTTACTCAGTAATTCTCTCCAGAACAAATCAAATCTATTTGTTCTAGAAGGTATTGTTTTTTATTAGAGTAAAGTGTGAATTTTCTCCAAAACTTTAGCTGTAACCATGATCAAAATTATAACATTGGAATAATAATTATAAAAAAAAAAACAGAAACCTTTACCCTTTTTCGCATATAATTTCTATTACACTAGGTTCCATTAACGCTGGGCTTAAGCATCTATGAACTGAACTGCTAAGTATTTCATCCAATAATAAATGCACCAAGCTAAAAAATATGTTTAATAAAGACATTAATATCAATTCATTACAAGTCATAGGCAGTGATGGGCAAAACAAATTGTTCACGAATAAGTTTAAAAGCATTGTATACATGACTTCAAGTTTGATATATATAACACTCGTTGAATTCATTTACAAAGCATAACCTAAAGATCAATAACACGTAAGTTCTTTACTAATAGGATTAAAGTTACCTAAACAAATTTGATTAGTGAAATAAATTATGTAATGATTACAAATTTAATTATAAGCATGAATTTGCATCCATTATAAATATAATAAAAATGTTTGCTATTAGCACTAAAGATTGCAACACTATTCACCTAAAAGGTATATTTTTGTAGATAGGGTTTTTAATTAATAATAATTAAATAAATAACAGATTTTAAATTATTGTATATAATGCTCAAAACTTTAATCGTTAATTTAGTTTAGTCAAAATTGGTTAACCATTTATCAGTCGTGCTGTTTTCAGACAGACTTAAATAAAGTGTGACTTAGGTAAACATTTCATCTACCTTACCCCAAGCTTCCTTTAAAAGGCTAAAGATGTTATTGAAAAATAAAAATTTGAGAAGTTTAAATTAAATAACCTTAATTTAAAATGTTTACATTGGCTGCTTTATTTTTTTTTAAACTAAAAACAATAAAAAAATCATTACTTTTCATCCGATACAAATCGCCATAAATATAGTTGCAAATAGTGAATATCGACTTGCATTTGTTGCAGACCAAATCTGTTAAAGGTTCTTAGGCGAACACATTCCAAAAGAGTCTGAAAATTAAAAATATATTAGTATACTTATTTTAGTAGCCTATATTAACTTTAATCTAACACAGTTGTTAAATAGAGCATTGTAAATGAGAAAAAAAACATTATGCTTAATGACGACTGTGTGTATGATAACAGGGGGTTCACTCTTTACCATCACTGTTTTTTGACATTTATGTTATCGTGCAATAAAATCATTGCAAATGTAATCAAATTAAAAATCACAATAAAAGCATCTATTAATATAAGCTTACACAAAAACTATTTTCAAAGTTGCTAAAACCATAATGTAACTTTTCTTTGATATACTATAAACCAAGAAAGATTTTTCAATCCATCTTAATACTTAACCAAAAAATTATTTTAAATAAAATACATATTACTCTTAAATACTCTCTCATTTTATCAAAACTCCCCGAAATTTAACCAATTATTATTCTACAATCTACTGCACTATAAGAAACTCTCAAGTTTCCGAAAAGTTCCAGTAAGTATCCATCAATCTATCTAACCATACATTATTATAAGACTGAAATAGATTTATGCCTTATGTTATCTTTACCTTCAGACTTATTTTAATGATTCCAGTAGTGATTGAAACTCTAGAAAATTGAACTGGGGAAAATATATCAATACGCTCCGAGAAGAGACGATTGATAGCAGAAAACGTCTGTGTATTTGTAGCTGTGCCACCAGATGACCATGCTCTGATATGCCTAGACATTTGGGTCCTACGACTAGAATCACTACTTCTATCGGTTCGAGTTCCTTCTTCAAATAATTCGCCAACCTATACAATGTAATTGAATGACACAAATGTACTATAAAGTGAAATTTAATAATTACTTGGCTATCGACAGCTGTAATTTCTTCCACAACTCTTTTCATAACAGCTCGTACTGTTCTTGGCTCAAAACTATGAAGCCAATCTCTTGTTTCTACTGATTTTTTTAACATCTATAAAACCATATATTATAGTCGAATTAATTTACTAATTACTTATTACTCGCTTCATTATTTACTTGTGAAATGGATAATCCTTCGACACGAACATAATAATTAACAAGGTCTTGGGCAACGTTATGCATACCTTGAGCAAGCTCAGCTTCAGAACTAAGTTGTATAGCATTATTATTTTTGCTATTAAAGTATTTATTGATCTCATAATTTTCATCAACTAGATGCAACTAAAACATTATTAGAATAAATTAATATAATACACAATTCTTTTAAGAAAGATAAATATAAATTGTTACCAAACCACTAATTCCAGACGTCTGATACTCCAAACACATTTTTGTAAGTAATAAAAAAAGAAAAGGAGGTGGACAAGGTGTGCAAAGAGTATAGGAACGAGCTGTAGAAGATAAATAATGTAAAAATCCAACAATGATACCTTCCCGCACATTATCTACACTGATAGACTGACGAAGAACATGTTTTGATGAAAAGGACACTTCAGGTTCTAAAAATGCCTATTCGGTTAAAAAAAAAAAAAAATGTATTACTTCATCTAGACAAAACAATTACAATTGTTTTACTTACAGAAATGTCTTTTAGAATTCCTTTGACTTTTTCTATAACATCTGACGTTAGTGAAGCTAAAGAATCTGTACTATTCACACCAATATTTGACTTTTGTAATGAAGCTAAGGACTGTCGGACTGTCGCTAGTTTATCATTAAAATTTGCCTTTAGCATTGCCAAATGTAATTTACATTGTCGACGTGCAGCAGAAGAAATGATCTCCATAGCATTACTGTAAACAAATGTGTAATGAAACAATAGTTTATTCTTGGTTTTTATATTATGAAAGATGTTAAGCAGATTGTAACCAACCCCAAATACATCTGTTAAAAAATTATAAATTAATGGACCTGCATAACTAAAAAAATTAGTTAAATGCATTATCAAAAAATCAACCAAGACAATTTTTGAGTGAAACACAATCAATGATTTAAATCAACCTGAATCTTTATGTGTTGTATAACAAGTATATGTATTTATGACCCTTAGTTCAATTAAATTACTTTTTTTTAAATATTTTAGTATTATTCAAACACTTCCAGAGATATGTTTGAGTGATATTTACTTTTAAAATATTTGAAAATAAAAGTATTCAAAAAAGTATTGACAAAGTAATACGGACTAGGTTTTATAAAAAAATGTTAAGTATACTTGAAAATAAAGTGATTAAACTTTATGTAATTTAAGCTGCCTAATTTTAAATATTTACTTATTTACAAAAAAAAAAAAATTTTAATATAATGTGTTCACATAAAAAAGTTGTTATAAAATAATAATATCAAACATGATTTCTTAAAAAATGTTTTTGGTAAAATACAAGTTAAAAATAATCCCATTTTATAATATTCCAAATGCACACTTATGATTACATATTTTTCAAAAGAATATTATCAAAATATTTATAATTGAAATAGAATATAGTTTTAGAGATATTGAACCCATAAATTCAAATTTATTAAAAAATGACCTATTGGTTAAAAAACATTAGGTTTACACTTAGTCTGAAAAAAAAACAATAAAAAACATACTAAATTTAATTAATTATAAAATACTTGTGATCTTTTAAGCGTAATAGTACGTTTTGAGTTTTCAAAATTAATTAAAAATACATTGATTCCTTTTGAATAACTCCAATTGTCACGGTTGTTTTCATCAGCCTTTCATAATATGTGATTTACTTACCACGTGTAATCTTTATATGAAAATAATTTTCCAATAGCTTGCAATTTTTTATAAAATCTGTCTAAAGCTCTGACTAAAATAGCTGTATCGCTAGTGTTTTTATCAATATACTGCTGTATTATTTCTAAATAACGTGTCATATTGTCATCAACAAATATGTTCAGTTGATTTATAGTTATATCAGCTTCTTCATTATCATCGCTAAAAAATATGCATAGTTGGAACAATGTTCATATTTATACAAAAATAAAAAATACTTTTTTGATAAATTGTCTATAAACATTTCCTTAAATGATGCTATTACTAAACACAATTGACTAAGAAATGTATCACTTCCTAAATCAATAAATTGAATCATATCCTAAAACAAAATAACACATATGTATAATTTAATGATAAGAACTACAGCGGCAATTATTTGATAATTCTTACTTGATTCAAATTTTCCACTTGCAGTTGTAATATATCCAGATATTCGAAAAGTCTAGTTTTTGAATGTAACAAAAATTCTTTGCTTAATGTTTGAACTGGTTCATTAAGTTGAAGTAATAAGTCCACAGATTTTGCTAATTCTTTTCCAGATAACTAAAAAAATTTCAAAATTTATATTATTATGTAATGTTTTTACTGCTTTACTTTAACCTATTCTGTAAACAGCCAAAGCCCATACTTGCTTTAAACTTGTAAAGTAGGAAGTAGGCAATAGATGGAAAAAGTAATTTTGATATTTTTTTTGGTTTGTCAATGGATATTAAGAGTATTATATCTAAAGGATATAACATACAAATTTAGCTAGTTTTAATAAAGTTACCTATAGCTCGTTTTTAATTTTTTCAGCCGTAAAGTAACCTACAGATATGATTTCTGATCTATTTATAGAGGTGTGTTACATGAAAAATCGGTTTTAAGAGTTATAAGTTTAGAAGATATTGTGAGTCCAGACACAAAAATATTAAAATAAAAAAAACATCTTTACAAAATAATACATTTACAGCTGAAATCAAATTGATTAACTCATTACTTACATCTTTGTCTCTCAAATGACTATATAAAATTTTCATTAGATCTTTAACAATGTCATTGCAGTCTTTAAGTATACCCTTAAGTGATTCTTGGTTCCCATACTGAGTTAAGACTCGTAAAGCATGTAAATATTCTTGAACTACCTAAATTGTAAACACAAAATTAAATTAAATGAACAATAATATAACTCAAATCGGTATTTATAGTTAATATTAGAATTACACTTATAAATATAGATGATTAAATACTAGTTTTAAATTGGTCATGTTGTTAATATAAGTTTTTGTTATTTTATCATATTATAATTTGTTATAAAATTTCCCCTTGTTCTGACGAGATGTTTTTTGTCCGATTTTTAAAAGATAGTCACGCTTTAATCCCGTTATTAATCAAATAAATTGCCACCGCGTTATCGGCAAAATACTTCTAAGACTGCTGAGGGGTGCAATGCTTGTCCTGCACTAAAGTGCACTTTAGTTGCAGCACTGAAGACATGTCAGAAACCAATTATAATACCATTTGTATAGGCAATGAAAATATAATGTAATATTTTTTATACTATTTTAGTAAATCAACAACAATAAACAAAATCAAATTACTTGTGCATAATCTCCGTTTTCTAATAGTTTCTTCAGTGTAGTTGGAAGAGTATAAACAAACTGAAAACGTTTTAACAGCTTGTGAGTTTCGGAGAGCTTACTTATTTCATCTCTATTGGCCTATAAAATAAATAAAACTATACAAGAAATAATTTTTATTTGTATTAAAAAAATGTATACTATACATGCAATGATGATGTAATAGTTTCTGATGATTTTGTTATTTCATCCATCTTAGACAAAAGAATTTCCATGTCTCCTTCCAAATTTTTAAAGTCATTTTTCATCTGATTTTCAAAATGAATTTTTTTTTAGTTCAACATTTATATGTATTTTATAGAATGTAACATTAATGATCATTTCATCTACATCAAATTTTTTTATGTTATTTTATCAATCATCAAATCTTGCAATGCATCCTTAACTTATGACTCATACTGTTAATATTCAATTCAGAACTACCAAAATATAAATTTAAACGTTTGTCAAGTTTTTCTTTTTAATTTAGGAAAGATAAAACGTAAAAATAAAGGAGAATCTGTACTTAGTCAAGAGGCTTAGGGGTTCTATAAAGGTTTAATGTTTAGTGTAGTTAATATTCATTTACGCTAGGTTGCACAAAATATCATAGATTCCATAAACCCTTATAAGAGCACTGTGATTTGTTGTGAATACAGTTTAAAGAAATAACTGATTTTATAATATACAATTAGTGGTTACATTTCTGAAAAACTAAAAGCATAATTTTATTTTTAACATTTAAGTACCTCACTTCTAATTGTTTAAGTTTAACTAAGCAGTTGTTTAATGTTTATTCATTACCTTTCCAATTGTATTAGTTGCTATTATAAATTTATTATAATTTTCATAAACTAATGTTTGCATGTCAGAATGTAATGATTGAATATCCTGATGTATTTCTCTTTCATGGTCCATCACTTGTTTCAAATTAGATTCCTAATAATAAAATCAAAATTAGAAATTAGTACTTAACTAGAAAGTTGCACTTTAATACTGGGCACCTTTTATATTGCTATTTTTTTTTTTGCCTTGCAGGAATTTTTTTATAACTATTATGAAACTGAAGTAAAAAATTGGTGGACTCTTCTAGTTTAAAAGTTATAACTATATAACTTTGAGAATTAGTGTTGCGTGAAATAGCTGTTCACTAGTGTTAGCGAGCTGTGGCGGTCAGCAAAGCATAGCATGTGAGCGCTCTTACAGTATAACCACTATTTTATGTGATTCCCTATGCTTGCTGACTTAAGCCCCTAGAGATTCTCGCGGGGGCTCACGGCCCCCAAATGCCAAGAGCAAAAAATAGCTTACCTAAATGGAATAAAACACCAAAACTTGATACTACACTAAACTGATCTGAACACATTCAAATTGTGACACTCGACAGCTGTCCGAGATTAACAACATAGTGTTTTTTAATTGCGTAGCAGACTGCCGCAACTAAAACGTGACACAAGTGGTGCAAACTCACAAAACACCATAAATATCTCACGTTACAATAATTCTCAAAGTTTTAGTAGCTATAACTATTGAACTAGAAAAGTCCGCCAAATTCGTAATCAGATTAAAAACACATCAAGTAGCAATACAAAAAAAAGTTGTCCGGTAAAGTGCATCTATACATCATTAAACATAACTTACCTTCAGTACTTTTTTGACATAAATATCAGCATTAAAACACGCTCCATTTATATCGTAAGGACTACCTGGTTTAATATCCATATTGTCATAGATAAATACACAAAATATTGTTTAAAAACTGAAAACCAATATAGATTATTTGAATATACAACTTTCTTTGCTAATAACTAATAAGTAATTTATAATACTCTACTTATTAGTTATTTACCTTTTATATGATACTGTAGAGTCTACAGCACGATTAATTATCTTTAATCAGTAATGATAACATTGATTATAAATATAAATATTTATAATCTATGGTGATAGTCTTTTGGAATAAAAAAAGAGGGGGTCGGCAGTTGTCCGAAAAATGATAAGAGTGAAGAGTCCAATAATATGCAAAAATAATTTTATAAAGTAATTAATCTATGAAATTATTAAATTAGATTTAATCTATTCTGTGTTTTAAGCATACATAATAAAATAAGGAGACAACGTCATACAGCTATACCTAGAAATAACCTCTTGCAAAAAAGAGACATAGATATTTCTGTGGAAAAAATAACTGCTTCTCTCTCTTCCCTGATTCGAAACGCGACATCTTACTTGGTTAATATGAGTATGACCTATCCTATTATCTTTGATTAAAAGTATTGCTTAGTACTTAGCTGCTGTACAAACTACAACTGTACAAGACATGACGTTTTCCTCGATTTTAAATCATTCTACATAAATCCAATGGTAGTATGAACATTGTTAGTATTAAAATAATAGTAATTAATATCCCATCAACTACACCATATTTATATATGAATATTTAATCTATTATGTATTATATTCAAAAATAAGTAAATTTATAAAGAACGTATTTTTTTATTTTATATGTGAAGTATTCTCAATTAAAATTACTCTCATTTAAAACGTTATGTGTACATATGACATATGTAATAAACAGAGTAAATAAAGTTAAGTAGTTAAATTTAATCTATTCATTTTGTAGTGTTTGGCCTGTTTGCATATAAATTAATAAAGCCTATACCTACCTACCACCACTTACTTAAAAACAAATATTATAGTAGTAATTAGTAATTAGTAATTATTATGCTGCATTTAATTTCTTGAAGACATCGTTTTACATCCAGGATCCCTCTCATGTTGTTTTTTACGCAATTGGTCGCGTGTCAGAGTTGTTACAACAGTCTATTTACCTAACCAGCCCGCGAAAGCTCACACCGTTAGCATATGTCTTACATACAAAAAAAAAAAATCGTTTAACCGGGTGAGCTATTTATTATATATTTATATTGCGGGCATTAAAATAACATATTAATAATTATACTATTTACTTCTACAATAACTAACAATAGTGTAACACACAATATTAAAATTATGTGATAATTAGTTGGTTTTTAATTTTTAACATGGTTTTCATAACATATTTTGTCTAATAGTGTATAATTTGAACCCGATATTAATTTTTGTCAAACTCTTTTGTTTTATAACTAAATTTATGTACCGTAAGTCATTGATTAAATCGATGCGTAAGTCATGAATAGGTATGATATTATATTGTATAATATAAAATGTATGAAGATGTATTACGACTTACGAGCATAGACCTATAAAGAAATCTTTATAGGTCTATGCTTACGAGACCCCCTTGAGGCCTTGACCTTGATTTTACAAATTCATACGGTTCGCCGATCGTGATTGTTTCCCCTTAATATGGCTACACTGTTTGGGTATAAACAAAAATTATTATATTATAGGCTTGAGCGGAGGCATTCGGCGACCAAGAGATCCGTGGTAAGGTATAACAACATTATTACCGGCCACCGCTACCAATCCCCCACTCACATTATCCAGATTCCAGTGTACAATTTTCACGCGGTGCACGCTGAGAATACCCGATACCATACCGTTGTAAGGTCTACCGACTATTGGATAGCGACTACGGTATCGTAACCGAGGGGTAAGTGACCGGTGATGTGTGCTTCTTTGCTTTTGTAGTTGTGGTATGTACTATGTAATTAGAATCTCGGTAGTTTTTTATTTCCTTAACACGTCGAGCGATTTCTATTGTTGTTCATAAATTAAGTTCAGATCTCGTTCGAGTTATTGCAATTAAAGTTTGTCTATACAGGTGAGCGTTTTTACTTTATTTTAATTTAATTTTTGTACACCTATGTATAAAGTAGACCTATAGAAAACAAATATATTCGCAACATAATGGCAGCGATAAAATTGTTTATAAGGATATAGCTTTAAAAATAATGAAAGATTTAATTGTCTGTCGGCATGCATGTTAAGATAGTATCGTGTCTAGTTATTTTCAACTGTGTTGCTTAGAATATTTTTAAAAGAGGAGATAATACCTAATTACCAACAGTTAACCTACCCAACTCGAGGAAACGTGTGATTTCGTATAAAATAATTTCTAAAATGTTAGTCAGTATTGATAAAACATTCAAAATATTGAGAGAAATATTTGATCATGTAAACAAAGCTTAACAATATAAACGCATATTATGTAATATATAGTTACAATATAGCTACAATGGTATTTACCTACTTATTTTATAAATGGCAAATGGGCAAAAAGTGCAGTCTCTCTCTATAGGTATCGATTTGTAGATTGGCTTGCATTTAAAACTGGTATCTTGGGGTTATCTGGATATTAAGGGCCTATTCATTAATTATTAGCTAAAAATGTTTAGCTATAAGCTCAAATATACAAAAAAGAGCAAAACATCCATTATCAAATACATAGAATATAATATTTTTGAGGGCTGAATGTTAGTAGAATTTCAGTAAATTTAAAGGATTTGCTAATATTTCATGTAGAATTAGGATTTATATGTTTTTAAATGGCTATAACTTGTTGCTAAAATTTTGAAAATCCCCTGAGATACAGCCCCCAATATTATTATACTCTTCAGGTTTGATTGATAATTGAAGGTTCAGTTCAAGAAATGTGTTATTGTTCTATGAACTAATCTTAATCCATTTGAAGTATCATAACACTTCCCAGAATTTTTCTATCGCACATAACAATTGTGCAATAAGCATGGAAATCTATGACACCCTTTGATAAAAAGGTTATTTTTCTTTTACTCTGTACATTTTACAGATTGATTTTTATTAGAGTTGAACCTTCATATTGTGTTTAAACCTAATCTATGGAGGACGAGTGACTGAATGGGTAAGGCCTTAGGACCTAGGCCTATAAGAGGGCAAAACAGGGTACACTGAAAATTCTACTAAATAAGTTCAAGTTACATAAAAAACCTCGTCTACATAAAATACTAAGTCTATAAAAACTAATCTGAATGACTTTATTTTTTTACTTATAAATGTATAGCTATTTCTTTAAGTATTAGTAATAGATGACATAAATACATTTAAGTGCTTCTATTGCTTGGGTTGTTATTTTTTGTTAACACTTACTTAGGCACAGGTCATTTGTTTTGTGTTTTTTCAGTTCCAAGTCCATATCTATATTGTTAATAGTATTTGGTTCTTATTTGAAACATATAAGTAAATAAGAATGGATGTTAGTGCTAGTTTTAATGAGGATGATGAAGTTATCCAACATTACGAACCCAATACAGTGTTCATAGTTGATCAGTGTTCATTTGGCAAAGGCACACTTTATATTACTGATAGTAAACTTTACTGGAAAAATGAAAATATGAACCAAATAGTTAGTATAGATTACAAATCTATGTGTGTGTTTGGAACATGCAATCATCCAACTGTACATGAAAAGCCCTGTGTACAAATTATAACAGACTTTACATACAAATCTGAAAACGATACAAATAATACTATTAATGGACATGTAAGCCAAAATGGAAGTAATAATGTTATGGAAAGTGAAGAGGAAGATGAAGATTCTGATGGGAATGATGGAGTGGATGATGAAGAAGAAACGATGAAGTCTAAAATAAAACTAGTACCTGATAATGGTGAAAGTTTAACAGAGATATATAATGCTATTACTCGTGTGCAACCATTACACAGTACTAATGAAATAAACAGTGATGAAGAAGGCGGAGATTATTATTATAATGAAGACGATGAGTTTGAAGATTATGAAGATGATAGTGTTGATCAAAATTTAATGAATTGAAGTTCATGTTTTCAAAAATAAATCTTCAATAATGTATTTTATAAAAGTTTTGTTATTTAAGTATTAATAAAATCAATAGATATATATTTAAAAGTTTTATTTTTATAAGAAAATAATATGCACAAATGAAAAATTCAGGCCTCCTGACAAGTTTTTTATAACCTTTAGTCACTTTTCCTCAAATTTTATTGTAATTTTGATAATTACATAAATTAAAATGTATAATTACTTTTAATAAATATATATACATTTTTTTTTTTTTGAACTTTTCGTTCCTTAGTTACATCATGACATAAATAAGTAGACTATAATTCTGGCCTGAAGATGCTTTAGCAGTCGGATTAAAATAAATAACGTAAATTGTGTTTTTCACAATGTATGTAATCGTTAATTTTCTTCAAAATTTTCATACGCATATTTTTGTATAATTTGATGTATTGTAAGACTAAATTAAATTAACTATATCATAATATTAAGGCCATTGGGTACCAGTCTTAATTAAGGAGTTGTAGGTAGTCAATTTCAGGTTTTTCTCTGTTACGCGTTGTCGTTGTGTGCATAGTAAATGAACGTTAGTGTTATCTTTACACCCTCCCGCCCTTGCACCTGTCTAATTTATTGTTGACACTTGACTCTTGTACGCACACACACACAAGTCTGTTAAAACGGCTACTGTTCAGGATTTGTACAATTTATGCTGAAAAAACTACCAATTTTACTTCAATCAGTCTGATCATTGTATTGATGCGATAACACTTCTGAAAATTAATTTGAGTTCAGTGTGAAGTGTACTTGAGATCGGTCAGACCACTTTCAGTTTTATTTAATAATATTTTTTAAACACTACTAAAAGATTTAATATTTTTCAAAACATTTTAAATCAAATTTGTGAAATTTTGAGGGCAAAATTTAAAAAAATGTAATCTGACCGATCTCAAGTAGACTTCATGCTAAATTCATATAATTTTCAGTAGTCCTATCGCATTAGTACAATGATCAGAACAATTGAAGTTAAATGGGTAGTTTTTGATGGAAAAATTGGTTGGCTGGTACCTATAGCCTCAACTAAATATTCAAATATTCACATCTCGTGAACGGATAAAAATAAACATCTTTAATTAATCAAGAAGCCTTTTTTATGGCTCTGACAGTAAAAGAAAATACAGCCAAATCAGCATTTTAAGGATTAAGTTCATATTTCAGCCATTTTCTTCTAATTTTTGAAATCTTAATATTTATATAAAAAAAAACAAATTTGTGATTTTAAATAAAAGTTAAATTACAATTTTAAACAAATATGAAATCAAAAAAATTTAAGTCATTTAGTTAATTATTTACTAAATTTACTTTTGTTTTATTTTGTAGTAGTTATAAAGCCTGCAAATTTGTATCCTTTATAATTAATGAAGTCTGTAGAAAGACATTGAATTATAATTAACTTTAAAGTAAAACTAAAATAAACTTAAACACTATTAAATTAATAATTTCTCCTTAACATTATTGAATGATTTTGTACTACAATATTTTTTTTAGCATTATAATATTAGGTATTAAACCAACAAGGCTGGGAAAACTGTTATAAGAAGTAACTTTGAAAACTCACTACATTTTTTTTTCTCAATTAGAACTAAATGTGTGACGAGTTGGAAAAGCATGATATGAGCTTTCAACAAAATTATATAAAATAAGATTTTTTACAAAAACGTAGTTCATTTTCAATTAACGACTTGAGTGACAATTTATTATTTTTAAAATGCTTGTAAATTGATTTAAACTTGTTTAAAAAAAACAGCCCAACTTGACAGATAAAAAAAAATGGGTATTTTTTGGTATAACATACCTCATGTTAAACCAATAAAAATTACCTATGCCAGTTCAACGAGCCAGAACGGAAACCAGTAATTACTATTCCAGTTTTCACTTGAATGGGAATACTCTCATTAGAGTAACACATTTTGATTTTTACACATAAATATTCTTCATGTGGAAGAGTGTAGAACTTTGATATAATTTTTACCTGTGGCCAGTATAAGTAAATTGGAGCAATAAATTTAATAATTACAGTCTAATTTGCTACATTAAATGGAATATTAATAAAAACTTAAGTATGTATTTTTAAAAGGGCTTTATACACCCAGTTTTCTTCTGTAAAAACTTGACTTATCAGATATTGTTTTACTTATTTCTCGATGGATTAAGTGCAAAAACACCAGAAGAAGAATTTTTGAAGGAAAAGTCTTTAAAAATGTTTTTTAAAAAGTAGAAAATACCTTGTTGTAATACTAAGTTTAAGTCAGGTACTGAATATATTAAAAACAAGTATGACATTATTTGTAAATATCTTTGTAGGTAGTTTTGCTCTAAAGCATCATATACCGAGTTAGACATAATATTGGTAGTTTTGCTTCGATAATGCAGAGATGTTATGATACAAGTTTAACTATTAATAATCATATTTACTTTGATAATAAATATACACAACTGTTTTGGCTTAACTTAAGATGTTTTAAAAATATTCCTATACTGAACTCCTTAATAAATATGTGGTATAACATACTCTTATAATTCATCGGTTCTGGAGTTTTATCTTAAATAAATTGTTGTCTGGTATTTTAAGTAAGTATCGAACCTCTTGAATCATGTTTCAAACTCAGGCTTTGGTATGAAACAATGGTGTTTTACTCGTGATAAAAAAATCTGTATATAGCATAATCATATTTATATTTATAAAAGCCATCATTTTTAAAAAATATGATAGCATTTAGTCTTCATCTATTTATTATTTTATTGTATAGACATAAAAATGAAACTAATCATGTATTAGGGTTGAGACTAAAAATGTATTGAATGCAAGTCAATTAATTAGATGCAAGTTAGGTTGTTTCATTTTTTAAGAGAGGTATGCTTAAGTTAATTAATGAAAAACCAGTACAATCTAATATAGCTATCATAGTTATTTATATGTGGGCTTTTGCCAATGTGTGTGACATAAGGCATCAAACCCGATACTAGAGGTATCTGTTTTTATTACGGGCACTGAGAAACAAAACTGCTAATTTTTTTTATCTAAAAGGTTTCCACAAATCATAAATAAAAATATGAAAACATATGTATCCATCGATATAGGACACATAGCTGTGCTCTTATAGATAGAAAATATGATTGTGCTTCCTCAAATAACATATCGTTCTATATTATTACTTAAAAAAATTATTTTAATTTTATATTACGTGATAGTAATTTGTTTTATTTTGTTTTATTTTAGTGGTTATTAAAATCAATAATGACTGAAGCTGTGGTAAATGGAAAAGATACCCGTTGTCTATTTATTAACAATGGAGATGATTTGTTGACGTTAAAAAAAGTTGTTTCTAAGAAGACGGATAATGTTGATTGTGAAAAACAAAAAAACAAAAAAACAAAAGAAACAAATGGAAATGAGTTAAATGGGAACCATAATAAAACTGATAGCATTAATTTTGATGTTGACAACACTTCATCGCTGGAACCCAATTTGGAAATGGATAGTGATACTGACCGCAATATAACTATTGGTTCTGTTTGTACTCAAGAAGACCAAGAATCAGAAAACATTGATATATCAAATGAAAACTCTAATGAAGCTGATACAAAGATTGGGGATAAAGAAAGTCAAGTAAGTTTTTTTACATAATAACAAAGAGGCAAAATGTTAATTATTTACTAAAACTGTATGTTAACTAAATTTTTTTAGGAAAGTCCAATGAAATCTTCGGATGATATACCATATTCCCCTAATGTATCATTAGACAGTAATGATTATTCACATGATCTGGATGATGACGATGAATTTGATTTTGATAATGTAAAGTCGCCTGCATCATATTTTAACATATCATCTCGGGCACCGTTGCATTCAAACATTGAATTGGACATAACGCTAGAAGAAGATGATATACTTGTAGAGAAAGGTGCATCCTCTAGTAATGAAAGAAAACGGAAATTTGAAGATTCACCAGAGAGAGAGCAATTGCCTAATAAAGTAACAAAATTTTGGAACATCATAAAATTCCCATTCCACAAAATAACCACCGGTGTACTGGCAAATAGTAACCAATTGAATACTTCCGAAGCAGAAATTGTTAGTAAAGAAGAAAGCACCGAGATGCCAAATAACGAAATTGTTAGTGATAATCAAGAGTCTGATGTTGAATCTGGAATAGAAAGTGAAAATAATAGCATTGAAAAGAGTGAAAATAAAGACCAGTCACCTACAGTTTTAAATAGTACAACGGAACTTCAATACCAACGGTCTTGTTGTATAATGTAAGATTTAACATAGAACCATTGCTCTTCTTGTTTTAAAGATAATTAAGTTGTTTCCAAATAGTACATGTTAAATCATTTCAACCAATGACAGTATAAAAAAAAAAAAAATTATTATTGTAGTAACTTGAGAATTTTTAATAAGTATGGTTAACTTTTTAAACATTCAGAATTTGTTGACTTATTTCATCAGTAACATATTTTGATTTTCTTTCTCTCCTCTTTTTGTATTGTGTGTGCTGAACTAAATACTTTCTACTTAGGTTAAAATTAACATCCTGTAATATGTTTTTAAAAAATATGATTTAATTAATTTGATTTCTTAATTTTACTTTTTCAAAAAAATTGTTTAATGCAATATTGATTTTTGAATGCTAATTTCATGTTTTTCATTCGAGAGTATGTATGGTTCCTTTTTTTTTTTTTTTAACATGAATTCATAATTTTGTATACGTTAAATTAATTCATACTTTAACTTAAAATAAATGTTATTATTTCTGTATTCTCAATAGTTGATCATTCTTTATGTATTTTTTTACAACGCTAAATTTTATAATTTTTTATAATTAAGTATAAAATTAGTTGTGCAATTTTTTTATATACATTAATAAAAATTATAATATTTATTATGATCATAATAAATAATTGTATTGTATAGTAGTTCCATGATTTTATTTAAATTTCACAATTCTTGTCAATTGTAAAGGAAATCTATTTTCATCTAACTATCATCAATTTTATTTTTTATTTTATTTAAATTGTTATGTATTTCAATTGTATAAATTACTACGGATCTACTTAATTTTTTTTATATATTTATGTACTATATATATTTTATTTAAATATCAGTGTTAATGTTAAGTAATGTTATATGATGCAAATCTTTATTCTTTGCATTGAATACGTTTTTCAGACATAATTTTATATGATTTTTATTATATTATCGCCTAATAAATATTTGTAATTCATATAATAAATTTCCCCCTCCCCACAAATGTATAGTAGCCTAATCAAATTAGTAATCCCTAAAATTGTATATGCCCCAGCTTAACTAAATACTTTCTCATGATTAGTTTTTTGCATTTCATTAACACGGGAAAATGTTATTTTTTATTAAAATAACTAACTTAAAAATTAAACAAAATTATTCAATTAAAAAAAAAAATTAAACTAATATGGAACTTCAAGATCCCTTAATTACAGCATAATGATTGTTTTTATAAAGTTTTAGCTTATTGAAACTGATGATTTCCTAAAAAATGTTATCAAAAGTTTAAGTGTCCTCTTTTAGCTTTAAGAATCTTTTTTCAAGTTGGAATTTTTTTAATGAAAAATTAAAACTTATCATGTTAATCAAATGCAAAAAAATCATGAAGAGCATGAGATCTGAATTTCAGGGATTTATTATTTGTATAAGCAACTATTGATCGAAAGAGTAAGTTGTAAGAAAAAAAACAGTAATCTGTATATATATATATATATATATATATATATATATTTATTTATATATTTTATTTTTTGATGTGAAGAAATATGACCTATTAGTAGTATTTTATTGGTTGTCTTTTTTCCAAAATTGGATTAGTGAAATATTGCTTTTTTTTTTTTGAAGTTATTTGTTTATCCCAATTAGAATAGTACAAAATAATTTATTGTATCTATTAATTATTTTTATTCAGTTTTTATTTTTACTTAATATGTATGTGTTAACATGGTTATTATATCTTATTTTAAATTTAGTTTTAAGTACATCCCTGAATTTACTGTACATATTTCAGTAATTTATTAATTATAGTGCTTTAATGTAAATATTTGTGTGTATATTTATTGTATTTGAAAAGTTTTATAAGTTATCAACTTTTGTTTTTACGTTATTACCAATTAATAATGTGACAACTAAATTGACTATGGTTGAATTTTCTTTAAGAGGCTTAAATTACTATGATCCAAAATATTTCATTAACAGCTAAAAAAAAATTTTTTGAATAATCATAACATTTTTATTTATAAACACAATAACCAGTTTTAATAAGAAGAATATAATTAATTAAGTACAATATTAAGATAAAATTTAAATAACACAATACTCAAACAGTTATCACAATTCAATTCTAGATCTAAAAAAAGTTGATACATTCTAGGCATAACCCCACAAACAAGATTCCCATAAATAAGTATTCCATAAGCCTTGAAATATTATGATAAATAGATTCCAATTTTAAAATGTGGTACTCTCCATCTGTAAAATACAATAAATGTAATTAATTTTAGTATTGTTTTTTCTGATAACTTGCTATTTAACAAACTTCATAAGCAATTATAAGATATTCTATTTTCACTTATATAAAAGAAATGAGCAATGACTATTTTTTAAATACTTAAAGCATATACTATTATTGTCAAACAATAGACAAAACATATAATAATCAAGTTAGATAAAACTAATAGTGTGCAGCTTAGTAAGTAATAAGTAAAACTACAATGGTTTTTATTTAAATGAAAATTATAGATTATAATGATTTGTGTTACATCTATACATGTTAATATAAAAAACACGGGCAGACCAGTTTTTATAAACTTTTGATAAAGGTGTACTAATAGTAAAGTAATGCTTATCAAACCTTAAGAATATATTAATTCTAAGGGTTGTACGCTGGTGGATTTTACTAATTTTATTTAATAACCTAATTATATAAAATATAGGGTTTACTCCATAAAATATTAGAAACGCTTTTAATTAATCGTTGGAAGTATTGCATTTTATAAATTTAATAATGGATGACTTTACTCTTAGACCACCAGAGACCAACCAAAACAGGTTTTGCTTAATTATGTTTAGGTAAGAAAATTATTTTAAAATATTATAATGGTCTGACAAAAAATTTAATTACCATTAAAAAGTCCTCATTGCTGTACTAATAAGTATTTAGTTTGATCTCAAAACAAAGGATTTATAAAAAAAATGGCATATACCGACCCCTAAATTAAAAAGATGTACACTGTCGTTTTAATAATCAAACTTTCGGCCATCGATTTTAAAATATATAAAAAAGCCAAACTATATTAAATATAATGTCTATTTTTTTCTTTATATTTTTTTATTGCTCACTGTAAAAGGTATTATTTTTATTCCACTATAAAAGAATGAATTAAACAAATATAAATTTGTACTCGCATATAAAATTTTTTCAATCAAACAATTTATTAGTAAAAACCTCCCTAGCACCAGTATACCTGGTATAGATATTGCACTATTAATAATTATTATTTTGTAAAAATGAATTTAATAAGACAAATAATTGATCATAAAGACATGTGTTCATGCAAATTTCTAACTAAGTAAATAAATAACTAGCTAATTCAACTCTAATCCATTAAGTACAGTTTTATTTAAATGAAGTCGTCACTTGTCAAGTAAAGCAAAACATAATTATTATTAAACATGCGACTTCATTATATTACCATGAATGAATATGAGTAGTGAAGAATGAGGAAAATTAGCTAATAAAATCTTTCTTTATAACACTTAGCGTTAACACCCATCTGAAAATTTTTCATAAACAAATTTCTGTATTTTTTTTTTAAATTTGTAGTATCATTTTTCCAACTTATTAATCCATAATCACATACAATGGGTAATTTTTATGATACATATCTCTTATGCAGTAGTGAGACTTGAGAACATATTTTAGGTGTTTCGATGATTTACCTAAATTTTAAGGTCGAAAGAGAGAAAATGAATGAACAGAATATGGGTAAGGTTTGGTCAAGAAGTTTTTAACTTTTTTTTTTAAAGTTTTCGGGTCCACTTCTCATAGGGTTTCATGTTTTACAATCAAAGATTTGTAGCCAAATACCAATACAATTCTTTATGGAATAGTACTGAGATGTATATCCCAAAAACATTTGAGTTAAAAAAGTATACGTACATGTATGGATGACCAATTGACCATTGTACATAATTTATGGAGTAATGATATGATTATAAATTTTACCTGAATAGATCTAGCAGACTCCATGTCAATGCTGGGGTTTCTTCTATTTAATAAAGGGGTCATTGTAGTTCTCTCTTCATGACTAACTCCAGTTTTAGTGTCCGATATGTCAGACCCGGCCAAATCAATACCACTTTCATCAGTTTCATAAATATCTGATCCATTTTGATTGCTTAGTTTTGAAACTTTTGTGTTTGCTGAGCTTTTCACTGCAGTAGCTATTTTTTCAGCGGTTTTCTTGCCAAAATTCGCAGCAATTTGTGGTAAACTGCGTTTTACTGGTGCTAAGTCAGCACTGGCATCTTTATTATCAGTTTCTTCGGTTATAGATGACAAATTTGTTCCAGCATCGAAGCTTTCATCCAACATTGCTTGATTATTTTGAATTGGAATATCGTCTAAAGAATATAGAATGTTTCAGCTTTGTTAGACTACAACATTTAAACATATAATATTTTTTATTATTTGAATTTTGTACCTGGTAACTTTTTAGTTCTAAATGATGCATTGGTAATCATAGATTTTGAAACTAGTGTACTAGATGAATTATTGCTTACTGGTGTCCCTACAGATGAAACGTTAGGTGAACATCCACCTATAAAACATAATTTAAAATACAATTTCCGATAAGAAATTTATGAAAAATAATAAATTATATAACACTACAAGAAATTACCTTCAAAATATCCACGGCATGAATTTTTTATTGCATTTGCCAGTAGTATCACTTCACAATAACAACTATAACATGCTCGATGATAAATATCTTCTAGTGCTTGCAAAGCTTCTGCTTTTCCATAATTGAATCTAATTAATAATACAAATAACAATATACATTAGTAATGAAATTGCACAATCTACAGAATTTTGCAGAAATGAAAAGAAATTAATTTTACGAATTTTTATGTTTAAACAATACTACAATATTCTTGATTTAAATATTTAGATAAATCTATTAACTAATTTCTATTTCATTGTGAAATACATTATTTTAGTTTATGCAAAAAAGTGTTTATCTATTCAATCAAAAAAAAAAATCCTTTAACATTTTCAATTTCTGCAACATACAGGTGATCAATTTAACTCGTTTTTTAGGAAAGTAATAACAATTATATAGTTTTTATTTTGGTTATTTTACAATATTATAAAATTACTACATATTAACTGCTTTTAGTATTTTTCAGAGCCTACCATCTTATTAAACTTAAATAGTAATATAAATAGATTTAATAAACATTTTAAATTAAGAATAATATACTGTAAATGTTGACTGGTTGATATCTAGTTTTGGATATTTACTTTTAAAGTTATTAACGTTTAAAATTTAGGGCACGAGGCAGGTGCAGTGTAGTGTAGTATTATTTTTATCTACATTACTCTACCTCACTCCACCTTCTGTCATAAATTTGAAACTCTAATAGCTTTAAAAGATGTTATCAAAAACTGGTTATCAACCAGTTAAACATTTTCAGAAAATTATTCTTAATTTAAAAAATTATTAAAATATATAAATTATCATTTAAGTTTCACAAGTCAATAGAGCCTTAGAAAATACTAAAAAAACTTATTAATTTTGTAATATTGTAAAATAACGTACATAAAAATACTTTCTAAAGAAAGCTTAAAAAACTGTTATTACGTTCTGTGAAAATCAGTGTCTTAAACGTTAAATTGATCACCCTGTATTCAATTATTATAGAATAAATTTTCTATAACAAAAACAATACTGATTATAATTTAATTACATTGAAACGTATAAACAGTAAAGAAGGTGAATTAAAAACTTAGGAGATAATGGTATTCTTGGTAAATGTTTTGTGGAAGAAGAAACATCCGACTTGCTGGATGATGATGGACGTCTATGATGAAAACCTTGAGTAACCATTCTATTAACAAAAAAAAAACATAAAAATAAATAAATTAAGTACTATTAAAATATGTATAAGACTATACATTTTTAACTATAGCTTTATTATATAATTGCTATATATCCAAGAAAACCTCATATTTCTTTTTAAACTTTTTGGTATACCGAAATAAAAAAATAAAACATGTAGTAAAAGTTAATTATCAGTAACAAAATGCGATTTTTAATAAACAAAATTGTAAATACCGTTTTAAATTGTATTTTCCATTTTATGTTTTAATTTGCCATTTATTACAAAAAGGGGTACAGTAAAATACGTTTGTACCCAAATTGTGACTATATCCCACTCAAATATGTGACCTTCAATTTGCATGAGTTATATATATTGTCACAGATAGCCATTCTAATCTTACTAATAGGCCATTCACCCTCAGACCATCTTAAACTTAACTGGCCAGTTAAGAGAGTTAGTGTCTTGGACTAGGCTTATCGAGCTTTGGGCTCAATTATTATTTTTTTGCTTTACACACCTTGAAGGCGTTTCGCAGCTTCTACTAAGACTCTCCAACGATCCCTGTCATCGGCCTCCTCCATTACTACTGTTTGATCCGTTATTTTTAGATCATTCTTTACGCGGTCCATCCACCGCTAGCGCGGTCTTCCTCGCAGTCTCTTCCCAGATGGATTATTGGTTAAAACTTAATTGATCAGATTCTACTTCGCCCTCCAAACATGCCCAGCCCATTCTAATCTTTTGGATATTAGAAAACTTTGAATGTTTGGTTTGTTGAACAGTCTCTCTATGTCTGTGTTTTTCCTCCGCTCAAACTCCCCATTATCCGGGTTTCGTATAGGTCCATATATTCTTCTCAGAATCTTTCTCTCGAACCTCAACAGTTTTCCTACGTCATCCTTTATTGTTGACCATGTCTCACATCCATACATGATGACTGGACGGATATAAGTAGTATAAAGTTTTATCTTTGATTCTTTTGATAAAAGTCTTGATTTGAACATCTTATTCATGGCGAAATAACCTCGATTTGCTGCCGCTAATCTCAAATTTATTTCATTGTGCATATTATTGTTTGCATTTATATTGACTCCCAGGTATTTAAAGTTATCCACCTGCTCAAAAGTGTATTGACCTATATTGAGATTTTGTTTATTGATTAAACGCCTAGTCATTATCATATACTTTGTTTTATCTTCATTAATTTTTGGTCCTATTCTTTGGCTAGCTTCTATTAGCTTAAATGTACTTGAGATTATCTGGTCTTGAGATTCTCCCAGGATTACAATATCATCGACATATGCTAGTAGAGTCTTGTTCCCAACTAGTTCCATGGACCTGTTATCCTTCATATCTCTAAATTATTATTAGTCTAATAAAAATTAGACAAGTGTATGATTAATTTTTTAGAAAAACTCTTAAATTATAACTACAAAAAACTGTTCAATTAATAATCTTTTTTTATTTGTTTTATACACATAATATATAGGTTTTTTTGGATAAACAATGCATTACTACTAATAATATACATACTTTGATGTAACTCTATAAAAACGATCAAAGGGATTATAAACGTCTGATAGAAGATTGATATTTTTGTAATAAATGAAGTACAAGTTGCTAAGAACTTCCATTCTGTTAGACGCTGAAAGTCTTTCAATCTGATTAAATGGCCCTCGACGAACTGGATGAGTGTCTCTTTGTTCTAAACGACGAATGGCAATTTCTGTCAATGAAGTTGGAGCTAAACTACTCGGCTAATTTAAGTAACAATGTTTTATGAATTATTATACATACATAGTCTTTATTAATTCAAGTGTTTGTTAATAAATACCTCATGGTAAATTGATGGCTGTGCCAATGAAGGCAGTCGGAATGATATTGATCTTGGTGTGTTATTTTCATCGACAGCTTCAAGATTGTAAATGCCAATCAGTAAAGCTTCAATACTCCGACAACTCTAAAAAAATGTTATATAGATTAAAAATATAAATTCATATTATATTAATACCATTATATTCAATACAAACCTGTTTGTCAATATGAGCAACAGAGTTTAGGTAACTATATGTTAAGTGTGGTAAAAATAATAAAACAAACAAGTGTAAGTCAGTTTCTTCAGTTCTATAGCAATTAAATAGAGCACCACATACACGATCGACTAACTACATAAAAAAAAAGATGAAATATAACCATTAGTTTTTAAATTTTAAATATTTAACATAAAAATTATGTATAGTATTTATACATTTTATCATTTTAAACAACAAATATTATTCGTCATTAATGATAATTCGCTTATACATAATAAAAAACAATAAATATAGAATGTAATATGTTATACTATATAAGTATAATAATATATTATATGAGTGATATATTAAATTACCTACATTAAATTTTTCATTACTTGTAGATTTATAGATTGATTATATATAAATAGACCACACTATATACTTTAAGAACAATCCAATTTTGGAAGCTATACTAATCATTTATAATTAGTTGCATTATAATTTCATTTACCTATTACCTGTGGGCTAGTTATGTATAGTTTAAGCTTGGACAGCAATAATGCAAGCTAATGCTTGTTGATCGATTGTGAAACTGTTTAAAACGCTGTATTTTGACCATTCGAGTTCAAGCAGTGATGAACTTATCTTAATTTCAGAAAGTATTATTGCTGTTTTTTAAATCTTCAAATTTTAATTTTAAATCTCATTTATCATACCAGTGTTGTACTTAAAGATAGAGGGCACCAGTGTGGTTGCATATCATCTCCCTTTTCCTAAGTTTTTTTTTTCATTATAATTTTACACAACTGCATTACATTCATTAAAATGATTTGTAAACATTAACATTTAAATTTATACTTATGCTCTTGATACTGGTATATTAATTTAATTTAGCCTTGAGTACCTATACAAAACTAGTTTTATTCTACTAATTAAAATTAAAAATACAGACAATTTTATCAAGGTCTTTTAATAACCAATATTTAATATTCTGTTTACATAGAATTATGAAAAATGTCATGAAACTTCAGCTTTTTATGTATAAAACACCGAATTTATAGGTAGGCTACCTATTTAATAATTTTATACACCAATAATTTTATACACCATTTTAATTTATAGGTTGTATCAATAATTTATTCCTTAAAAATAAAAAAATTATAATTTAAACAACTCAAATAAACTTACTTTTGAATATTTTTTAATATCATCAAACACAGCATACAATGATTCGATAAGGGTTTTATTCTGAGATGTTGTTATAGCGAATGTAGCCCAATCATCGTTTTCTAAAGTGGCGATTTCAGATAGCCAATCTTTAATTAATGTCTCTACCATGACTTAATACTCATAACATACACTTTCAGTGGTGTAATCTGAAAATAAAATTATTTGAATACAATTTTTTTTCATGCATAATACATTATGGTAGCTTGAAAACCTAGTTGTTATGTAATTATTTATTAGTACACACTAAAATTATAAGCACAATATAACTCGCTTATTAATAGTCGTTTAAATTCATTCTGACAATTAAAATTTTATGTTTTATACTAATAATTATATAAATAGTAAAAGTTTTTAATAATAGTAGTGAATGACAAAAATTATTATTACAATATTATGACTGACGAGATTGTAAGCAAAATTTACAATTAGGACGTAGGTTGTAGATGTATGCAATATTATATTATACAACTATAGGGCGAAAGTAATTTTAAAATAACACTGCGAAGAGAAAACCATCAGCTAGTCGATCCTCTTCGACGAACCATTCTCAATTTACACTGTGTAATGACTAAATACTAATGTCTAAACAGCAATGAGCAAACTGCAAACCCTAATCAGTTAACTTATCATAAGTAGTATATATCAATAAAAACTATCGAGGTCATAATAATGTTACTTACAACAGTCTCGATATTAAACACTATCGATTATATTCAAGTTGTTATGACATTGTGATCCAATTACCTTATTATGTCATAGGTAACTTGTAAAAACTCGAATATAATCGATAGTTTTTAATATCCAGACAGTTGTAACATTATTATACAAGTATAATTTACTAATAAAACTTTTAAAGTTTTAACACAGATTTGATTTGTATTCCGATTTTTGTGGTTCTGACAACTGTACGCACATCATTAATTCTAAACTTCTGCATTCATGCGCTTGTATCTAAAATAATTTGTTCAGACATTTTATTTTATAGCTTGGGTGAAATAATTTTAGGTACTACTTCAAGCACGTTTTTAAGTACTTACGTCTTACTCGTAAGTCATATGCAATACAGCCTTGAAGATACTTTATGAATATATTGTGATAAGAATAACTTGGTTACATTTATTACTTAATTAATTCCTTGATTTTTTAATGAATTATTAGGGGGTTCATACATACTTCTTTAAATATATTCGATAGGTCATTAAGGTCATTTTATTTCTACGCAATCTATTTCTGAAAATACATGTTTAGTGGTAGTTTAGTATTTACAAATTATATTTTTGGTAAAGTTGTATTTAATTTGAATTGTATGTAATATAAAAGTACAATAGCTAAACCTTTATAACTGCCAAGGTATTCGTATTTTTTTTAAGAAAGTTTAGTCTATTATAGTTTATTTTTTTATATAAATGATTAATAAAAATAATTCAACATTTCTACAAAAAAGTAAATCAGTTATTTAAACTGAAACTCATTCCCAAAAAAAATAAAATAATTACACTTAACATAAAAATCTTATTATGAGTCACATCTCCTATGGTGATATTTTAATAAAAAATTATGCAATTCTTCATATTCTTTAAAAAATTAGCAAGAAATAGCACAGTATAGGTTTCTTTTATTTTTTAATTTTACTACATTACTACTTATGAAACCCCTAATTTTAGAGAAAAAAAATAGATAAAAATGTCGTAATAATAATGGTCTCTAGATGATTATAACCTTATTACTTTATATTTCTATAAAAAACATCATATTATGTGATATGGATGCATAAACCTTATACTACACTAGAGTGACTTATATTAGTATATTAAGATTTATGGAATTTATTTTTAATTTTAATCTACTTTGTTATTATTTTAAAGTACACAAAGTTGAAGACTCAAAAAACCTATTATAGTAATTTGTGTATAGCTTTTTGTTTATATTTATTAACACAGTGGCGGATTTGAGGGGGGGAGGGGGGGGTCGATCGCCGCCCCCCCCCCTTGGCCCAAGAAAAAAGTGGTTGTAATAAATTTCGACCATGTCAATTAATTTACCTGTTAATTTGTATAAGCTTTATGGTATTATTTTTAATTTAAATCATTTGGTCTACGAGTAAAAGCCATTTTAGTTAATATAATAGTACTTTTTTTGTTCCGTCGCTGAAAACAGATTTGAATTCGTCATAAAGATTACTTGAGATCGGTCAGCTTACTTTTTTTAAAATTTTAAAATCAAATTTGAAAAGGGTTAAAATTAAAAATTGTAAAGTACCCTGATCGATACTAAGTAAACTTCATGGCGAATTCAAATTACTTATCAGATTACTGGTATGGCCTGTGCAATGGACATAAAATTACGTGTTTTGACTGAAAAAACGGCCGGCATCGAATCCTCTTAAATGTAGATGTTATTGAAAGATTTGCTAAAGAAAAAAAAAAGATGCATTAATTTTATATTATGAATATCTGGTATTGTACTTTACTTAATTACAAGTATGTATTTGTTTTAAACAAACTTGTTGTAGCTATTTTCTATGAAAGTTTATTGGGTCAAAATTAAACTGAATTAATAATAATTAATTAAAAATTAACTAATCGAAATAATTAATACATTGTAACATATTTTGTAGACAATTAATAATAAGTAAAAAACAAAAAAGGTAATTTTATTATACCTACAAAAACGAAAATTTGCCCCCCGCCCTTGAACAACCCCTGGATCCGCCACTGTATTAAGATCTATTAGCATTTGGTTAATTTGGCCATTGAATTACCAAACTGTTTACTTGCGAAAGTTAGGTTTATCAACATACGGCTTATTGGTCCATAATATACATATCATAACAAAGTAGTGTACTACTTGATTGTACAAAGTAAAATAATAGTAAGTAATTTAAACAAAACTTATTTTTTGGTTCCAAAAGCACTTGCATCTATATATACTCGCATCACAATGGCAGCGTCCACTTGTTTCTGTTGGTCAATTATCATATCATAATTGATATAACATATATATATATATATATATATATATATATATATAAAAATAATTCAAAATAATGAATTTAGAAATTAATAACATATATTATACAATCAAGTTTCTGTTTTTCATATTAAAACCTCATCTATTCACTATAACATGACAATTAATCAATGTGCAATACACAATTCTTGTTTCACAAAAATATGGCAGAGTATTTAAATTACAATTTCTGTATCGCCTAGTTCTTCATCACTAGGTAGTTTAATTATACTGGGATCAATATAATTTGGGTCAATTAGTGGCAATCCTTGTTCTTCTCGTCTTCGTAATTCAAGGAAAGCCTCTCTTTCAGCCCAATTTTTGTAATTATAGTCAGGCATATATGCAAAAATAAATGCACCACCAACTATACAAAGACTAACTGAAAAGAATGCAGTTGAATGCATTGCATTTAAATCTTCTGTCTCATCATCTTTTTCAAAACCGTATGATTGCCAGTTTCGCTTGGGCTGGAAAAAAAAAGTATAATAAAATAATAACATTGTAGACATTTTTTTTTTTAGAAATTATTAAAAACTGTTGTTATTACAGACAGGGAGAATAAGTGCATGGACCATAGACTTTAATTCTATGATTATATTCTATTCTTAATTGGACCATAAATACCTAGTAATCAAAAATACGGCCAAGATACTAGGAAAACCAACATTGGATTACTAAATACCAGTCTTAAAGTTGTTAATTTTACGAATGGTTTAATGAATGTAAAAAGCTAAGAAATAGATTAAATCATGTTATTATTTTGTACTTGACGGTTTTTCTAGCAAATGTATTTACTTGTTCTTGTTCCTTTATTTCTGTGTCTGTAACGCAAACTTCTTGATTCTTTTTTGATGTTGAAATAAAACGTTGAGGTAATTTAGGTGTTTGGAGAATAATTTTATTAAATTTTGGTATTCGAACCAGTTTGACTAAAGAACTCATTTTTAAATTAAAATTTCACCGGCAAAATTTACTGTAGTTGGAAAAATTAATGAAAAAATTACGAAGTACAAAAAAAAACATTATCCTTGTACAATGTACTGTGAACTAAGGCTGATAAGGGAAGAGCAGCTGTTTTAGTTGGCAGCATTGTACCTTTAAAATTTCAGTCTTCATCTACTAACACCCGTTATCAAACAATTTTGTTTTGTTTAATTTTTAATGTAATGGATCATATTATCACCATGAGTCTTCAAGTAACGTCCTGCAGGTCACTAATAATTAATACGGAGTAGGGACTTGGGAATGATTTTTATCAAACGTGTTTATTTTTCGAGGGAAAAGTAATTTCTACAGTTGTTGTTTGTTGTGGTCTTGAGAGATGAATTTAAATTTTAATGGTTAATGTTAAAAAATGAAAACAAATCATTTTTTTCATCTTAATTGTTATGAGTTATAAATAATATTTTACATTCATATTTAAAAAATACCAACTATTAACAATGCCTTCTGTAGCTTTAGACAAAGAAACATTTTTTAAGAGGCTAAAACAATTGTACCATTTCTGGAAGGTAAAACTTAATTTTACTACCACTTAGTTTTTCGTCAGTCGTCGAAAAAAATGTAATTGAGTTTCTGCTTTTGATTAAATTGTTAAATTAGGTTGGACATTATTTTTGGTTGCTAATTTTTGCTAACTAAAGTTTAAAGAAAATTGGTTGTAGAAATTTGTAAAAACTAATTTTTTTACATTTTATAAACTGCATTTTACCATCCATTTCAATTAATTTTGTTATGCAATTTTTTAATGTTCAATGTAATTGTGTATCTTTGAATGTTGTCAGTCAGACTAGCTTTTAAAGTTATAAACAAACGCTTAATTTACTTTTTTTTAAATGTAATATTTTGTTAAAATAAATATTTTTTTTTAAATATCTACATCTAGAATGATGCTGTAGTCTGAAATTGAAATCATGTTAAAATGTAAAATACATGTTAGAAAAGACATTTATAGGAAATAATCGTTACAACTTTCTAGCGTAATGTCTCTATGTGTAAGAACATTTCTTACATCAAACGTTAAAACTAACTCCCAAACCTAGAAACAAGCAAAAATGAACTTTAATCCGTTTCTAATTAATACATTTTACTACTTTAAAATGTCTAAGCTATAAACATTATTTTTACTATATTTTATAAAATGTAATAACTTTAATATTTTTCAAATACAATTTGTTCAATTAACTTGGTTTTTGAATAAAAAATTGGTCTTAAGTTTAGTTATTCTGTATCTAGTATCATTATTTGTTTATAAAGCTACTCTAGTTGATATTAACATCTTAATTTATTATTAAACAATTTAAAAACTAATATTGGATAGGGTCTTAGAAAATATGTTAGTTTGAGACATAATATGTGAATGAATTCAGTTTACTTAGTATTGGTGACTCACTTTCTTGATACTGTTACTTTGACAAATGAAAAATATCCTAGGTTTTAGAGGGAGTCAAAGGTCTGGGGAACAATAGTTTAAAAATACTGACTAATTTTCAAAAATGTAGATACATCAAGTACGATAGTGTTTGAAGGTTAAACTTCAAAAGTTGTAGTAAAATTCTAGTCAATTTCTGACTACTTGTTTTGTAGTCACAGGCGAGTAATTGTCTGGTAAAAAGGAGCCGCCATTTTTCTCTCCGGCGACGAACTGACGACCTGTCCCAGATAGTAAATTTGTCTAGAAACAATCTCATGAGGAAGCATTGAGCCTTCAAGGCCCGTTGTGCTACATGATGATTAAATTAACCTATTGTTTTTAATTTAAAAAAAAAATTGGTCCATAGCTATGAGTCCAAGCAACAGTTATGACTAACCATTGTGTTCAGAATAATTATAAAATAGAAGTATAATAAAGTTCATCAGAATTAGCCACAATTATATTTTATTTTGTAGAATGGAAAAGATGAAAATGTGCAACTTTTATCTGATGTTGACGCTTTTACGTGTGCTGTTGGTGTTGATGATTATACTATGTATAGCAAGTCATCATCTTTGCAGGTTAGAATATTAATGTTCTTTATGTTTAAAGTGTAATCTAGTATTTTGTGTTTCAAAAAGACAAAAATATTTTAAAACAAAATAAAAAATACTGAAAAGTATTTTAAACAGCCCATCCCTGTTTTAAGCATATATGTTTAACAATTTATTAATTACTTAATATGACTGTAGATTTGGTTGTTTGGATATGAGTTAACAGATACAATATCTGTATTTTCATCAGAAGGACTACACGTTATGGCAAGCAAAAAAAAAGTTGAGTTTTTAAAACCTGCTGAAAATTTCAAGGATTTTGACTCTCCTGTTGTTCGACTTATTACAAGAGAAAAAGTATGTACATTTACCTCTAATTGTAAATACTATTTAAGATAAATTTATTTCTCTTGCCCTTAAGAATTAACAGTATTGTATTATGTACCTTAACATCTTACAAACAAATAAAAAAAAATCAACACAGTTATAACAGAGCATAGTGGGTTCTGAGAGCTTACAGGGTTTTAAAAATTATAATAATTAAAAGTGATAAAATCACTTTGAAATCAACTAAGAGAATTTGGAACTGTAGCTGGTAAAAACTATTAATTATAAATCAGTTTATAGACAGTAAATGTATTTTAACCATATTGTTTGATTTATTGAATTTTTCTTTAAAAAAATATATATATATGACTATACATTTTTATATATTTTTGGTAACACTAGTAATACCATCAGTCTAATTTTCAGACCTTAAGCCCCTAAACTACCTCTTAAAAACTCAAAGGAAAAGTGTCAAAGGATTTGAAATATTTTTTTTTACTTTTGACTAATGTTATACCTAAAGTACACACTATTGAAATTTATAAATTGTTTTATCATTTTCAAAAAATTATAGGTAGATTGACATAGTTTTACATTGGATAATGTGTAAATTTGTAAAAATTAATTTTAAAGGTGAAGGGGTAAACTTTACAACTTTCTGGTACAATTTGTAATCAATTGACTTGCTACTTTAAAAAAAACGGTTGTGCAAATTAAGTCTGTACACCAAAATAAAAAATATAAAAACACATTTTAAAACTAATACTCTGATATCTTCAGAGGGGACCGATATTCTATCTGCTCAACATGTAGAAAAGAGTAATATATTATTTTAAATGTTAATTAAAATTTTTTTTGATCTAATCTCATTTTATTACATAATTAATTTTTTTAATTTATGACATGAATAATACTTACAATATAAGTGTTAATTGTTAAAGGGTGGCAATGACAAAGATGGTTTTGACAAATTAATTAATGTTATTAAAAGTAGCAATAATGGTAAATCAGTTGGAATTTTTGGAAAAGAAAAGTATCCTGGTGCTTTTATGGATTCATGGAGGTCAGAATTCGATAAAGGAGGTTTTGAAACTGTAAGTTTTTGTATATTTTGGTATATTTATTTCTTAATGTCTTATAAACAGTATTGTAATATTTTTGAAGGTTGACATAAGTGCTGTAATAGGATATATATTGAGTATTAAAGCTGAAAACGAAATTATATTAATGAAAAAAGCCAGCTTGAGCTCAGTTGATTTGTTTAATAAATATCTTAAAGAACAAATTATGGAAATAATTGATTCAGATAAGGTTAGCTTCATTTGTAACAGGCTCCTCCTCTGTATTTAATAACATATAATAATCATCAACCCATTTCTCTTTAGAAAGTAAAGCATACAAAGCTTGTTGAAGGTCTTGAAGGGGCTATATCGGAGAAAAAATATTTACCGACAAATGTTGATCCGTCTCAATTAGAATATTGCTATCCTCCTATTATACAAAGTGGAGGAAATTATAGTTTAAAATTTTCTGCTTCAAGGTATATCATTATTCGAATAAATAATAATTATACTACCTAAATTATTTATATTTTTTCTGGAAAAAAAACAAATTGTTATTTTATGTTTTAGTGATAAAAATATATTACATTTTGGCGCTATAATATGCAGTTTAGGAGCACGTTACAAATCATATTGTTCCAATCTTATAAGAACTTTACTTGTTAACCCTACAGAAGAAATACAGGTATTATTTTGACTTGGACCTAATTTGATAGTATTCATAAGTAAAAATAAGCAAGTAGAAATTAAAATTTTAACTATGTTAAATTCAATTTTTTCTTAGTCAAACTACGAGTTTTTAATTAATCTGCATGATGTCCTAGTATCAGAACTGAAGGCTAATAATAAATTATGTAATGTGTATAACTCTGGATTGAATTACGCAAAAAAGCAAAAACCAAATCTTGTTGATTTTTTGACAAAGAATTTTGGGTAAGAGTTCGTTTTTTTTATTATATTATTATTATTTAAATGATATTATTCTTAATATATTTTTTTTCTCTTTCTTTGTGTAGCCTCACAACTCTGTAAGAGTTTAGGCTGCTACTGTTGCCGACCTCCAATAATCACAATCTTGGATCCTTTCCTCCCAATCCGTTACTTCTAGTTTCTCTAGATCTTGACGCACTCCATTCATCCATCGTTTCTTGGGTCTTCCTCTGTGTCTTTTTCCTGTTGGTTTGTATTCAATTGACGCCCTAACTTCATTTGTTTCTTCTCTTCTCGTATTCTTAATATCAACTGATGTATTATTTTAGGTTTGCAATGGGCATTGATTTTCGTGAGAGCTCATTAATGATAGCTCCAAAAACTACTGCACTTGCTAAAAAAGGACAAATTTATAATTTGTGTGTTGGTATGTCAGGGTTAACAAATAAAGAAGGAACAGACCAAGCGAGCAAAGTATATGCGTTATATGTTGGAGACACAGTTTTAGTTAATGACGTAAGTATAATACGTATTTATTATTGTTATTCATTAAAAATAAATATAAATTGTCACATAAATCAATTATTATTGAAATGATTAAATTTTAATAACATGATCATTATATTATAAAGTTTTAACCTTGTTTAGTTCATTAACCTGTTGTGTAACAGATATACAGTAAAAAATGACCCAGACTTATTAGTTAATTTTGTAGGTTTTTTAATAAAATATATAACAGCTGCATGGGTTACTAATAGTAGCTAATAAATAAATTACAAGTAGACTTGGTTTAGTATCATTTATATTTATGGCTTTATTTAACTCTTTATGGTGTTTTAAAATGTATGTCAGTATTTGGAAATTATTTACTAAGGTTTTAGAACGTCTTTTTTATTATTATTATTTTAAATGGCTGAAATCGACATTTTACATTTAAAAATCATTGGTTTTAGGATACTGCGGCTACTTTATTGACTCCATCTAAAAAAAAGTTGAAAAACATTGCTATATATTTAAATGATAATGATGCTGAAGAGGAAGAAGATGATGAAAAAGAAAATGAACCAAAACAAGAACCAATTGTTGGCAGGGGTAAAAGAACAGCAGTGTTAGAATCAAAACTTAGAGTTGGTGTCTTTTTTTTTTTTATACTTTAGTTTCTTTATTTTTTACTGTGTTTTTTCTATATTTTTAGATGGATTCATCAAGTGAAGAAAAACGAAAATTACACCAGAAAGAATTAGCTGTTGCTTTGAATGAAGCAGCCAAACAGCGATTAGCAGAACAATCTAGCGGTAAACAAGCACAAAAAGTAAGAAAATCGAATGTGTCCTACAAAAGTAGAAATCAAATGCCCCAAGAAAAAGATGTTAAAGACCTTAAAATTTACGTTGGTATGACTTTGTTAATTTATTAATTATACTATTTATTCAGAATGATGTTTTTAAACTATGTTATAACAAGTAACTAATGTTGATGTTGTTATTATTATTTAGATAAGAAGTATGAAACTGTTATACTCCCGGTATTTGGTATTCCTGTACCATTTCATATATTCACAATAAAAAACATTTCCCAGAGTGTTGAAGGCGATTACACATATTTGAGAATTAACTTTTTCCATCCAGGGGCTGCTTTAGCTAAAGGGGAAAATTATTTTCAAAACCCCGAAGCAATGTTTGTAAAAGAATTGTAAGTTTGATTATTTATTTTTTTTTGTCTTAGTTATTTTTTAAAATAATTATCTTTATAAAATTGCTTTTAGAACATATCGAAGCTCAAATACAAGAGAACCCGGTGAACAAATTACAGCTTCAACTAACATGATGAACGCTTACCGACTAATCAAAGAAATACAAAAGAAATTCAAAACTCGTGAAGCCGAAGAAAAAGAAAAAGAAGATTTGGTTAAGCAAGATACTCTAGTATTATCTGTAAACAAAGGAAATCCAAAATTAAAGGATTTATACATTCGGCCAAATATTGTAAACAAAAGAATGACGGGTAAAATTACTCAATTTTATTTTTATTTTTTATTTTTTACGAAATGAATATTAAATTAAAGGTACATTGGAGGCACATTCAAATGGATTTAGATACACGTCTGTCAGAGGAGATAAAGTTGACATCTTGTACAACAATATCAAGAATGCTTATTTCCAACCATGTGATGGTGAAATGATTATTTTGTTACATTTCCATCTAAAAGTAAGATTCACATACTAATAAATCTAGATGTTAAATTTTGTTAATTTGTGTTAAATTAAATTAATTGTTTACAGCATGCCATTATGTTTGGAAAGAAGAAACATTTGGATGTACAGTTTTATACGGAAGTTGGTGAGATAACTACTGATCTTGGTAAACATCAACATATGCATGATAGGGACGATTTGGCTGCTGAACAGTCAGAACGTGAATTGCGTGTTAAATTGAAAACTGCGTTTAAAAGTTTCTCTGAAAAAGTACTATTAATATATTTCAATATATTGTAAAATATGAGTTCAAAATCTTTTTTTTTTCATTAACAGGTAGAAGCAGTAACCAAACAAGAAATTGAATTTGATACACCATTTAGAGATTTGGGTTTTCCTGGGGCACCATTTAGAAGTACTGTTCTCTTACAACCGACCAGTGGCTCTCTTGTAAATTTCACTGAATGGCCGCCATTTGTTATAACTTTAGAAGACGTCGAATTAGTTCATTTTGAGCGTGTACAATTTCATTTGAAAAATTTTGATATGATTTTTGTTTTTAAAGATTACCATAAAAAAGTTGTTATGGTTAATGCTATTCCAATGAACATGTTGGATCATGTAAAAGAATGGCTTAAGTATGTAGAATTATTTTAGTCACTTACAACAAAATAATTATGTATCTTTATACAGCTCTTGTGATATTCGATACTCGGAAGGTATTCAATCGCTAAACTGGACAAAAATTATGAAAACAATAACTGACGACCCTGAAGGATTTTTTGAAAACGGTGGTTGGACTTTCCTTGACCCTGAATCTGATGACGAAGAAGGAGCAGCAGATGAAGAAGAAGAAGAAGATGAACCATATGAGGTAATATATTTTTTGTTTTTAAACCACATACATAATTATGTATTGTCTTCAATAAATCATTCAATGACAAGTGTATGTATGATTTTACTAGAGATCCTTATTACATGTATATATGTTTGTGCATGCAATACTTATATAAATGTTTAATTTGAAAAATTGCTAAATTAATAATTATATTACATTTATTTTGAATACTATCCTATTTTGACCTATACAGTTTTATCATTATTTGCAACATAGCAATATGAAATTTCCCTCCAAGTCTGAGAGAATAGTACAGGTTAAAAATAAAAATAATAAATTGTTGACTGATCTAAAAGTTATTGTGTACACATAATCTTATTATAGTTCCCCTGGTGTGAAATGATTTAAAATGTTACTAATTCTCAAGAAATTTTTCTCCAACCTCTCCCTCCATTGATAGAATATAATTCCCAACACTTCATGTCCTCTTATCGACTAATACCACTTCATCAGCAAACAATAAGTACTATGGCTCCCTTATAAAATTGATCTCCTATTAAAATTATAATATTACATTTACAAATTTAGTATTACGCTATATTTGTTGCAATAATAAATTGATGATATTATGCTTTAATAGATACATTTTTCATTTTTAGCCTACTGATGTAGAATCTATTGAAGATTCTGATGATGGATCAGAATATTCCGAAGCTTCTGAAGATTCAGATAGTGAAGGTAATGCAAAATAATTTATTACTGATCCAGTGTGTATAATATTTTGCACAATTTCAGAGGAAGAACTAGGATCATCTGACGAATCAGGTAAAGATTGGTCAGACTTAGAGAGAGAAGCTGCTGAAGAAGATCGAGATAGAAATGAATTTCAAGACGAATATTCTAAAAAGAATAGTAGTGGGAGCCGTTTTTCTAGTTCCTCTTCACATAAAAAACGTAGTAGTGATAAACACAGGTAATAATACATTTTTTAATGATTATAATATCGATTGTTGTATGGCAAAATGGCCTCAGCAACACTTTGGGTCTGAGCGACCTGACACTACGAAATGGAGTAGCAATGGATCGGGAAAGTTGGCAGGAAATTTATTTTTGGAGGATTTTGAGTTCAAAACCCACTAGTAAAAGATTTGTTTTCTTTATAAGTTATAAATATAGAATACTATTTGTCTACTTTAATCATTATTGTATGATGTATATTGTACAATATTCTCAATTAATAATCTTATAAATTGTAGGCATTCCTCTTCATCATATTCAAAGATAAATAATAGTTCAAAAAGCTCACCACAAAAGAACAAACCTCATTCCAGCAGCCATTCAAGGTATTTATTGTATTAAATTTATTATTTTAGTGCTAGAATAGTCATTCAAATTTTGAACTAATTTTATTTTATTATAATATAAGTAGTTAAATTGATAATTTCAATACAAAAGTATGTGTTATTAAATTATTTTGGTTCTAGCTCATCAATTCATTATAAACAATTATTTTGTTTATCGAAATAAAAAAAATAATAGTAACATAAAACACACTAATAATATATTGGTAGTGTAAAAAGTAAATTTTTTTTTTTGTTTACTTATGATGAATTTTATTTTTACTTACAAAAAATATCAGAAATCAAAGTAACAAATAACTAAGGCTTTTGGTCTTGGCAAGGGGGTTTACTGCCTCCTAGATCGCCCTTCTTCATATCACCGCACATCCAGCAGAGTCTGTAAAACAGAATATGCTTTTTTTTATGCCTACCTAATACCTAAATACATACATGTGTGCTCCCAAATTGTATACTCGTAATAAATATTAAGTTAAACAAACTTTATACAACGATGAATTGACTAGATACTAAGAATATAATTCCAACACAATAATATTTAGTGAAGTTTATATTTTTTTTCCGACATGATGTGTGCAGTCCAAGCAAGAATAAATCATCTCACCATCGTTCAAGTAGTCATTCTAGGTAAAAAATACATATTTTTGCTTATAATTGTTTGTAGTTTTACTCTTAATTTTAATCAAAATAAATATTTTTAAGAAAAATTAAATAAAACCGGTTTTTATATATATATATATGTCAGCACTAAACTAATATAGAATAGTTATGTTCTATACATAACTATTGTATGTGCATACTTCTTGCATGCGAGAATAATTTAACAGTTATAACTTATCTTTCAAGCCAATAATATAGTTTTGAAATGTACGTTTTAAGAAAACCTTGCTTTAGAACTAGTAAAACCATATTTATCAATGATTTCTTTGTTCCTTTTGTAGCTTTTACATGTATACGTGTTAGGTTCCATTTATATATTAATTGTATATTAGTAATAGGTAGACATATTTATATTTATCTAGTTGTAGGTTATTAATTTGTTTTTTTTTTTTGTGTTTTGCAGTCCATCTAAAAATAAATCTTCATCGTCTCATCACAAATCAAGCACCAGCAATTATCATAGCAGTAGTAGCGGAAGCAAACATAGGTCATCTGGTAGTGAAAAACGTAAACACGATAACAGTGGTGACCGGCATTCTTCAAAAAAGTCCAAGTATGGTATTTTATTCAAAACATAATTAAATTTTTATGATAAATCACTCCATTATTTTTATTGTCCTATGTTTAAAAAAAAAAATAGCTCATACAGAAAACTCGTACATCAAAAAAACTCCATAAAAGTATAAACACTCATTAATTTGTTTAAAATATTTTATAGGTACATTTCCCTACAACTCACAATTTAATTTATGTTATTTGCCAACCTAATACTAATTAGATAACCCTTGTTGTTTATTATTCCACTGTTATCTTTAAAACAAATTTCTTACGTCCTTTTAAAAAATGGTATATAGCAATCTTAATTAAATAAAACAGTGTTAGCATCCTTCATATTACTTGGCCTCGTTGCTCCTAATCATTTTTAATTGTCAAGATCAATAAATAAATGTTGTAATTATTATTATTTAAGTTATCTATCTTATTAGTTTTAATTTTTTTTATTTATTGAACTTTTGACTTTTTAACTGTGTGTAAAAGTTAAAAATTGTTAATGTAGTATGTATTTAATTAATTGTGTTGTTTGTGTATTTTAGGAAGTAGAAACGTTATTGGAAATTCTTAACTGGAATGAAAACTTAATGTAATTATGTAGTAATTATTCTAAAAAATTACATGTTTGGTCAAAAATTTAATAATCTTGTTTAGAAAAATATTTGTAAATTTTTTTAAAGTTTTTTATTATATAAACATTTTTATTTTGTAATTTATTTATAATTTATGATAATAAACAAATGGGTTTTTTCTTTTTATATTTGTATTGAAATAGAATATCAGAAAAACATGATATTTTACCCCAACGCAATGAGTTATTTTTATTTGTCAATTACAAATACAAACAATAAATATTTATAAATACAAATTTTTAATAAACATTTAACTTATTTAGAATAAAAATAATTTGAATATAATTTTTTTTTTAAGTTTTATAATAAATATTTAACCATTACTGTTGGAAATATTTTTCTTTTGATCAATCTGGAGGCTTTCAAGTGCAGAATACGGCAATGTAGCACTAACAGTAATGGGAGGCATACCTGGTAATGATATTGGTGTAGTCAGTGGCATTCCTGGATAAGCACCAACTATAAATATAAAAAAAATATTTATATACAAACAATAAAATAAAAAATAAATAAAATGATTACTTGATTGTTGCTGTGATTGAGGTACGGACATTTCTGGATAGTTATTTCCTAAATAAAAATAATAATTTAATAATATTTTCTATAAGGTATATAATTAATAAACATTATTTTTAATTTAATTATAAATAGTAAAAACCATTTAATTGAATTAGACCTGACTAAAAAAAAATTTCAGACCCGAACAAGTCGTTGCAATATTTTTTGGAATATACCAAGCTGTTACAATAAAAATTGTGATGGAATTTACACACGTAATTTTTTAGCTGGGTTAAGGTTCAATTTAAATTTTATTTCTGTCTGGCACAAACAAAATGATAAAAATTCAACAAATTGCCATAAACAGATAAGTATGCATAAAACTATCACCGTGTTGTCCCAGTGACAGCCATTTCCAGGTATGATTAAAAAAAGACATTTTAAATAATGATTTTATAAATAAGAAAAAGTTTTAATTTTGTACGTAGATATTCTTAAACCGGTTTTATGCCATATTATTATTAATTATTGGTATACTATAAAAATATTTCAATTATATAATATGGTATAAGTTAAAAAATATCAATTCAAAGTCCTAGTTCAGATTAAATAGCTTACCGAGTGGCTGGGCTAAAGGTGACATTTGTGGAAAATTCTTCACTGAAAACATTGGTATAGTGTCTGAATAATTAGTTGGGTTACTTTGTGGTGTTTGTGGATATTGAGTGAAATAATTACTTATTTCTTTAGTGTTTTGTTGTGTTCCACTAATAGAAGTTGAGTTACTATTTAGACTGGCTGGAAAGGGTTGTGCATAATTATTTTGTGGACTAATATGTTCCACTGGCATTTGGTTAAATGGTTCTTTTGCGGAAGGAATTGCTGACATAACTGGATTTTGAGATGTAGTAGTAACGGTCGAGTTTTCTGATGAGTATTGAGGCAATGTAGGTAATTGATGCTGAAATTGGTGTTGAGATGTTGAAGTTTGATTATTTAGTGGAGAGGTGTTTTGAAATACTGGTGCTTGAGTAGATGGTACAGAAACTGGGCTAGAATAAGTTGCTTGTTGAACAGGTAAAGAAGTTGGTCCTAGGGAATCAATATTGTTTAAAGTTGAAGGTATTGTTGTGCATTGATTGTTTTCTCCCAATGTCGGTTGTTCCTGAGAAGATATTTCTGTTGCAGGCTCTGAAGAAACTTCATGGCTAATATTCAATGATTGAGGGGTTAAAACAGGTGGACTTAGTGTTTGAGGTACTTGTGCGGCAGATGCCTGTATAAAAATAAAAAATAAATGAGTTAAATAAAATATTTGCAGTTAGTCATCATCAGTACCATAACATTATTGATAACCGCAGGTTTTATAACAGGAGGTGCAGGAATATCCTTATTTTGTGGCAATGTTCGTATAGGAATCCTATGCAGATAGCCATATCCAATTCCACAACCCAAACTGAAATACAAATGCAAACAATTATAAAAATAAATGTTCAGATTGATGATACTACCAAACAAAATAATATTGTTATTAAAAATATTTGTATAAAAATAATAATAAGACACCATCAATTACCTTCCATCACCAGGCCAATTAGAATCGGGTGTAATTGAAACTTCTCTACATGTATCTAATTCAACGTTATAAACATATAATTTTAATGGTCTACCCTCATGAGCTTCTATCAACATAAATAAATCTTCACTCTCATGCATAATTGAATCAGAACCAATTATGTAATCGGTATGTGGTTTCAGACCAGCCTTATCAGCTGGGGAACTTGGATGAACGTCCTAATAAAGAAAACAAATTGTATGTACTTGTACAATGTTAAAACATTAACTACTATTTTACTTACCAAAATATGCCAAACATTTTCGTTAGCACCAGCAAAAGAACAAAACCTTATACTAACTCCTAGTAATCCTTGACCACCCCAGCTACTATTTGGGATAATTTTAATTTCTCTAACTGTTTGAGTTTTGCTGCTATAAACAGCTAGAGTAATTTCTTTACCGTCTCCATTTTTTAGCATTTCTTTCAATACATCATTATCTTTATCCTAAACAATATTTAAACTATTACATACAACTAATTATTTTATAATAAATGTATAGAAAGACTTACAAGTCTGATATTATCTATAGCCAAAATGAAATCAAAAAACGCTTCTAAGCCAGCAGATTGACCAGGTGAATTTTCCTGAACCTATTTCAGGTAAAAGTCAAATTTTAAATAATTAAAATAAATTGTTTTATAACAACAGGTTTTGTATATTAATATATATGTGTCTTATAGAATATTGTATAATACTTTTAGAACATGATATCCTTCTGTTCCTCCGCCAGGAATTGGAGTACTCGCTGTACTACCCATTTTAAGTACCTATTAATGTTATTAATTTTTTAGGTATTCTCACAAATAAAATTCACTCATAACAACTGAAACGCGAGAAATTTATCCGATATTGGATATTTTCATAATTTAAAATAGGCCATTCGTTTTTTTAATTTTATTATTATCGAGTCACTTGTATAAGACACTAAGTTAAACTAAAGTAATTATATATTATAAAAACAACAAAGTTACAATGACGTGTACGGACTACGGTGTAACCATTATAATGTTTGATTATATTATCACCAATCGCTATCACTGTAAGAAGACCCTATATACCTAGTCCTATTATAATTAATTTCTACTTAATGTTGGAATAGCAACACTAACCAAAAAAACCACAAAAATCCGATAATCTGAAATGCAAAGCATAGCCCACAAATTCATTTTTCGATAAAAAGCCAACTATAATTTTTAAATGAAAATTCCAAAAAAATTAAGAACATTAATTGATTAAAAACATTTCATTTAGATTTGGGACGGTATGATTTAAATTTATCTAATACTAATATTTTAAATGCAATTATACGAAATTTAATTTTTGTGGGTTCAGGGTTGTGTTTCTGTTGCTAAGCTCCTCAATTGTCATAATAATTTAATTACTGTACATTCCTTCACTGGCGAAATTTTATATAGAAAAAAGGGGTCGTTGGATATGCGTTTATTTTTCATGTAATACTGTATACAATGCATATATACATCAATCCACCTTGACTGTTTACCTCAATTTTCAAAGTTTGGGATTGGAAGGTATTAGAAAAACACGATTACACACCAGGCCGGTTTCCCTATATTAATAGCTATTAACAGGGTCAGTGTTCTTTAAAACATTTGTTTACGTGAATTTATGTATATTATCCCACTATTGACTACGCAATACGCATAGTGTACAAACCGACATCCGTCATGTTTTCTATGGGAAAAGTGGACGTTGGGATTTATGAAACTTGGAAAAAGTGGTAGCAGCTCCTTTATATTTCCTGTTTATGGCACAGAATAATTTGTCCTGTGTTTATAGTCTTCAGACTTTGATAAAAATAAATTGATAATGTTTGATAATATAAATGACTTACTCCAATTTCCATTCTTATTCGTTCAAACTTTAACTGTTTCCTAAATCCTAATTCTTTATAGTTTATAATTAATATCAAGTTTTCAGCTTGATGAATTTAGAATTTTATTTCTCAAAAATAATGTCTATTAGATTTATTTGAAATGTGTAACTGATTATAAAATTTAAGTAAAATTATTATACTTTATAATTAACACTATTGAATATTCAGCGTACTATGTTATATTTGATAAATCTATAAGTCTAAATCCATTAACATGCCTATTTTATGTTCAGCAAATTGTGGTCAAAATGCGGTTCTCAAAGTTTGTAAAAATTTACTACATAATCAATTACATAATATAACAGTTAACAACAAAAACATAGAAGCTAATAACTGTCATTGCTTTTTTAATTACAAATTTAAATAACATTAATTATATAAAAAAAATTAAGATTGACCTATTTACTGGAGATGACTCCAATTTATATTTAAATTAGCGCCATCCGTAGTAGATGTGTCAAAAATAAAAAGTTCATAGCTTATATTATAATTAACATACATCTTAGATCACCACTAATATTACACCCAACTTATCAAAACCTTATGATGGTAGCTTAAAGGAATTAAAGGGTTGAGTATAGATTTAGGTAACTAGGGATCGTGAGAAACATCTAATATTTCAATTTTAACTTTTAATTTTCTGTTTGTTTAGAGACCAAAAACTGGAGATACGTTATGTAAAGAATGTTTTTATTGGGCATTTGAACTAGAGATACATAGTACTATTATTAATAGTAATTTATTCAAAAAAGGTGATGTAGTTGCAATTGCTGCATCTGGTGGAAAAGACTCCACTGTATTAGCACAAGTACTTAAAACTTTAAATGAACGCTATTCCTATGGATTGAAACTGGTACTATTGTCCATAGATGAAGGAATTACAGGTAATACTTCTAAATGTTTGTTTACTTTGTCTTTGGGACATTTGGTGTGGGCCCATTTAGGGTACACCCTTGGGAGAAATGTCTTAACGTAATTTGCTATCCGGTACAGGTCATTTATCTCGTATCGGACAAAGGTGATAATGACTACTTTTACTACTTATTTTTCAGTCAACAACCATACATTACATTAATATTTCAGTTTTCTATAAAATGTTATAGGTTACCGAGATGATAGTTTGAAAACTGTACATGAAAATAAAGAAGAATATGATATGCCTTTAAAGGTGTTGTCTTATGAAGAACTTTATGGATGGTCAATGGACAAAATTGTTGCTGAAATAGGACGTAAAAACAATTGCACATTTTGTGGTGTTTTTAGAAGACAAGCTTTAGATAGGGGAGCAATGTTATTAAAAGTTGATTGTATTGCCACTGGTCACAATGCTGATGATATAGCAGAGACTGTTTTAATGAATATTTTACGGGGTGATGTTGCAAGACTTCAAAGATGTGTTAATATTATAACTGTAAGTTCAATGTAATATAAAAGTAACTATTGTGTATAACACAATCATTTTTTACATAATCCTTTATTTTAAAGATATCGGGGAAAAATATTTCAGAAAAAAAGTATTTGTATAAAAAATGCCTTGAAATAAAGTACCTATCCCAAAAAATGTCATTAGCCTGAAAGCCTTATATTCTACCTGTATAACCTGTTATTAGTAATTTATATTTATTTTTATATTTTTTAACTTACCATTGTCACAATACCATATTATTGCCATATCATGGCCAATATAAGTTCTTAAACACTTCTGAGCCATTGTCTTTAACATTGCCTTATGAAATTTAAAGTAGGTTCGAACTAAAAAGGTATATGCCATGTTTTTTTTGTGTCTGAAGTTATGATAACTTTTTTCTGTGGACTGATTTACTGTGGGCCTTCACTCTATAGTAAAAACACAATTTTAAGTATATTATTGTCAATGCTTTTATATATATATATAAAGATACGCACCAAAGCGTTTATTTGAAATTAATTTTATTACTTTCAGTTAAAATAATATCTATAGACCTGTAACCTCATACCTCATGCCTGTACTCAATAGGCTATAGGCAATATAAAACACAATATTTAAAATTATATAAATGCTATGGTCAATGCTAGTGGTAGATATTTATTAACTGCAGTCTGTCACCAGTATATATTTACATTTATCAATTACAGACATACACTGGTGGTTGTCAACATCGCACCAAGAACAAACTTGTTAGTTAACTTGTATAATTCTATATTTTTTATGTAGGTTTCTGAAGGAGCTATTCCCCGTTGTAAACCATTGAAATACACATATGAAAAAGAAATTGTAATGTACGCATATTTCAAAAAGCTCAACTATTTCTCAACAGAATGTGTTTTCGCTCCAAATGCCTACAGAGGTCATGCAAGGACATTTCTTAAAGACCTGGAGAGACTAAAACCATCCTCAATAATGGATATTATTCATTCAGGTAAATAAATAATGTGATATAATAATTGCATTGCAAAAACAAAATCAAATTATTAACGTTGCCCTTAAATTAAAATATAATATAATTTTGCTTTTTCTTACAAATTGTACATATATTTTTGAGATACTCATCATTACGCAAAAAATTCTGTGTTCTAATTTATAACTTATATTAAATACGTTGTTTTATGTTCAAGGTGAAACCATGTGTATAAAAGAAAACGTAAAACTGCCTGAAAGAGGAATATGTACTAAATGTGGTTTTGTATCGAGTCAAAATATCTGTAAAGCATGCATGTTATTAGAAGGATTAAATAGAGGATTACCGAAGCTTGGAATTGGTAAAAGTAGTAAAGCTGCAAAAGTACTTGCTGCGTTACCAAATCCTAAACTTTTAAATTTCTGATGTATTCTGTAAAATACAATAAATAATCAATTGAATAAAAATGTAGTTTTTATGATATTCATTTTATATGGTGATACTTATGGATCAAATTCATAATAACATTTTTAAATTTCAAAAAAGTTCACTTTTTTGAAATTTAAAAATGTATACATTACCTTCAGTGACATAATTGGAGACCAAGCACCCAGGGGCAATACATTTTTTTTGGGCCCTATATTATGATAACTGTAAAAAAGCGCCCTAAAATAGTGTACTTGGGGGCAGCTGCTCCCCCTGCATCCACGGTAGCTACATCACTAATTACCTTCTGTCTAATGACAACTTTCTGCGATTTCGGTCGGGTTTAATCAGTTTTTTGATAATATATCTTTTTATTTCTAGTTTAATGAATGGATGTGTGATACAACTTAAAAATATTATTCCGTTTGGATTTATGTATGAAGATCGACTAATTTTATTCAAAAATCATTAAGCTAGATGAATCACACATAGAACACATGTTGGTTTATGTCTTGCTTAGTTGACATGTTACGATTAGGTGCAATAGTTATGCAAACCTTTGTTCTTAATTGCAGTTTACTACACATCATAGAATAGATTCTATTGAAAAAACAAGTGGCGGTGGAAATGTTAATAAATTGATAAGGTGTAACATTATTTTAATTTTTTTTGTAAAATATACATTTTTTTTTTAGATTTATTTTATTTTTTATTAAATAGCTTACTTTTGTACATTTATCATTTGATTGGCCTTAAGACGATGCTGTAGGAACAAAACATCAGTATGTTAATCCATGCATTAAACACAATCATAGCTTTAGTATAACAGCCAACAATAATAATAAAAAATAGTAATAATAAAAAAACATTGATCATTTTGTCCCTAAGATAAATCACAAAATTGGAAAGTAACTAAATTTAATACTTTCCTTTACTAAAATTATAAATGATAATAGTTGTTATGTGATACACTCAAACAAAATATATGCATTTGATTTTGATAAAAGCACTAGTTGATCAACAATTACTTTAACATGATGAAATAATTAACACTTGAAAAAATATACTTTCTGGAAATTAAATGACCTAAGAAAATTTACATTGCAAAACGAAAAGTTATACAAAAACTTGTGGTTATTTATGAGGTGTAATCAGTATCGGTATATAATATAATAATAAAAAAATTGCTATTTCGTATTTTGGTACTAAATCATTTAGTTATTAATTGCAATATTTAATATTATTAATACAGGTATAAGGTATTTTTATTTATAATACAAAGAAATTTCGATATTAGTTTAGAACTATTTTAAGTACATTGTTTCTGAAAATAATAATTATTTCATTGTCATGAATAAAATACCAATACTGAATATTTTACATTATAAGGATAGCAGACATGTTTTCAATATTTTTAGGTTCATTCAAAAATTATTAGAATTATACAACCTTGAAACCTTTTTTAACAATCATATATACAAGATATAAAAAAAGAAAAATGGTAAATTGTGTTTAAGAGAATGTTGAAATAGTTTTCTATTATATTGCAAATTAAATTAAATACACCAATGGTTTTTATACATTCTATTTATAGTCTTCTATACAATTTAAAAAAAAAATGTAATTCAATAAGAAAACAATAAATGGATACACATAAAAACATCCAAGGTATTATCTGTAATTCAATAATTTTTGAATGACACCAAGAAACGAAGTTAACTTTTTGGCATCACAGATTTAATAACATAAAAGACAAAAAACCTGAGGTACAAAAAAGTACAATACAGAAAAACACTAACATTAAACTATGAGAATTTTAACTATGTTGGGAAATAATAATAAATCTATTAACGTATTTTGAATTTTTTACACTTGTACACTAGTACTTAAACAAAAAATAATGAAATCTACTGGTTAAAAGAGAAAATATAATGTTCTCCCAGCAAAAATGCTATTGGGTCATAGATCCAATTATTTCTTAGTTTAAGAATAAATCATTTGGAAAATTAATTTTAAGCAGTCTGTTAATACGTACATCACTTAGTTAATATGTACTATACATAAAAACAAAGACTTATTTAAATTTAAAAAAATATTACACTCCAATATCCTGTTCTTCAATTTTCACGTTATTATCACAAGTTGAAAGGACAAAAAAATAATCCATTTTTTAAACCAGGACTACATTTTTAGAAATATGTTGTAGTACAGGACTATGTGTAACTACGCGGTGTTCAATTTAATTCTCTGTCTTCAAGATATTTATACTCAAAAGTGAAGCCTTCTTTTTTCCGTTGACCCCATTTCTCGTAATCAAAATAAATGTACGTGCCCTGAGTAATAATTAAAATTAATATTATATAAATTTATTTGTTAACTATTTTTTAATTATGTATCAAACATCAAACCTGTTCATATTCTTCGTTAATTAGCTTAGGTTCTTCATGCCGTTGAAACCACATCATATATTTGGTATGAAATCTCCAACTTTGCTTTTTTAATGCTTTAGCTGCCAAATACTGTGCTTTAGACCCTTCCATGTAGTAGAAAATAAAGAAAAGGGTTTCTGTTGAGAGCCTTTGAAAAAATTCTAAACTGTCGGAATGAGGAAGTGGTCCCTGAAGAATTAAACATTTTTTTTTTGTTAATACTATAAATTGTACAGATTTTTTAAATGTATACATTAAAAAAAAAAAAAAAATTATAAACAAAGGCTGACAATAACTAATTTTTTTAGCTAAACCAGCCCAACTCTGCCTCCTCAAAAGAGTGGTTTCTAAATCATTTTCAAGGCAGAATGGGTGGTTAGTCCATTGCCGGAAAGAGGAAGGCAACTCCTTTTTACTAAAAGAATTTTCATCTAGAAAATGGAGTCGCAAATGACTGAATTTAAAACCAATCACAGTGAGCACAAAATATAATACTGTTGGCTTAACATGATGATTGAGCCACTTTTACTCCTTCTGACAATAACTTGTACAATAAATAAATAATAAATGTGTATACTGCCCTGCTAAGTGAGTGCCGTAACTCCAAAAAAAAACCAAGAGCTACAGAAAATGTGTACAATACTTTAGTTTACAATTGGTTTAATCGGGTTTTTAAAATTTTTTTTTTTCAAGTTACGACACTTTTATTTAGCAGGGCAGTGAAAAACTTATATAAAAATAATTACTTGATTATAATAATGTGGCGTAGGGCATGGATTTCGTGGCAAATATAGTTTAATTCTTTCTGAATCCGAAGGGTGAGGTAAGTGTAAAAATGCAGATTCAAGCATTGTAAATTGAAATTGATGATCTTTGGACAGTGGAACTGGACCTAAAGGAGCCACCCCTAATAAAGGAGATATATTAGCTTCAAATGTAACAGGTGGCTGTTGTGATTGCTGTTGTTGAAGATTCAAATGACTACTTGAATTTTGAATAATATTGATGTTTGCATCTGAAATAGAAAACGTATATACAATGTAAATCAATGACTTAGAACTTTAAATTCATTTTATTTTGTTTTACTTTTAATGTTTGAAGTGTTTTGTGGAACATCAATCCCAGCTTGGTCAATAGCGTTTTGCGCCATTATTTTAAGCGATGATAAAGATGCTTGGGAGTCAACTTGAACAGGTGAAGTCGTAGAACTCAACGATGAAGGAGTGGTAGAAACACAATTAACAGCACTATCAGTGTTGTTTGAATTGACTTGTGCAGGGGATACATTACTTCCAGGGTATGGTGATGGAGATGTTGTTATTGAAGTAACAACAGAAGTGCTTTCAACAGACTGTGCATCTAAAGAAATTTCAAAGAATATTTGATAAATTATTGTTAGGTTTTTACAGAGGAGTAAGACAAGGCTTTCCGCTACACTATATCTCTTCAACTTTTTATAGAAGAAGCTATAAAACAGACGAAAATCAATAATAACGGAGTAAAAGTAAATGGTCAACAAATTCACTATATTCGTTTTGTGGACGACATTGTAATGTTGGCATAGTCAAAATACAAAAGACACTAAGTATCGAAAACGTAAAGAAAAGAATAGCAATTGCTAAACTAGCGTTCCAGCGGAAATGAACCCTTCTAGTTAACCTGAAAAACCTGTCAATAACCACATGGAAAAGGTTCCTAAAGGCATTTCTTATATGGAGCGTCTTAACTTATGGGTGAGTAACGTGGACTCTATAGAAACAGGAGAGTAACGGACTGCTTGCTGCAGAAATGTGGTTCTGAAGGAAAATTACAAAAACAAGCTGGACAGCGAGAAAGTAGATCTAGAGGGGTATACAGCATTGAAGCATTTACTTGAGAGTCCTTCATCAATCTCAGTTATCATAACCCTGTGACTACACCAACCTCACTATGCCTCGTCTACACACAGAACACCCCCATGCTAGTTTTGTTTGGCTAACATATTAATGTAATCAGTATCTTTTTGTAATATAATTAGTATCATAGAGAAATTTAAATCTGGTAGTTTTACTGCAATTTTTTTTAGTGAACTAAGGAATACATTGAAGTAAATATTTACCATAAATCAAAACCTTCTAGAATAAATTAATAAAAATCTCAAGATTATATGTATTTCTTACTAATAAACAACTAAAATCAATTTCAACTTACGACCATGTTTATTATGAAGATTTGAAGCAGCAACAGTAGCAAAATTTCCAACAGTGGTTGTACTAGTTTGAGTAGTAACTGACTGAGACACAGTTTGAGATGTGTTAGATGCAGTGGTATTATGATTAGTAACAGATGATTTAACAACAGCTGCTATTGTTGGAGCTTTTATGGTAGCAGTAGAGTTTGTATTACTTGATGAATTTACTTTTACTGGAGTTGGTTTCACAGTGCTCTGAACAAGTAATAACGTTCTTAGTGTTACAAACAAAATTTAAATTTATTTAAACTGACCTTTGATGAATCATCTTTCTTTTTCCGCGTTTGTAGTGGTGTTGGTATTGCGGCAACAAGAACTGGAGCTGTAGAAGTAGTGATAGCAGTAGTTGTGACAACTGTTTGAACTGTAGAGATCGACGAAATTGATTCACTAGTTGTAGTAATAGTAGTTGTCATCACTGGGATAGATGCTGTTAGCACAACTGTCGATACAGATACAGGTTCTTCTATGGAATGATTTTGTGACGTGGGAGCAGGAGATGATGGACATGAACCAGCAACACTAGTAGTTTGGCTAGTTGGTGTACCTTTAACATAAATTAGTATAAATTTAGTACAATACTGTGTATTACAAACTTTCCACTTGGGCTACAAGATTGAATTAAAGATAATAATATAACCACAGGCAGAAATGTAAATTTCTTAGTTCTTATTACATTTTCACTTATTCCCAATTACTTATTTTACATGAACAGGTAAAAGCAAATTAGTGCATTACACTTTCCTAACTTAATAGGTATACCCAAGAATTCAAAACGACTAGTTTCTATTATAGATGAAATCGATTTTTTTAAGTAGAGCTATTAAGATATCATTTTTTTTTTTTTAATTTATGCAAATAGATTTAAGCAATTTGAAAAACATATTATTACGCTTATCTTGATATTCATGTTGCCAATAATATTTTTTTTTTTTAAAGTATGTCGGTACTTTTTAGTAGCAAGTTCAATGCTTTATACCACTGAGCCATACACATGAACTAAATGAAACTAGGTTTTTTTAATAAAACCACACATGTATTGTAGTCGTTTTTTTTAACATGGATGTAAGCGACAATGTTTAATATGTTGTCATTCTATTTTCAATAATAAAACTAACTTGTACATATAATCTATATATCCTAAGCATTGTTTATAATTATTACTCAAATATCAGCAATGTCTATTTATAACATTAAGGAGAAAAGATAGGAAAAATACAAATTTAGTATTGAATATTTTAATATGCATACTCCTAACCAAGAATTGCCTTAAACTTAAATTTTGGTAAACCTTCTCCCTCCAAGAAGAGGTTATTTAGACAGAACCTTCAATCCTAGAAAATATATGAAGTGACTTAAGATATTTTATAGAATTTCTAGGTATTATATAGAATGACAACATTAAACACATTGTCCCTAACATATGCGTATATAATTACCAGACTGCGTGATTAATATATAGGATAGTATATCCACTATTCAACCTATCATAAAAAACTAAAATTACCATTGGCTTCAGCAGAACTGTTAGCAGAAACACCTAACTCAAGCTCAGCTGAACCAATTATATCATCATATAAATCGTCATTATGCATGAAATCTTCTTCATGTGAGGCTTCAATATAATATTCTACATCATCCTTAATTGTTCGAATCTAAAATCAAATAAATTGGTATAAGATAAATAATTAAATTACTTATGTGACTGTACACATACAAACACACATAGAATAGCTAAAAACATTATTCTGATAACTGTAATAACTTTTAACTTAGTCATTATGAATTTTAGTTGAATTAAAAAACTTGTTTGTTATTTACAATGTTTTTAGTGTAATAAATATTTACACTTAATTTAAAAACTAAAATACAAAGCTAACGCTTCCCCTTTTTTTTGTGCATATTTTAAAATATAAAATTTGCTTAAAACAATTAAATGCCTGATAAATTCAGATTTCAAAGTTATTGAGTTTTAATAATTACAGATGTTATGCTCGAGGAATAGAGAATAATCAATAAGTGTTTCGTCTAAAAACAATGTTACACTTAACAACTCTCCTCGCCTAGCTTTTAAATGTCAAGAATAAACAACTGATGAAATATTTATTCACAGCTGTTAAACAATAAGTCATTAATTTTAATAGATAATTATCATACAAATGGTTATTCTTAAGTTTTCATAAATAAATAAAAATAAATTTGATATCACTAATTTATATTAAAAAAGGTGAAATAAACAACAATTAAAAAATATATAGGAATAATAAAAAAATTTATTGCTTTTAAAAACTAAAATATATTGTCTAGATCAAATGTTATTACTTGTGTCAGAACTTTGTGATCAAATATAATATTAACTACTATTGCTGTACCTTTTTTACTTCCACAGACATATTATCTAACAATCTTAACAATGTTTCTAATTTCCGTATATGAAACCTATGTCGTTCAACTCTTGCTTTTAATTCATCTAGTTTTTCCTGTTTATCTTTGTCTAATCGCTTCTTTTTTCCAACTAATAATGACTCCATTTCACATTCGTATTGATCCATCTTTAAATTATAACACATTTATTAAAATACTTTTATTTTCAAATATAAAATAAAAACATGCTTTTTAGTTGCACTTTTATAACATGTGTCAAACATATAACCCTTAACTATTCAATCACAAAAAACTACTTTTAAATGTATTTTTATTATTGTCAGTTAATAAATATTAACACAACACTACCCCCAACATATTATAATAATTGTATTAAGAAATTAGTATGGGTTTCATTTACCCGTATTTTACCAACATTCACAATATAAACAAAAAAAATCTATAACTGATGAATTGATGTTTTGCATAATATTTACAACTTATGATTACATTATAAAATAACAAAAAATTTAATTTTTGTTGAAAAGTGAAATGTTTAGTTATAAATTATGTTTTTAGCGTATATATAATTAAAATATCTGTAAAATATTTCAACTGTAGATTTATATGGTGTTAAGACTAACAAAATCCACGATTTGAGAAAATTGAGCAATATAAGTATGAACAAAATGAATAAAGTAAAATATTTTTTAAGAAATTCGAAAAATCTTTAAAATGTTGTTATGAAATTAATGTACAGAAAGGTATTTTTATCTGTCAACAACCACCCAAGTGTACTTGACAAATATTATTGGCACACAAAATAGTTCATTAGCATTTTATATAACTTCATACAAATGGAATATTTATGAAAGTTTATTTAAAGCATAAGTAATAATGTTATCAGAAAAAAGTTTTTTTATTTAAACTGTATTTTTCTTATTTGACATGTTTTGTAATTATTTTTTTAATTAACAATTTTTAAATGGACAATTGTTTTGTTAATTGTTTTCTAATTATCATATAAGCTGTTAATAAATAAAATATATTATATCATACAACTTAGTTCCTAATAATATAGTAAAAATAATATAAATAGGTTATAAAATAACAAAATATTTTTAAAAAATCCTTTTAGTATAAAAAATAATACACTAACTTTAACGTGTATCTCTGTAGCCATGCTATCATCATCAGTACTCACAACATACAGAGACCGATTTAGATCTATTACATTTTAATATGTATTACTGAAATAATTACAGTATTACAAAATTTGCTACAGTGTATAATTGTTTGTGGCAAAGAGTTTTTAAAATATTTTATTATTTAGAAAAAAGTCTGTTGTTAGCGTTGAAGATGACAACATCGTTGTCGTAACATGTTTACGCTAGAAGTGTATAATTTTTATGGTTTAGGGTTCAAGTAGATTTTATATCTTTACTATATTTTATTATTTATTTATACGTAACAAGAAGTGTTGCTCAGATTTTTCTCAAAAATTGTAAGCATACAAATTGTTCAACTTTGATTTTAAATATTTATGGTTAAATAAAATTTAAAACTGTGCATCTCCAAAAATGTAATTCTGTACAAAAATAGCTATGCAACACCAGTGCAGAAGTTATAAAATAAAACAATATAATCAAACAAATAGTAACGTAGATACCAATATTGATTTTTCATTGGTATGTTATAAATGAGTTTTATAAATAGGGTATGTTATAAACATTATTTAAGTTTAATTTTCTACATTTTACAACTCAAGAATATATAGTGCGGATTCCTCTTTTACATCACAATTCAAACACAATTACATAATTCTTTAAATAAAAATGTAAGAATAAAAATATTTTACTTGTATATTGAGGGATTCAATTGATTGAGTTAGCCAAGAACTTGTTTCTTCTCTTTCTTTTTGAGCAGGATCTAATTTTTGGGCAGCACCTAAGCCTTCTTTAGAATAAGCTTTAGTCTTTGTTTCTCGTTCAACTACTTTAAATCTTTCCATTTGCTACAAGTATACATTTAATCATATTTAATCGTAATACAAAATTTAAGAATATATATTTTGTAACTAACAGTCTCTATTAGCTTTCGATAATCAAGCAATGAACTTTTGTCTTTGATTTCTGCTGACGCAATCCAACTTTTAATCTGATCACGTAGCCTTTGTAACTTTTTAATTTCTTTTTTAAGGTCGGCCTCGTACTTTTCTTTTTGATTGCTATTTGTAGCATTGTGAACTTTTTGCCAAATATCTTCAAAAGTCTCAACACCCTCGGTAACTTTCTTAAGGCACCGATCAATTTCACCTAAATAAAATTTAAGTCAAACCATGTTAATTCATTTAAATTTAACAAAACATATTATTACCAGAGAGAAATACTAAGAAAACCTATAAGATTAATGATTATATATTAGACAAATAATTTCAATCTAGTGTAATAGTTTAGTTTTATGTTAAAAAAATATATAATTTTCAACATAAAAAAAATGATAGTTGATAAATTAAAAAGTTCTGTGTACAATTTAACATATTTGATATATGCATAAATGTAATACAACTGTACAATAAAAAATGAAAAATAATTACCTTGAAGCTTTCTAGTGGCTGCCATAACTAAGAAAACATTTCTATTACAAACATTAACGTAACATACTTAGACTACATACAAATTACAATACAAATTTTTGTCACAATTTTAGACTAAAAAATTGTTAAAAAATTATTATTATTATCATACAAATTTCACCACTACCACTGTTTGTGTTTGTGTGTAAACGCTTTGTTCAAGATGGCTACTGATAATTCCCAGGTTATTCAAAATTATTCATGATAATATAATGTATTCTTACCATAAAAAGATTAACTTAATTTACACTATTTGTTCTACATAGTTAAAAATAATACATTTAAATAATCAGTAGTATTACATTAAATTTGAATTAAATTATTCGAAAACTTTTTTTTATAAAATATAATTTTTCCGTTTGTTGGTCTCCCAAGTCAGCTGTTTAATTTTTTGGGTTTTTACTACTGTAAATTAGAAACTGTGATTAGAAACTCTTATCTATAATTTTACGATTTAATCGATATTTGATATCGTATATTTCATTTCAGTCTCATACTTTTAAGTTAAATTGTAGTTTGTACAATATTAATCTCGTATTTAATATTTATGGCGACGAAGAGTTTAAGGTATTACTTATTGATGTGCTGGGTGGTTGCTGAGTTTATAAACAATAGGGCTTTTAATAATTAATTATTTATCTGTAATCTTTTTTTTATTATACAATCTGGTAATAGTGTAAACAGGGTTCTAGTTTTAATATATAAGTATAATATTATCTATTTTGTAATATTTTCCTTGCATTTTATTTGGTAACTTAAAAATGCATTACATTTGGTTGTAGTAGTTTTTGCAAAATACACAAAAGGATATTATATTTTGTAATTTACACAAATAACAGTATTTTAATTTCTTTGGAACACTACTTTAAATTGTTATTAATTAATATAACATTTTTTAATTTAAAACATTGTTAATATATATTATTACATATTATACATACATTGTTTAACTACGCCATACACATTTTTAGTAATCTTATTTTGGTAGCAAACCTATATTAATCATGTATTCATTGCGTCTATTTCATTAACACAACAGTTGCCGTAATTTATATCTCGGCAAACTATCTGTACATTTAATCTATATTATTAAATAGAAATGGTGTTTCACATAATTGCTATAGTATTTAAAATAACATTATTGTTAAATACATGTGAATGCGGCACTAATAACATATAGTTTTCAATAATTATCAGATCATTTATTTTTGATCATTTAAACTTTGTGTAAAAATAAAACAATTCTTTGAAATATTTTTATTATTTACCCTTTGATTAAAATTGATGAATTTTATACTTGAATTTTTTTTATAAATTGTATTATTAATTATTTTGTTTTTTATTAATTGCAGTATGCTATAATTTCCAAAAAACATTTAATACAATCTCAATATATTTAATTACTTTTTATTATTGAAGCTACTTTTTATGTAATCATAATTACTAAAATTATTATTCTTATTGCCTCATGATATGTTGTTATTGAAGTTGAAATATTGTAACGAGCATTTTAAATAGCCCTAACTTTTAAATAGAGTAAGGACAAAAAGGCCATGGGTATACAGGAATTATTATAACTGAAACTGATAAAATCACTTTCAAATAAACGTTTTGATGCAAATCTGTAGATAGTCAAATTACTAATATTGGTTCATTGACACATAAGCAACCTGGAATTTCAATACAGCCAAAGAGTTAATATCCCTTTCTTTTGTTTTCTTTGAATAAAAAAGTTTGACTAACAATATTTAAGTGAATTGTTTTTCTAGATTATCCTCAATCTAATTTTTAAACCTAGATTTCCAATACAATGAAGTTTCCACCCCTTCAAGGGTAAAAGGTTAATGATATGTTTTTTCGGTTTTCAATGTATATTGATAATACAATGTCTAAAGAATATTCCTTACCAAATAGGAATTAATTCGACCATTTTTAAAAATATTATAGCGTACAGTAATTTAAAATTTTAAAATATGTTTATTTTCTGTAGTTTTTCTCAATTTTGAAGAGAAAGTTGTAAACTTTTGAAATTTTCGGTCATCAGTGTTTTTATGTACGATTTCTGAACTTGTAGACATGCAATATAGAGAAATCAGTTAAGAAGATCGTGAGTGTAGATACAACAATAATAATATATTATTGTAAAACGAATACTTTCTCAGCTTTGCAATGGCGACCTGGTTTATAAAATGGAATTTATACGTTTGTTTATAAAGCTAACAAGTTAAAACATCATTCGATGTTATTCGAACTATAGTTAAATTTCTATGATTTATAATGAAATCGCGTTCAGTTAATCTCGGCATAATACAATAATTGTTATTGAGGTGATTAAAATCACTCCGTGCAGAAATGTCTAACCTTAATAATTATATTATTTCGCTTAAAACTGACAACGGTATCCAGGCATTGGGTACTTATAATAAATAATTTTTTTTTTATTTACCGTTAAAACTTAAACTACGTGACTTGACATTGGGAAAAAACGGTTGTAAAGGAACAAAGCACCAAAATCCTAATGCCATCAATTTGGATGGCGACTTGTGGGCGTGGAAAATATAGGCAGACGCAACCAAATGATTGTGCCCCAGAGTAAAGAGTTGAGTTGAGCAAGTAACCGGAAACATTAATTTTAGACGAGTAAAATGCAGCAAAATATACCATTTATGTAGTTGAAACGAAATTTACCGTATTTAACATTATAACAATATTCGCATTATCAATAATTACCCACCGTTAAAAGTTAAAACATATAATTGTACCTATATATTGTTTCCTAACCCACGTTCAAGAATAAAAATTCGGAGATCGTACCGAGTTCAGACTTCAGGGTGACAGTGGGTGTGTGTGTGTAGAGCCGCCGCCGTTGCGAGTGCGTGTGCTCGTATTTTGTGTAGTTGGTAGTGGTGAGACTTTTCACTTTAGTAATAATATCCGTGTATGTGTATGTGCATTTTATTTGTGTAATGCGTACGCGCGAGTGTGTGTGTGTACCTATATATGTATATATTTATATATATTTCATAATATTATTATGCTCCATAACCCAATAGACTACTCGTAGACAAAGGCCGCTCGGTAGACGTATAATGCTTGATGTTACGGCCGTACGTAAAGTGTAATTGATTGTACGAAAATCGGTAAATTAGTTTCCGGAAAGAAAAAAACAAAAAATATACGAATCCGTCATTTGCTTCGGTAAGAATATTATAATAAAAAAAAAAATTACTCTATATAGTGCAAGGTGAACCGTCGCAAGAGAGAACGCGATATTTTTACTTCTATCCGATTTCCAAGAGCGGAGAGCAGCCCGTCGGGAGTTCGGACACTTTTCACCCGACCGCGGTGTGTGTGTGTGTGTGTGCGCGCGTGTGTGTTTGTGCGTGTGGACTACGTGACAATTTCAAAATATGGGATGGACGTCCGTAGTCTATAAGCCCGTGGTCCACGCACCACCGTTTCAGTGTGAATTGTGACTATTCGATTTATTTTTTATCTTGGCGATCACTAGTCTAAGCTGTTAAAACGTAGTTGTGCTGTTTTTGTTAGAATACGTTTTGACTAGGTACAAAAATTTACAAATAACTCGTCGTCGTCAGTGGGAAACAATCATAACAATAATAATTTATAGCCGTTCTTAGTTGGTCCGCAGTGCGAATATTTCTTCTTTTTTTTTTTTTTTGTTCTTTCAACATGAGCGGTAAAAAAGATCTACACGATATTAAATGTAAACTAGAGATAGACGAGCCCAAACAAAAACAATGCCCGGAAGGGAAATTCATCGACCCGGCCAGTATGATGGAAAAGGGCAAATTCGTTTTTAAAGTTCCGCCCGAAGCTCCAGTTTTCGAACCGACCGTCGAGGAGTTCAAGGATCCATTAAAATACATAGCGAAAATTAGAAGTGTGGCCCAAGCCCATGGGATCTGTAAAATAAGACCTCCCCCCGATTGGCATCCTCCGTTTTGTGTTGATGTTGACAAATTTAAATTCACTCCTCGTATACAAAAACTTAATGAACTGGATGCTAGTACTCGTGTCAAACTGAATTTTTTGGAAAAAATTGCAAAATATTGGCATTTGCAAGGGGTGCGTATGAAAATACCTGTATTAGAACAAAGAGCTGTAGATTTATATTCTCTATATAAAATAGTAGAATTTGAAGGTAGTTATGATAAAGTGTGTTCAGAAAAAAAGTGGACCAAAGTAGCAAGCCGTATGGGCTATGTGTGTGAAAAACAATCTGGTACAGTATTAAAAAATCATTATGAGAAGTGGCTTCACCCATTTGCTCTTTTTCACACCACTATTAAAGATGAGATTTATTACAAACCCGTCAAAAGAGAATGTGAAATAGAAAATGAAAAAGAAGAAAGTTCTTCCGCTTCCAGTTCTCCAAGTAAAAGAGCAAGACTGAGTCCAGATGATGAGAAAGATTCAGATGACTACATAAAAGATCCATTTTATTTAATGGAAAACAAGGAATTGAGAAAGTTGCAGTTTTTTGGAGCAGGGCCAAAAATGGCTGGATTTAGTTCAAAGTGTAGAATAGGACATTTGAAGTCTAAAGAATCTAAAAAATCTAAAAGAAATCGAAAAGCCGTTGTAGATGAGTTGGCCAAGTATTATTGTCAGAAGTGTGGAAGTGGTAAATCTGAAGAAACAATTTTGATTTGTGATGGGTGTGACTTAAGTTTTCATATGCAATGTTTGATGCCACCATTAACTAGTGTTCCTAAAGGGGAGTGGAGGTGCCCTAAATGTGTAGCTAATGAAGTAATTAAGCCTAGTGATGCTTTTGGATTTGAACAAGCTCAACGTGAGTATACTCTTCAACAATTTGGTGAGATGGCGGACCAATTTAAATCAAAGTTTTTCAATATGCCTGTTCATCTTGTACCTACTGAAAAAGTCGAACAAGAGTATTGGAAAATAGTATCATCCATTGATTCTACTGTTATAGCCGAATATGGTGCTGATTTACATACGATGGATCATGGTTCAGGATTTCCTACTAGCCTTGCGCTACGTGGTAATGAAAATAATACTTATTATAAATCTTATATTGAAGATAGTTGGAATTTAAATAACATACCTGTATTAAAAGACTCTGTTCTAAGTTTTATTAATGCTGATATATCAGGGATGAAAGTACCATGGATGTATGTTGGAATGTGTTTTTCAACGTTTTGTTGGCATAATGAAGATCATTGGAGTTATTCTATTAATTATTTACATTGGGGTGAACCAAAAACATGGTATGGCGTCCCAGGGGATGCAGCTGAAGCATTTGAGGAAGTTATGAAAGAAACAACTCCAGAATTGTTCCATTCCCAGCCTGATCTTTTGCATCAGTTAGTAACTATATTGAATCCAAACATTTTAATGAAAGAAAAAGTCCCTATTTATCGAACAGATCAAGAAGCTGGTGAATTTGTTGTTACATTTCCAAGATCTTATCATACAGGTTTTAACCAAGGATACAATTTTGCTGAAGCTGTAAATTTTGCTCCAGCAGACTGGATATCAATGGGCCGAGAATGTGTTAATCATTATTCGTCTCTTAAACGAATTTGTGTGTTTTCACATGATGAACTCATTTGTAATATGGTTAGCACATGTGAAGATCTTGCACCTAAATCTGCTGAACTCGTGTATGACGATTTGGCCAAAATGGTTAAGTTTGAAAGAATACAACGAAAGGCACTTCTGGATTGGGGCGTAACTGAAGCGGATTTTGTTGAATTTGAACAGAAAGTAGATGACCTCAGACAATGCATAGTATGCAATACCACTTTATATATTTCAGCAGTGTCTTGTTCCTGTGATCCAAACAAACTTGCTTGTCTTCGTCATTTTAAACAACTATGTGGATGTCCAGCTTCGTCGCACACATTCAAATATAGGTACACTCTAGATGAATTTCCACCACTTTTAAGGAAGGTTAAAGCACAAGCAGAAATGGCCTATGACGAATAATTGATTGACTTAATTATGTTTGTAAATAATGGTAGCTATGATTGACTATTTAACAAATAGTGAAAAACTAATTTTAAAATAGTTTGATTTATTATAATAGTATTGTTTTATATTATTTTTTCATCTCATAGATAATTAATTGTCATATATCAAATTCCTTAGTTGTTAATGCCTTATTTTCTGCCCCAGTATTTAGAATTGATAAAAATTCCTAATTTGTTATAAAAGAAAAAAAAACATGTTTGTTAACTTAAAAAGAACACTTGAATTATTTAATCACTTCCTGTCTAATTTTAATGAATTGTGTATTTTAATCATCGATATACCTACTTTAATACTTAACTACTATTTTTTAAATATTATATTTTTTTGAGTTATTTGAATTTTATTGCTGACAACGTTTTTATTTATTTTAGTTCTTGTATATTATGTAAACGTTCCAAATGACCTTTTTTATATTATTTATTTGTGGGAACCAAATCCGATCAACAAGATTTTTTATATGCAATACCCTATCAAATATTACAAAGTAGATTTATTTATATTACATATTCTACAAAAATGTATAAGAATATGATAATTGTTTTATTACTCTAAATATTTATCTTTTAAAAGCCAAACATTACTGGGAAAGTATTTCTTTTTTTTTTTTATATACTTCTAATGTTTTAAGTTAGTTAGTGCAAATTAAGCCCAGTTGATCTCTAAAATAAACAACATTGTATAATTTTGTTACAATACGTTTGAAAAGTGTGATTTTTTTTTTGTACTTGATTCGAAAAGGTAGAGTTTAAGTTCCTATGTATATATTTTTTCTTTTTTTTTTATCTATTATTTTCCTTAATTATAATTTATTTCTCTCTTAATGTATAATATTTACATGGAATTAAATACAGATGACCTCTTGAATTTTGAAATGTAAAGTCCGTTTTTTTTATAACTAAAATAGTTTTCTCTTATAAAATTTATATTATATATATATATATATAAAGTTAATCAAATTTATATTGTAGTAGTGTAATTGAGCAAAACATGTTAAGTCAGAAAATACAAAATGTAATTTTTCCAGTAAAAGAGATAACCTTTCTGGAACATACTATTTGTAAAATAAAAGTATAATTAAATAAATATATTATTTCACTTGACGAGTTTTCTAAATAAGTACTTGAACAAATAATATAATTATATTAGAATATAGATGATTTTTTAGTTGAACTCAGCCCTTAAAATTAAATGAAAAAAAAACATTTTTGTATGGTAATAGGGTATACAGATGTTGATCGTAGTCCATGGCATATACTTGACAATATGTCTTCTAGAAACTCACTATATTGTTATCATTGTACACAGAAAATAATTATAATTTAGTTTATGTATAACTTGGTTATAATACCTCGAACAGGTTAATTAGCACAAAAAAACATTAAACTTTTTATATAGGTAACAATGTAACTTAAAAAAAAATGTTTATAATTATAGTAACATTTAAATTTTGGGGCATAATTATTGATTTTAAATAAATATTATTAGGACACTAATTGTGTTTTTTTGAATTTTAACACGCCGGATAAAGACAACATTTTTTCTGCAGTTGACTCATTTATTTTATCAGATACTTGTCTGACGAGATTATTTTGGAAATTCTGAAACATAACATAAAAAAATTAGCTTTATTATATAGCATGTTATGACATCGAGCCATACTAATATATGAGTGGACTTCAGTGCAGCATATAAAAGAGCCCACCGTTGTTTTAAATCTTAAAAAATAATATATGCAACTTGTAATTACAATTTTATGAATGTGTTAAATCTTTCATGGATTGAACTACAACTTTTCCCTAGTTCTTTATCATAGAAGTTTAACTTTAAGTAACAAGGTTTACAAATTGTTATAAATGTTGATATGAATTTACTTAAAATTTGTCAATTTTCTGTTGCCTTTGCGTCTCTGTTGAGACATTTTTTATATATGTAATTATCACTGAGGACAAAAATAATACGTTGTATAAAGAAAATGTGATAATAAAACAGGATTGTCGGTTGAACAAATATCCAGTTGGTTTATTGGGACTATATCGGTTGACCTTTATCAATTCTATTAGCTACATATTACGAGTATTATTTATTTGTATAACAAAAATAATAGGGCCGGATTACTGAGAGAAGGCTGTATAGCCTAAAAGTTTTGAAGAAAGTTTGGAGGCAGGTAGTTGCTTAATAAAAAATAATGGAGCGAGGCACCACTATTTGTCTATTCATATATTAGTATAGTTTTATACTGTAAAATCCAGTAACTTGTATTTAGTGTGATATTTTGTCAGCATTTATGAATTGTACAACCTCGCTGTCTATTATTCAAAATTATTATTAAACAAGGTATGTTTTTTTTTTACTTTGTATAATTACCTTAATAAACTTATGACATTGAAATATGGACGCTCCAGTATAAATAGTTGATAGTTTTATTTTAATACCATCTTGAAGTTTATTTACAAATGGAATTGCCGAGGACAGTAATGTATGTGGACCATGTCTTGTCTTAAATATTATTATTTTGTTTGTTACATTACAATAATGAACTGCAATTAGTTAAATTAACTAATATTAAACATAAGTAACTGTAAATTATATCACTAATGTAGAATACATAATTACTATGGATTGATGATTGTAGTTCAACTCATTAGCTAACAATAGCTTTGTAAGCTGATTAGGTAAAAAATTCAGTTATGATTTTGTTACTAAAAGTTTGAGAGTAGACTCCATATTTCAGGCTTTCGGCTTTACCACTTTCCATGTCGCATTCTCCTGCTCCAGTAGTAGGTAAAAATGTCGATCCCAACTTCATCGCATATTGACGACCTTCTACAAGCAATGCAAAAGAGCTTTTTGTACCACTTAACGGAAAAGTCGAAAGCCTGAAATCTGGAATTGACTGTTAAACTACTTTTAGTAAAAAAGTCTTAACTATAAAAGTTTTACCTAATCAGCTTGCAGAGCACTCAGTTGTTCGCTAATGAGTTGAACTACAATCCAACTTATTTTCAATGCCCTAGCAATTTAGAAGTAAGAGCACTACTCTCAGTTATTATGGGACACTCTTTGGATTTATAAAAAAAAAAATATTATGATAATGGCATTATCATGAAAAAAATTGAAAATGTTATTAGAAGTTTTCTAAAAACTTTACACAGAGCTGCTTTGTGCGAAATAAAACCTTTACTGCTCATTTTTTAAAGTAAAAAAAGTAAATGTTTTTAGTACCTTTTGATTATATAACATATCATATCTTTTTATCTAGACAATAATAATTTATTAATATTATCCCATATGGCACTTAAGAGCCAGAGTAAACTTGTTTGGGCTTTGTTCGGTCACATATTGGTGAAATGTCTTATTTTCAGCATTTAGATTTTTGCCATGTCAAAGAGGATAGCAGTCTCTTTTCCTAAACAGATATCCTTGCCCAATGTGAGAGGCCACTCGAACCGGATTTTAACTGATGGTAGTGCTTGCCAGCCTAGCCGCCTCAATCCATTTGGCCACTGTACCAAAGAAGATTGAATTAATGTGACAAACATATAAACAGAAGGGTAATTTGCGAGTGTTTAATTTATCATGAACTAGTCACACGCTTTAAATAACTGAGATGATGGCCCAGAAGTTATATTTTTATAAATAAAGGAAGATCGTTGTAGCAATAAAAACTTGTACATTCTTTAGGAAATTTAATATTAATATACTTGCCTTTAAAACATGTCTGAATTGCTCCAACACCAAAATCTCCATGGAGTGTTTTCAAAACATTTAGTACAGATAACTGCAGATCTTTATTTGTAATTTTCAGATGGGTATCATTATTTTCTAGAATATTTAGTTGAACTACCAAATATCTAAAAAAAAATGTAATAACATCTCAAGATAAACATAAATTTATTTCAAATTATAATAAATAACAACCACAATTTATTCACTTCATAACGTTTTCAATAAAAGTAAATATTGCCTACTTATTTAGTATTCTTTACTTACCGATTTTTATAGCGTACCATTCTAAACCACCAATATTATTTATTACTTAGGAAACGCACAACAACTCAAATTATATATTAGTTATTTAAGTTTTACTACCGTTTAACGAATAAAGTCAAGATTTAATTATGAGTTATGACGACCTAACCAAACGGGAGTTCTAACTTCTAAACATTTTTTTTCCAACGACACATAAAAGATAACAAACGTAGAGACTACCGCGGTCTACGCATTGCGATAACACCTCGAAGAGTCACATGGTTTAATCACAGAATAACAAGAAGGGAAACTTTAAAAAAAATTACAAGGGTTCTTATGAGCCACCGAAAAAGGCTGACTGCCATATTATTATTGTTTTTGCGGCTGGGAGCCAGACTATAATGGATGGACTCTGAGATCATAATATGGTTAAATATTAATATAATACATATACAAGTATAATATTTTGGTATAAATCTACTTTACCGGACACCTTTTTTTTCGATTTTTTTTTTTGATTCGATAGTATTTTTCACGCTGATTGCGAATATGTAAAAATTTTGGGCCGCCTAGCGCCGCACGTCTACCCGCGGCCGCCGGGTACTTCATAACAAAGATCGCGCGTTATACTGATAACAAGTTACATGCGTTTAAAGATCGCCGATCACTGGGCTAGGTTTTGTCTCGTTAGGTCGCTGACCGCTTCCTGGCAGTTTCAGGTTAGTTTTTTTATTCCCTTTAGGTGAGCTATTTTTTCCTCTGGGGGTTTGGGGGCGTGAGCTTCCATCCAACGAAGAGCCCCGAAGGGGCTCGAGACGGCTCCCGGAGCCGGCAGGCGTAGGGAGTTGTTTTGCATAGTTAGCAGTTTATTTAATTAAAACTTAACTGAAAAAAGAAGTCTGCCCGATTTTAAACTCAGATTCGTAATCAGCGTAAAAAACACTGTAATATGGCAATAAAAAAATCGAAAAAAAAAGTGTTCGCTAAAGTACGACCGCGACGTCGAAAGACGGCCGGTATGTCGAGAGCGGCGACCGACTAACGAAGTACTCGTGGGCGGCCGGGAGACGGGGCCTGCCGGGCGCGCGCGTATGTCAAAATCTGCGAACTTCAAACGTCTGTAACTTCCAAAGTAAGTCGAGCGGCCCAAATTTTTTGCAGATTTGTAATCAGCATGCAAAATACTACCGATTTTAAAAAAAAAGGTGTCCGGTAAAGTAGATTTGTTCCAATTTTTGTATTTAATCAATGATATTTATAATGTGAATTGTAAGGGACATACGGGAATCATATTATATTACACAGAATAACCAGAAGGGAAGCCTAAGCCCAGACTGATGTGTCCGACATTTTGTTCTTTTTCATATTATGTACAGTTATCACTCTTTTTCCTGGAATTATCTATTGGTTAATAAGCAATCTATTATAGCTGGCCAGTGCTCGGAGTACGGACACTTTCAAAAATATGTAACACGGTTTTTAATGCTATATATAAAAAACGTGAAGGCTATCTTCTAAAATATTAATAAATGTAGTGGTTATTTCTAAACATTGACAAACATCACACGTGGAAAGACCACAGATAAAAATTTAAAACATGTGTAGATTTTTTTTAAGTAGTAATTTTTAATCGGTTTTTAATTAATAATGGCGACAGCAAATTATGACGAGAAAGGACTTTGGCGTGAATTTTTCGCTATTTATCGTGAGCTTTCCGAACTGTGGAAAGTAAAATGTGACATGTACAAAAATAGAATTAAGAAGGATGCGGCATTCGAGAAACTGGTGCAGAAAATTAAAGAAATAGGCCCCAACGCTAATAGGGATATCGTGCGTACCAAAATAAATTCTCTTCGTACCATCGAGAACTTAAAAAAGTAAAGGCCAGCATGTAATCCGGTGCTGGATCTGGCGACGTATATGTGCCTAATCTTTGGTATTTACCCAAGATTTCCTGATAGAATTCTCGAAATTGTCTCAAATTCAAGAAACTTCCACGATGGAAGTATAGAACCATTCCTTTATCCACGCTAGCTTTCTTTTCTGTTTTTTTTTTGTTCCGCCAAACAAGCAATAATTATTGAGGCACAAGTATTCTCTACGTCGGACATCATGCGATATTCTTTGGCAGAGTCAAAACACTAACTGAACTTTGCACAAACCGATGGAAAGTGTCCTGGTGTCAAAAATTGAAGGTCTTGAGGGTCATTTGATTGCTCACATAGAGGACGAGAATGAAGAGTTGCTTCAACTTGTGCCAATATTGTAGTAAATTCTTCGAATGATAAAATGGTTAGACCGACCACTCTTTGGATATGATATTTTGTCGCCTTGACGCCTCCCTCCCATAGGCCACCAAAATGTGGTGCGTGTGCAGGAATGAACTTCCAACATATGCCTTTTTGGGCTGTATTTTCAGTAATGGTGTTTGTTGCCAATTGAAGAAATTGCTTCAATTGATTATTTGCACCTACAAAATTGGTGCCGTTGTCGAAATTCACTTCAATTGGCTTTCCGCGTCTCGCTATAAAACGTCGAAATGTTGCCAAAAATGCTACATATACTTTTGTGGTAGTTCGGCTTATATGTGTGACAAATGTCATTCAAAATACACGGTAATAAAGATTGGAGCTCCCGGCTCACGACTCTCTTTGTACGGCCCCATAAAGAAAGTCGGAACGGGAGTGTCGTACATGTCCACGCTTTCTCGGCCGATAGGGTAGTAGAGTTACACCCTCGGGTAAACCTTCAGAAATTTCGTTATCTTGTTCCTGGTTCTGGTTTTCTGGTACTCCTAATAAACATAACATCAAAAGTAAATATTATACATTATATATAATTTGTCATAATAATTTTAATATGTTTTATCAACAAAAAAAGTATAGTTTATTATCGGTAACGTTATGATCTGTGTTGGTGATTAATTATGTTTACGTTTATGATTGGCTAACAAAATGATAGTGTGATAGTTCAAGTGTGGCTCCGGCTTCAAATTTGTGGGGTATAGGACAGGTTGACCAATGTCGTCGTTACGATAAAAAGCAAAAAAAAAAATATATAAACGTTCTAAGACCCGAAGTTGTACCTCGTTATAATGAAAGAATGGGCGGAGTACATAAATGTGATCACTTACTGTCATTATATCGAATTTTATTTCATTATAAATAAAAAAAAACGTTTTAAATGACCTCCACAAGGAGGTCATTTGTCTCCTTTACTCTTCTCCTTATTTATAAACAGTGTTAATCGAGTTTTGCGTCACTGTCGCTTCCTCTGTTTTGCGGATGACATCAAATTATATATGCGAGTATGTAATATTAAGGAATGTCTTAAATTACAAGCTGACTTTGACAGCTTTTCTAAATGGTTAAGTGCATTGGGTTTATCCCTTAATCTTTCAAAGTGTAAGGTTTTTACATTTTCTAGGATCCTTTCTCCAGTTGTTTTTTCATATATGTTTGGTATAAACGAAATTACGCGAGAATCCGATTATGTTATGGACCTTGGCTTAAAGTTTAGCTATAACCTTGACCCTAGACCACATATTGAATATGTGTGCTGTAAGGCATTTAAAACACTCGGTTTTGTGATGAGGTTGGCAAAAGACTTACTAGTCGGTAATTAGATTTGTGCGAGGGACAAGATTTATATTAAATATTTAAGGTATTTGTTGGTCTGTTTATTAAAAATTAAATGTGTATTTGTTGTACCTACAATTATAGGTATATATTTTTTTTATTTTACAATATATTTTAATAATTATTACTATATCCAAAATTTGTTCGTTTTTAAAATATTAATTACTGAAACTTGTGTATGTCGGCGTGAAAAGAGCCTACCTTGTCAATTTTATTTTTCTGAGATACAATTATTAGATATTTATTATTTAAGTGAATATTTGTTGTGGATAGGGTTTTTATTTAACAATAGCAGCAAATAGGACGAACCAACTAAAATTAGAGTATACTTGTTGTATATGATAGCCGACTGATTACTTTGATCATAATTAATTTGTTTATACAATAGTCAAACTATTGATAGGTATTGTATTTATAGGTTCACAGTTATAATGAAATGATTTCAAAGAGTGACATCCTACGGCCACGAGATCTATTATGAGAACTCGGCTCTAATTTATTTGAAACTATAAAAAAACTTATTTGAAATTATTTTTTACTAATAGTTCCAATTAAAACATTTTTTTTTCAAAAATTGTTTGAGTAAATTAAGAAAAAAATCTATGGCAGTCAAGACAAAGTCTGGTAAGTTCTCATTTTAGATCTTGTAACAGTCAACGTGTTAAACCACTAATTATATACTTTCATGTAGTCTGTGATTAAACCTAATGAACGGTATCATGCAACCCACATTCGAGTATTAAAAATTATGTTTATTCTATCATTTTTATTAACTATAAACTATACCATTAAATGCAACTAAACACATAATAACAGCTAATATACATATTAATAATAAACTCAATAATAAATTATCATGTAGTCTACAACACTAATTATCTTGAAAGCTTTGATTGCGAGTTGATTTTAATCAATATTTAATCAAATTTGTTTTATGTTTCACATTTTTCATAAAACAACATATATGCAATAGAACGTAGAACGTCTTGTAATGTAACTTCTTCTACAAGTGCATCTGATGTGAAAAACCATCTGAAAATTTAAAATACTCATAAAAAATGATTAAAAATGTAATACTAAATAATTAATAAAATTAGGATACTAATAAAAAAATTAATGAATATTAAAAATTTAGGTAGGCTTAGGTATCTATTTATTAATAAAATCTGGGATTCAATTATATTTTATGATATAGTTTATACTCGTGTAATGGTTACAATTTTTATCTCGTTACCACTCACCTTCAAATAATAGATTTAAAATTTACCTCTATTAGCATGTAAGGGTACAACACCATAGGGTTTACAGTGGACACACACGTTACAATAAACCATCTTATGATGGCAGCGTAGGTGTTTCTAAGCCTGTTAGCTACATGACGATAATTCCAACCTGAGAGTTAAATTAAATAATAGGTAAAATTTTATGGAATTGTGTCCGAAGTATTTTCCTTTATAAAAAATTAGGTCACTTCTTGGAATAAATGATGAAAAAGGCGCCTCCACCAAATTGTAATGTGATTGCTTAGCTAGATAGCTAGGCTAAGCTGAAGCAACCGTCGATAGAGTTAAACCTAGCAAAACTTAACAGAACGAGCAACTAGCCCGTTTCTACACTAAGTAACACTAAGTTTTTCTTATACATTTATTATGTGTTTTAAGAAGCTAAATGAGTGGCAAAACATTTAATAATGTACTCTAAATTATGCAACGATTAAGTACCATTTTTATTAAACAAATGCATCAGTCGCCACTTACCTATGGTCACACATGCTAATCAGGGTTAATTGCTAATCTAGCATAATCCTGTAAATGGTAACAGGGAGCAAAATATGACCATTACATATTTGTTTTTAATTGATATTTTTTTGTTAGTTAATATATAATACATATAAAAGAATATTAAAAATCTGTAATACAAAAATGATATTATTACTTTTAAATTAATTATTAAATCATAATAAATTAGGCTAACTACTGGTTTTCTCAATTATAAAATTTAGAAGGTTATATTGAAATTTGTTTGGACTAATTGGTTTTATTGTCGGACCCTTTTACATAAATGTGTAAAACAAAATTATGGTTATGAAGAATTAATAAAAATAATACTAATAGAAAAAAAAAGTTGCATGCAATATAGCAAAATACCTTGTATCACTGCACCTGTGTCTAGAATGATTTTTTGAAACCCCTCTTCTAAAAGTACTAAAATGACCAGCATTATCTTCACCTGCATGAACTATGACAGCTTTAAGTCTATAAATATATTTATCTCCCCTTAACCTAAAAATAAATACATAATTTAATATTAAATTGAACTAAAAATAAAATTATTACACAATGAATAAATAGTGTTAAAAAGTTAATAAAGTTTTAATAGTGTCCAAAAAGTACACATCCACAAAGAGTAAATATAAACAATAAGTTGTCGCCCTTTTTATACATAAACATAACGTTTAGGGGGTAACGTTAATGACATCATTTAGGTTTTTCTTAACTGAAAGGCAAGGGATGACCTTTTTAACTTTTAGACCAATTGAGAAGCTATAGGGTAATATTTCTTATCTATATAGGAACATGAAAAAACAGTTTACTTTTTAAGGAGTTATTGTGGTGGGTCCAAAATTAAAAAAAAAAAGCCAATACCTTTTCATCTCTGCATTGAAACTGTAATTTATTGTATTAAATTAAAAAAATACAATACAATAAATATGTGCATTTTAGGGTTAATTTGTTATCAATTTATTTTAATAAAGCTTTTACAATTGAGAAAATTAGATCACAAAGTTCTAACAATTTCAGGAAATTAGACTCAAAAGATTCTTTTTCTTAACTAACAGAAAATTTAGAAAGAATCAAGAGGTGAAACTACAACGATTGCTCTACTTTTCAGACCTAACCTAATGGAGGTATATAGTTTATACCATTTAAATTTAAAAGAAAGGAAAAGTAGTTTTTAATCTAGGGCGTAAATATAATTCCTCATTCAGGACAACATACTTCATCATATTTCCATACAATTTCCTTATTATTTATTTACTAAGTCAATTTATATGAAAAATGTACAATAACCTAGTTTTATAGGATAAAACTATTTTAAAATTTAAACGTTGAACTATACCCTGTCTGCCAAGCGAACATGTCTTGGTGAACAGGGTATATATTACTAGTTAATAGCATTTTTAATACAAACAAATTGAGTAATACTTTTCAATTGATTCAGGAGAAGATTTTTCTTTTGACAGTCTGAGTTTACTCAATTGATCATATACACTGGTATATTTATCCATTTTTAAATATTCTGGAAATTCCACAAAATCTTTTCTTTTTAATGGTCGATCTTTGGAATATTCAGTACGTATGAGATGAAGACATAAACAAGAAGGTAACTAAAATTTAAAAAAATTGTATATAAATTGAATTTATAGATTTTTACATAATAGTTATACTTTTCCAAATTTAACACTTTTCACAAAAGATTTTCCTCCAGTCTCAGTATTATTTTTATCACAGTTTTTACACGGCAGACTTTCTAGTCTTTCTGTCATTATGTAATTATCAAGGAGATCAGATAATTCTACCATCAATTGTGGTCGTTCTGGTAAATTTAATGATATAACATAAAATTTTTCATAATTTAATGAGGACTGTAACATACAATTTTTAAAAATGTTAATAACATATTATCTACTAAATGTATTTTGTATTATAGGGATCGTCCTATAAAAAATTGCAAAAACTGGTGAAAAAAGTCCAAATGAATACCTTCATGCAAGGTGGAGCCAAGTGGCAAAAATTACTGATTTGGGGTTTTGAGTATTTTTAATATTTTTTCAAGAAAGGACCTCTGTGACATTTGAGGGGTAGAGGCCTTTTCTTGTATAGAACAATTCAAATAGAAAAATTGTAAGTAAACCTATTTTGTTTAAAAAAAAAATATATATATAATTTTTATTATTTGAATTTTAGTAATTATCTCATTCAGTTTTGACTTTGTAACACCTTTTCCAGCAAATGATTTTAACTGAGATATTAGTACCTAATAATTTATAAAGGTATTTTATAAACATAAAAATATGTTTTTGTTAAATTTAAAATGTTTGAGGTTAAGAACTCAAAGACCTTAACTCCATAAGAATGCATTACAATTATTTAATGGAATGATTTAGGTTTAATTAAAAATAAAAGTTCAAATACTTTTAAAATCTGAATTTCCCCCATTAAATGTATCCTTATATTTCTAATTTTAAGTTATAAGAAAATATATAGATAAAACAATTTCACAACCCAATAAATTTAGATTCAAACAAAGGTACTTTTAAATGTTGTTTTTATAGGAACAACTTCAACAACGTCTATCTATAAATTTAAATAATTTAAAATTTACAGTGTTTTAAATGGCTTGGATAGTTTTTTTTTTTTTTTTAATCAGATGCATGTGATATTTTCTATTGATGGGAACTAATTTAATATATTGGTTTTGAATAGTAATTAGTATCCAAATGCTATAATGTTCCACTATTTTTAACTGAAATTAGAACTTTCGAATAATTCCCAACATTAGTCTCATTCTCACTTAGTCTTATCTGGTTTAGGTCATTTAGACCAACAAGATGTGATAAGGGTTATATATTATATATAAAAATAATTTGATATATATTAGTACACTTACTGTACAATTATATCTATACTTACTTTATAATGGCATAATGAACATTCAATATTATTTGACAAATACCCCAAAAAAGGTGGAGGTTTTACATTTTGATTTTTATCGAGATGTTTTTTGTCACCGCCGTTTCTATTGAAATTATTAGTTTTAGGTGTTAAGTTTATGATATATAATGTAATATTTTGAATAATCACCTTGGACCAACATTGTTTTCATTTGACATACTATATAGAATATCTCCTTCAGCTTTAGATAAATTGAGATTTTTGCTACAGGTGTTGCTTTTAATATCAATTATATTTGATGTTTTTTCATTGTTGATCACATTTTTATTAATTTCCAAGCAATCAGCTAACTAAATAGTTGCCAAAATATTAATATTCCATTAAATTAATCATAAAAATTAATTTATAATTTACATACACTGCAACTTGTTTTATAAGCTTCTTCCTCAATTACAGAAAATAAATGAACAAAAAGTTCATGAGCATCAGCCTGGAGATGAGGTTTGAACTGGAATCCTACTTTTTCAAGAACATTCATTAATTCTATTGGAGAAACAATGCCATCATCATTTTTTTTGACTCCAGTGAGAACTAAAAGTACATTATTAAAATGAAAGCTAGTATAATTAAACAACAGTTTATATTATAGGTACATAAACTGATTATAAATTCTATATAATATAGCACTTATAATCAATGATAATAAGCAGTGGCATGGCAATCATAGGTCGAAATAGCCAAGTGTCTGCAAAATTGAAAAATTAAGGGGAGAGATATCGAAATAATAATATGTAGCGGAGAGGAAAGGGTTATAATATTTTTTTGGTTTGTCAACATTCAAAAAGTTGTAGCAGTAAGAAACATATTGGGCGCCGTAATTTAAAATTTTAAATGTTAACTTTTTAACAGACTATAACAATTATAAAGGGAAGGGATAAACTTTTTAAACTTTTGGTTCAATAAGGTAGCACCTTTTAGGTACTTTTACTGATTTAAAGATTTGCTACATAAAGAAATCTATTTTGCGATTTAAGAGATATTGTGGGTCTGGAAGAACAAAAGAACAAAAAAAAACACATCATTGTAAAAACAATACCTTTACAGCTTGGCGTCAAAGCTAACATGTTGAATATTTATATCAACAAACAATATGTACCACTAAATTATTTTTACAAGTTAAAATTCAATTTTCATTTTTAGTTATATAATATATTACACTATACTATCTAAGCTATTCATGGGCAAAAATTAAAAAACATTATCATGTTAACATCAAATTGAGTATGGTTAGTAGACAGCATTTTAAGTATGTTAAGTACATATTGAGATTTGTTCAAACCCTGGGGTCGTGGCCTCTCCCTCTTTAACACAGGTTTGTTTTTTATTTTAATTTAAGAAATAATAAAAAAATGTAATTAAAAAAGTTTAATTACTTTTAAATTTACAGGAAATAAAGTTTTATAAAAAATATCACTCCAATTGTTTAAAAAACATCTTACAATACTAACAAGAAATTGGTAATCAGTAGATTAATTAGTATGTTAAAAAAAAACAATCAATCAATACTTGTCAAATCATTAAGGTAAATTTTTAATATGTTTAAAACAATTATAAAATAATTGCTTTAAAAAAAAACATAGAAAACAAAGTATATCTAAATGCTTTAAATTCCAGGTTTATTTTTTGGTTTACAAAAATTTAGAAAAATGATTTTTGCACTCAATGAAGACTTGAATTTTAAAATTCTAGGAAAAACTCTTAACAAGGCCTAATAAATTTAAGTTTTAGAAATAATTCTAATAGTTCTAAATAGTTTTTAAATAATTCTTGGTAAAGTTGTATTAAGAAAGCGACAAGCTGTACGTAACCTCTTAAAAATTGACAAGTGTAGGATCTTTTAAAATTAAATTTAATCCTTACATTGCAGTGTTTTATTTAATGTGTAAGACACAATAGACGCTCTTGACTGCAGATTAAGCCACTGAATGAATATAGGACAAGAAGCTAGTGATTGCAACAGTGTGTTTATGTAACAAGTAGTTCCCAAATTATGCAGTCCGCAAAAATCACCTGAAATAAAAAAAAAATTTGTAGTTTGATACTATGTATAGTCATAGATAAAATATACTACTGACTGAAAACACTATTATAACTTATGAATAATTTTTATAGTGGTATATATAACTATAATGAAATTTAAAAAAGGTATGTAAAATTAATGTTGTTTATCTATAATATATTTATTTAATATAATAGATGTAAAACAGAATATTGTATAATGATTTATATTAAAAAAAAAATCCTATTAAGTGCCTACTACATTATAAAATTATTTAACAAAACATAAGCAACCTTTTTTCACCCTAAAAAACAGTTAAATTGTTAAAAGAAATTGACGGCTGCCATTCTTTTCTTATTTTATAATAGTATACAAAAATTGAGTTATAACATATTTATTTTTTATAATATAAATAAATATGTTATGATTAAAAAAATATAATATAATCAAGTAATACAATATTAATTACTCATAACACATTTTTTCCAAAAACTAAAATAGATTATCTCGGTTGTAAATATTACTTTATCAAATTTAAGCCCAAGACTAAAGTTTTCTGTTTATAATTAATTCAATAAGTACCAATAAACAATTATAACTATAGTTAACTAACGTTTTTTGGACAATTTTGGCTTGTTGGATGGCCCAAATAATACATAAGCTGCTAGCAATGCTAAACCTGTTCCTGTGGCGCCTATTAACGCTAAATGATTTCCATAAATTTTTAACATTGTTATACAATTTTACTCATTGTAGACCGTATTAATTTATTTGGAAAAATTTAACTGAGATGTTAGTAAAAATATACATTATTATATACATTTGTAAATAATACACATTGAAAAATGTAGAACACATTATTTGCCTAAAAATATTGTGATATGACCTTTTTAATCTAAAAGTTCATACCACGGTTATAGATAAACTTCTAACGGAACGAATATTGATTACTGATAAGATAAAACCCCGAACACTGATAAAAAAAAGGAAGATACTATATAATCACACAAAAACGAGTCAGCCATCTTCTTAAATGTATACCACTATAATATGAATTATGATGTTATGTCTAAACATTATAATTTATAACTATTGGTTGTGTTTAGATATAACATCTCATGCTAAATAGATTTTACAATATAGCCGTTACTTTTTTGCTTACATGGCAAGTAAACGTACTGCTTTCATCAATTCTGTGGTTAAAGGACATCTATGCAAAATTTATCAAGTACAAATATTTTTACAGTGCAGCCACATTAGATAAAACCAATTTTTATACGGTATACAGTTGAGGGGACACCACCGAATAGATTAATGAAAATGATCAATGATTTGAAATTACACCAGCTAAACCGGGGGACGGGGACACTGAATGGGGGATCTTATGATGATACGGTCATTTTATTACAGCTGAACTTCAGCGTAAACCCAGTAAACAAATATGTATTAATAATAAATTAAACAATTAATAGTATAAGTAATATATATTATTTAGGTATAAAGTATATTTTTTATTATTAAAATCCATTATGGTATTAATTTAATATATAATATTTTTTAAACGATGATATGTGATAACTAACAATAGTTCTATTTTTATCAACTTCAAAACTACATCAAAACACTTTATTGTACACATTATTGTCATTATGACGTTTTAGGAAAACTATGTTACTTGCTGTTGTACAGAGATTTTGTCAGTAAATTTATATACTTTTGAACAAGTGCTAATAACTATTCAATTTAAAAAAAAACTGCTAAACATTGTGAAAATTATCTCTACTTTTCTCATATATCTGTAACTTCATCGAGAAAGTGACTAGGCAATTCACACTAATCAGTAATCAATAAGGAGACTCATGGATTTTTTTCGTAATGAAGGCTAATGTGACATTAGTAATGTCAATATCAAGTAGAGATTCCCACTCTTCATTCATCATGCTAGTGTACTATTACTAGAGACTAGAGTGTAGAGTATCTTATAAATATTAGTATGGAGTTTTAAGTAATTCGATTGGATAGTTCAATAAAAATACCGAAAACTAATACAGGGGTTAAATCGTATTATTTAGATTATTCTATGGATAAATACAAATGAAATTAATAAATAATCTAATAATAAATCAACTGTATTTCACGTGTTATACTGATCTTTGAAGTTTTTTTCATCATGATTCTAACGAGCCAATCTTTTTGTAGTACTTTAAAATTGAAAAAGTTACAGCCAGAAAAAAAACATCACACGTGTTAATCGAATAGTGAAGACAAAATAGCTTTAAGTGACCTCCAAATATTATCCGATCAAATTCAAATTCAAATTTTGACTTTTTTTTATATTCTTATTTATTTTACATATACTTTATAATAGTTGACAGTATGCCGTATGCGTGCTTCCCACATATACTAGGATTTAAAAAAATATATTTCAAGGTGGAAGCACTTATATTGCTCCTGGTGCCACTCTATAGACTCACAAGTTACAGCGATATAATTTAATGAGTACTAAAATACATTATACATTTAAAAACCAATACGTATTATTAAAGTTATAACCTTAATCGCAATTTTATTTGAAATCAAGTCAAATGTCTTATCCAAAATAATTTGGTGTTGAAGTACACTGGAAGATTATGTCTTGATTATAACATTCAACTTTATTACTCTATTTAATAGAGTAATGAAGTCATAAGTAAAAGTTATAATAGAGTCTATTATAATGAATAATTTAACGTCTATCGATTTGTTCTCTTTGTTTTTTCGCGTCTTTTAACAAAATTTTTAATTGATCTTTACGTTTCGGAACAATTCGTGAGTTTGACATTTTATTTTTATCGACATTTTTAATTTGATGATTGTCCAAATGCGTTGTTTCAAAAATATTTTTTCTTTTGTCTTTTAAATTAGGCTGATGTCATCTCAAACTATTTTCTTGATCAATTCTAAAACATTTGCCAACACGTACAATATAGTTAATATATTTAACCATCATTAAAAAGTCGATTAACATAATATAAAATAAATATCATAGATGTGCGTTGTTGTGCACGTTTTATAATGTGTAGATAGGACTCACTAAAAGTGCTTTTGCGCGGATTGCACTATATAGTTATCACTAAATTATGGTATATAAATTATAGTATATGACGTATAATATATATATATATATATATATAAAGAAAAACGTTGCCAAACCAAAAATATATCATAAACCCTTTTTTTCTTAAAGTGCTGGAAACTTTTTCTTTATTTCGCTTTTTAGGTGAGGGTTTAAAGTCTGAAAATTAGACTGAAGGTAGATGAGGCTAACATGAACAATCATGCTTTTTTATTATTATTATTATTATATAAGGAGAAAATTACACTTTGACCGTAGTCAATTTCTAGGTAGTAAGTGAATCAACAGTAAACAAGTATTTAAAAAGATTTGTATTATTTTGTGATAATTATGATATATGGGTACTATGACAATACAATTTTAATAACAGACAATCAACCTAATCGTGCAATACTTTATAGATATTTGTACTACTACCATTAGAGATTCGCATCGAAGCATTTATTTTAAAGTGATTTTATCATTTTCAATAACTCACATAGACCTGTGACCTCTCCCACCCCAATATGTTCAGTCATCACTATATGCTCCGACGGGTCCGACCCGAACTGTACTAGTTTTTTTTTTACTATATTAGTTATTTTAAATAATAAATACATAACTCATAAAAATAATTTAAGGGATTGCATGCGGTCTTTTTTTTGACGTTTTAGAACAAAAAAGCCAGACATTATTTCGACTACTTAGGATGGTTCGATTTCAATTCTGTAAAAATATACGAGTTTTTTTTGTAAAATTTACTAGGATATGTATGAAACAGTTCTTTGATTTTTCGCTTTTATTACGTAAACAAATTTGGTTTTAATAAGAAATAATGCAAATTTAATTTATTGAATTATAAGAAACTGACAATATCAGATTAAGAATCATTTGTTGTAAAAAATTGTTGTACAGCGTATTTTAGCTATTTCCTAAAATAATTTCTTATTATAATAAAATTATTGCTTTTCGATGATTTGCCATTTTGTCATTTTCTTAAAATTTGTTACTTGGGACCAATACCCTAGGAGTTGGGTTAATTTGAAATTAAAACCTACCTTACCAATTGTCCTAGTTTTCCCGATGGGGTCAGAATCACCAATAATATTAAATCGATTGAATATAATTCAATTTGAATCTAATTCTAAAAATTTACCGTGTCTTATTAATTTTGTTTTGTTTAACTTATTACTACTTAAAATACTTATGAATTAACTATAAGTTACTGTACCTAAATGCAATAATCTATTTTTTTGTTTTACAAAAAATTATATATTTTTTTATTGCAATTTAAATATGTTTACGGTAGATCACATCTCAATAGCCAATGGTCAAGAATAGTACTAAAAGTACAGACTTAAAAGTTAAACATACTATCATAAAAAACTACATTAAAAATCATAGACACGGGATAATATTTATTATCTATAATATTACTATTAGTTAAGCTAATAAAACTCCGTAGACATATTAGTAGACAACTTTTTAAAATCAAACCATAGAGCGTAGACTAGACCTTGTATTTTACTTATATTTAAAAATAAAAGATAATTATTCAAACACAAAAGAGGCTACCGCTTATTTTGTTCCTTGACGTAATTTTTGTTAGAAACATTTGGAGTGAATTTCGACCTATATAACTTAGGCTTAAATTTAAAACGTTAGTTATAGGAACGTTAATTGGTATTATACTACTACATAAAAGGCAATTATTTTATTTTGTATAACAAGATGGCACAAAGATAAGTAAAATCAGAGTTCAAAAATTAACATTTGTTTACCTAAAACAAGTTTTTTTTAATGTATATCACGTTTAAAACGTATATTTGCCCACATGTAATATTTTTTAAAAACCATACGTTGTTCTCCAATTATTAATAACAATTAAAGCTTATTTCCAACTTACTAGGCACTAATACAAGCACACCTGTAATTTGTTCAGAATAATATGTATAAATGCACCAATTGGTTACCTTCATTGCTACTCGATAAGTTAAAATAAATTCGCAAATAAAAGAGTTAGTAGGTACCTAAACAATGAATTACAGTGTTTAGTGAAATGAATAAGTAATACCATAAATGAGTAAAATGTATATATTAATATTTTATAATAACAATTACACTAATCAAAATTATATTTCTACAAATACATGGTAATTGTCTTAATTGCTTTTGGTATACAATGTACAGACTGTTAAGGTAGACTAATTCAAAAATTGGTAAAAAGAAAAACAATGATATGAGTCTTTAGTTTTACATAACTGTTCTAAATTCTTGTTTTTTTATCTGCTATGATATTATATTATAATCAACATTTTTACCGAAGTGGAAACTGAAAATGGTTGAGTTAGATACTTAAAATCATACATGCATAATTTATAAATAGCACTGCAGTTAATCATGATTAACTGAAGTTCTACTACTACATACCTACCTACTTTTTTTACACAATTATGTTTAGACATAATCATAGTGTATATGTAGGTATATATACGACTTATGAGTATATACAATGATTGCATATATTATGTAGATTGTCATATAATTGTCTTACTTGCTTTCATGATCAGTTTTTAAAAAGTACGTATAAAAAGAAGACAGAATAACGCCAACAACCTAAAACATAATAAAATATTTTTTTTGTCGTCAATAATTTTTTATCTGTTATATGTACATATAGTAATAATACAATAAGTAAAATTGTTATTTTCATTCACTTTTACTAAACGTGGCGGCTCGAATGGAAAGGACGCCCAGTAGACACTCCCGGACTTAAACGTTTGGTTTGCTAATTAGTTAAAACATTTTTTTACATTTTCTTATTAATGTTGCTATTACTACTATTACAATTTTGTTATTGATGTTAATAAGGTCACAAGTGACAAGACTAATTTTTTAAGCGGCGAGTGTGGTTATTGGAATACGAGTTTGGGGCTAAACGAGAACTTAGTGGTGTTATATAATTTTGTGTAACATTGTATACTATATAGATCTGTTTTCGGTAAATGCGAAAATAAGGGATACCATTTATAATATAGTTGATAATTCCGACAAATTTTATCTATTTTAATAAAAATGTTTTAACTCTTGTCGTACTAATAATAAACATATGAATAATAATAATAATAATAATAATAATTTTAAATGTAAAAATATGAAAGCCTAGAAATATAATTATTTGCCCAATCTTACCTGTAAGAGTGAAAATGCTAATGCAATATACAACATTGTCGTCATTCTACTCTTCACTCGATCACTCAAGACATTGTAACATCCTTTTTGATAAATTATTCTTTCGTCGAATAAATTTCGACATAGTGCTCCAGATTCATCGGGTAAATTTTGACAACATGAAACAGGAACTTGATTTTCTGGAAATATAATGACCCAATCCCTGGGTGTATCTACTCCACAACACTCTAGCTATAGAAAAAATATATTTATAAAAAAAAACATGAACATATTAATTATAAACCTATATAAGTACGCAAAGACGCAAATAGAGTAAACCCTATAAATTGTCTCTAATAATTTCTGTGCACTAAATATACTAATATATTTTATACTATTTGCGTCTATGATTATACAAAATATTATACTATCCCACTTTTCTTTGTAGAGTAGCCCAAGACTGGCGATCAGTATCTTCAAATGAATATTTTCCCATTGACGACTTAAGATTGTGTCTTAGATCGTTATTGAAATTTTCTTTAGATACTGATGAAGAAATTGCCAAAATTACTTCGATTACCAAAATCAGCAATAAAAGTAAGGTGAACTAAAATGTATATGATTATTACAGTTATTCAAACTTTGGAAAAACTTTATATTTGTTTAATGTTAACCATATACCACTATTAAAATGTAGTAGTTGTGCTTCTCTATACAATAAAATCCAAATATGCAAGTACATATGACTAATATTCCTAAGGCTATGAACATAATTGGTGGAACTGTAATAGATGTACTTAAATAATTAGAAAATCGGCCCAAGTCGGCAATTACTATAATACCAATTATCATTAAAGCGACGCCTGTAATCTGAAAAAATAGGTTACTTGGTTATATATTAATCAACAATTAGAAAATTATTAATTACCCCGAGTATAACATTGAAAATGTATAACAAAAGTTTGACGATATCAGTGCTTCCAGATTCCATTATTCAATAGGCAATGACTAAAAAAATATATTATAAAATTCATTATACTTAATTTAACGTTCACTAACTTATGCGCACTAGAATTTGTATTAAAATATCACTTAATTAAAAATATTTTAAAATTATACACGAATTTAATAGTAAGTATTGTCAGTTTATCTCCGAAAAAAAAGTGTATAAAGAGTACTTTATAAACTTACTCAGACTTATAGTACAACTCAATGATTGTTATTATAATACAATAAATTCAACAGGGTTGTTTAAAGAAATATTTTTGAATAACTTTTGTCTTATTTTAAAAACATTTTTAAAAAATAGTCTAACGTTAGTTATAGAACGGCGTTTGAATAAAAAATGAAATGAATTAAACTTAAAAAGAAAAAATGTCGGTAGAAGTGGATGGTAAGGTGATTGACACATTTTGACGTGTTAATATTTGTACGAGCCTAACTCATCATTTATTCTTTTTTACCATCAGTTGTCTAGGTGATAGTAACCATAAACAAGTGTATAATATGTATTAAAGAAGTGTTGTTAGTCGATAATGGAATAAACATTTATTCATACATCCTACATACATGCATAATGACCTGATGGTCAATACATGTATAAATGCTCATAATTGATTCTTTTGCTTATATTATATTTATATCGTAGTTTTACTTGGAAATTTATACGTACATAATTTATTTATTTATTTTGAAAAGTTCAACTTTATACGTTTTTTAAAACAATTTTACAACTATAATAAAAACAAAATTAAAAATGTACTTCGGTCATGGCATCAAGAAAATGTTGAATAATCTATATCTGTTTTCAAATTATTGTCGGATTACGCGTTTTGGAGTTCTGATTGAATTAGATTGATTTGTTTGCAGAGATAGGCAGTTTACCAAATAAAGTTTAAGAAATATGTTTAGTATCTAGCTCAATTTTATAAAATTTTTGCACAGGACATTTCGTATTTGAACTAAATATTTCAAAGTATTGGGAAAATAATAATATGCTTCGATTTAAAACTGAGAAGATGCTAGCTTTAAAATTACGAGTTTTTTCAATTTTATATAACAAATTTAAGTAATTGGATTCGGTCATTACCTATCGAACAATTTACATAGGTAGATGATAACATAAACTATATATACATACATATTTACATGTATATTTATAGATTTATATTAATTAATTCATAACCTGACCGCCACCAATAGTGTGAACCGTTCCATTAGACTACGCACTACCGATTTTGACCGGATAGTGATCGGACCGAACCTAGACCGCCAATGTGCATCAGAGCAGTGAAAGTTTTCTATAATTAACAACATATTATAAAAAACCTTAAAAGTTTTTCGTAATTTATACATATATACATACATTAATATATATTATACATTATATATATAGCGCCACTGGTAAACTAAATTTGCGCCTTAAATTATTCTACTTACCCCCCTTCCAAAAGAAATACATTATAAAATATTTTAAATTAAATATGTATACAACGCAGTAGGAAAAATCTCGATTAATAATTTTTTTTTTTGTAAAAAATAACATTTAATAAATTTCTAGGATATTTTTTTTACAATACATTACAATTGCGGTATTCTAACGTTTTACATACATTTTTAAAAAAAGCTTTCCTTTTCTTTTACTCAAGAAAGTGAATATTTTAATAATATTCTTAGTTTAACGATACAATTTTCGTATTTGTTTTTGCCACTAAAAAAATGTATCGAAATATTGTCAATTTTACTGAGGCATTTTTTATATTGTAAAAGTAATACTGTTAGGTACTTTTCATAAAAAAATATAAACTCAAAAATTATTAATGGGTAGATTAATAATTAAATTGTTAAACCATTTTTTCTAATAATAAATTCAAAGTTGAAAAGCTTTTAGCGTGAGTTACTTTTATTTTTTAATCGGACTCTTGTCAAAAATACAATATTTTGTAATCATTAATAATTACTTGTTAAAAACATTATTTGTTAAAATGTATATTCTTGTTTAAACGCGTTGCCGCCGGAATCGCATTAATTGATAAATGTCATAAAAACAAGCTTTTTAAACTTTCCTTCTCCGCACTATGTTTTATCGCTTAATTTTAAGTACTCCGCACTTGCATAACATAATATTATAATGTATGTACTGTTGCCTTTTTTGTTTATTAAAGCTTTATGTCAATGATAAAAAAAAGACTAGTTATGTATTCATGGAAATTTTACTTGGCATTTACCAATTATTTACCATTTTTAAGGGTCGTACGTAATCTTTCACTATCAGCCGACAAGTGGTTATTTTCCAATCTAATTTGGTATAAGTTTATTAATTTCTTTTTTGGTTATTAGAAATTCTTGACGGAAAATACATTTTGCATTACAGAATCGTAGAAAAGAAATTTAATTTTTTCTACAAATCTGTTTGTAAAAGCTGTTCTGTATTCTGTTTCTTCATTTAAGGAGCCTCTACACCAGCATTTATTAAGGAGTATTGTATAGGCAATTTAAAAAAACATTTCTTACTGTATTAGTAACTGTTTACTCGTAAATGAACATTAGTGTTAGTGAGCATTTTTATGTATATAATATAATATATAAATCATAATTCTCCGTATACGGAGTCGCGACCGCGAAAGTGCGATAACAAGATAATAACTTACTATTATTGATTCTATACTATCTAAAATTTTATCGCCTAACGCGCGACACGGTAAATGATTGGTTTTATGTCATAATGGTTTTTATTGACGGTAAATGATATTACTCTAATTGTGTCTGGGGTCGCATTTATATTATTTCTGTAGGAGTATGTACACTGTACAGACAAACAGAAGCACGACGATAATTATTATTACTAGACATTAAAAATTACGAGTTTACTTACTAACTTTTGACAAATATATTAACAACAGACTAGCAGTTATTGATGAAGATTTTAATTATAACTATAATAATAAATGAATACAATTTTAATATAAAAAGATATTTTTTTGGTTTGTCAACGTTTTTCCGTATACAATACATATACGAGTTCTAACTCCTGGCAAATTTTCAACCTAAAGGTCCTAAAATTACAGCAAAAAAATACAAAAAAACTTAATTTAAATTTTAGACTATTTCCGTATAGGGGCATACCAAATAAATATTCCTTATAATTTTCAACTCTTTTTCTCAAAGTTATAGCCAGTAAAAGTAAAAATTGAAATTTTAAAAATCGTATTATTTTGTTTTTTAATTTTAGAGTTAAAGAAGTGAACTTTTTCAACTTTAACATTATTAAAATGATAAAAATAATTAAAATGGACTAATGATAATCAGGGCCGGACTTAAAGGGGGGTGTGGGGGGGGGTTTGACACCCCCCCACTCGGAAAACTCAAGTATACCTAGTCGGCACATTCGGAACAAAAAGTTGGTAAATATGATAACCCCCGTAAAATTATACAAATAACATATTTATTATTTTTATTTTATAAAAGTAGGTAGGTACATAATTTTTATTGGAATCTAGCGACGAATAGTGAATAGTCGACATACGGACGACCATACAAAAATATTTTAGTTTTTAGTAAAAAAAAAACAATGCATTTTCGGTTATTCCCGATTTTAGCAGAAGTATTATTTTTTGTTTATAATAGCTGTGGTGTATATTATAATATCAAACGATGTTCGGTCATGGGACCTATTGGTCTATTGTAAACAAACATTCTATCCCTCTATAAGTATATATTTTTGTTTTAGTTTTAAAATTCCAAAAGATTCCCTACTATAAAAAAAAAAACCTGCTCTTCTGTTTTAGACATATTACATAACCCATAGTATTAAGTCTGCAGGCAAAGAGTTAGCGGGTTTATTTTTGCTTGTCCTGTGTGCGCGTGTAAAATAATAAGTATTGGTTATAAATGTGTGTAATCTAATATATATATATATATGGTTAGAGAATGAATATGAAACACCAAGGAGCTGCTAACAATCCTTTTGAGCCTGCCCGAGTAAATTTTGAACAAAAGGTATGAGATGGATACGTATTTAGAATAAATCATTAAGCCAGATTTTTAAGGCCTATGAGAGTTCCTTGGTACTACTTCACTATGTCTTGTTTCTTCTTTATTACTATCGTTGCGGTGGGATATTACCTACTATAATATATATATAGCGAGCAGGGAGCAGACATGACCATTATTTTTAAATAGTGTACCTAACTAAAATAAAAATAAAATTGTTTTTAGATAATAATTTATAAAAAAATACACTTTTGTGTTTATTTCAACGGTTTTAATAATAATTTTGAATACAATTTCATTATTTTTTATAAAATTTTTTAAAATAAGGCTATTTGGATTATATCTCGGTTAAATTGCAGTTTCAACTGCAATACGTTATAATTATGTTGAATAAATTCAAACATTTTTAAAATAATGCTTTTAAAGTAGGGCTCAAATTGTTTTAGTATTGGTGACTGAGAACTGAAAATGTAGTAATAAATACATTTGTTAGCTGCCTAAAATATTTCTATGCTCCAAAAACATTTTAAAAATCAAAAAAATCAAGTCACAATATCACATCATTATCATTTTTCTTCTTCTTATTCTTTCAAAAATAATAAAAAATGACTCCCGCGATTTTAAACTCCACCAGAGATATTCTCGATATAATTGATTTGGAAGAAATAACAAGGAAATAGCCCGCATTAAAAAAAAACGGCATATTAAAGTTAAACTTTTGATGGTTTTTTTATTATCTAAATTTGTTTGTATTATTTATACTTAAAAAAATAATAATTCAAAGTTAAAAAAAAAATTATTTTCAACAATTATTAATTCCCATTAATTTTAGCAAAAAATTGTGACTTGTGTTGTAAAATGTTATAAAATATTTACGAAAGTATTCAAATATTTTAGTCGGCATCTTCATTTTGACACCCCCCCTTGCATATTTCTCAGCACCGGCCCTGATGATAATAATAACATATATGGTCGTCATACACGACTAATAACTTATCTAAGGGAAAATCAAAATCTTTGCGATAACTAATAAATAATAATTACGACACAACCTATAACTTATTATTGTTTATAAAATGTAACAACACTATAAAATTATAAAAAAAATTGTGTAACCATACAAACACAAGTGTTTATTAATTATATAATATAACAATAATTAATAGATTCCCTATTTTAATACTAAAATATACCCCAAAATACAAAAAAGTAATTTTATTATTTATTTTACCTGTTTTTTAAGTTGTAATGAACTATTTAATATTTTAAAAATAAATGTACGATTTAAAAGATATTGTACACAGTAGTACAGTGAACTTGATGATTTTATTGTATCTTATGTATTTTAATTTTTATATTAGAATCAGGAACTGTTATTAGATCTAAAACGATGTTTACTGGCTCTATTGTCTGTATTTTGAATCCTTTAATGCACTATATATACATATCAAAATAACAATAATAGGTCAAACTGTTGTTAATATTTCTATAATATAATTTTTTGTTTATACCTCTGATATAGTTGAACACATCTGTATGTGTGCTAGTTTTTGGCCAATACAAGACCTAGGTCCAAACCCATAGGGTAATGTTGCAAATGGTTCGTAAACTCCACAATATTTGTTTCTTTCAAAACGTTTCCAACGATCAGGGTTAAATTGATTTGGATTTTTAAAATAACTTTCATTTCTACTGCTTGAGAACATTGACATTATTACAAGACTCTAAAGAATAACATAATAGTTTTATTTTAACATCAATACATCGCAAAGTGTCTTTAATATTATGTATTTATATTCCCATTTCACTGCAAAACGGCCGATTTGTATAATTGTTATACCACCAGTGTTTGTATTGGAATGAAAAAACGAATATACTATTTACATTACCCTTCACATACATTTGCTGGTATTATATGGTTTGTTAAAACCGTGTTATATGGCAAAATTCTTGTAAGAAATGGTGCTAAAGGATATAATCTTAATACTTCTTTCAATATGTTATTTAATAACTCGTTTTCCCAAAAACATGTTGTATATAAACTTTTTCTAAGATTTTCTTGGATTTCTGGATACAATCCTAATGTATAAAGGGCCCATTGAGTTGAATAAGCAGTCTATAAATTACTTTAAAAATTACTACTCAATAACAATAGTTTAATAATTGTTTAAGTAGGGTATAAAAAGCTTACTGTATCTCCAGCTGCAAGTATGAAATCAATTACAAGCCGTTTAATCATATTATCAGATACATCCTGAATAGTTGACATAGACTTTAATAACCCATCACCTTTATATTCCATTAATTTCGACACCAATTGATTTGCTAATTATTAAAAATAAACAATATATTGATTACACATCTTTTCGTTTTAAATGTTTAAAATAGTATACTTATTAGGCGTGCACACACTACAATTATTAAAGCTGAATGGATTCCTTACAACCACACATTTTTTAGCTGATAATAGTTATATTTTAATATATTTTTCATATCAAATTATTCATTAAGACTGGAGAGAGTAGTATATTTATTTTTTTTATAAGTAGATATACGATCTTGGTTTTAATTATTTAAAAATTAAGGCATGTAGGTATAATTATAATCTATAGTATAGTGTATACACTTAATAATTTTACTCTTTGATTTGTTTAAATATAAACGATTAAACGCTTCATACTATAACTTATTGTATTTTATTTCACCTTAAAAATTGCCCACTGCAATATTTTAACCAACCCAATTGTCATAGAACTCGGAAAGAAATCCTAGCATTAGATCTTTCACATACAAAAGACTACATCCAATATCACCACGAGAAGTACAGAACAATTTTATCAACATTATACAGACAAAATGTTTTTAACACTTATCAGCAACCTACTTCACTAGCTTAAAAAAAAAGAGTCTGGTAGCAGATCTGTCTCCATAAATACGCCAACCCTTATATTAACATTATAACTAAACCAAAAAAGTTCTTTACCATTATTAATTGATTCATCAACTGCTTTTACAAAGTCATACCAAATGCCTAGTTTTAGTAATTTAGCAGTTTTGGCAGGAATAATTGTAAATTTAACACTACTTTGAAATATTTGTTGCACACTATAAGCTAACTTATTAATGTCATTCGATACCTCTTCTTTACATTTTTCAAAAACACCACCAACTAAATATGAAACCATAACTGAAAAATGATTGTAAAATAAAGTTTAATTATTTATTTCATAAGCAGGTAAATTAATAAAAATGTAAGTACTTACAAGATATTGAAATTCTATAGAGATCTGTTTCTAAATTTTCAATAAGCAGACCATTAAACATTTTCCATTTATTTAGTACATCTTGCAATATTATTGTAGTTGACTCTATAAAGCATTTATTACTATCTACCAACATCATTTTATTGAGAAATTTTCTATAAGTCCACCATTCTTCTCCATCCCTAAAATTATGAATACATATTATTCGACAATGTAATTATAGTTCATAAATTCATTTGAAATAATTGAATAATTAATGAAGTTGTATGGAATGTCATATTAATAAACCAACGACATAAAAGCATGATTATAAAAAAAAAGTTTTAACTTTAATAGCAGGTCTGAGATTTTCGAAAAAATTAATGTTTTAAGTTATTAATTTTTAAGACATTATTTGTATTAACGTTTATTATTTATAATTTATTAATAATGTCTTCCAAGTTTTATTGTTCAAAGCTTTAATTTTTTTTTCAACTAATCAATGAAAAAACAAGGGATAAATAATACTTTATATTTCTGTTATAGACTAAATTGGTTATTTTTGTTTATTGATTATACTAAAATGTTTGATGTTAAACATTATAATGGTAGAATTGAGACTTAACTACAAGAAATATACTTTAATCCGCAGGCACTTGATGCATATGGGAATCTTGTTCTGAAGGATTATGATTTACTCACTTAACTTTAAAGTAGATGTAGCTGAATTAAATAATTGCATACATACTAGGTATAAATGGTTAAACGTTTTGGTAAAAAAAAACTACAGAAATTACCAAATTACATGAAATAAAGTCCTCGTTGCTGGCCATATGTTTCATTGTATAATAGCCAAGCTTCAGGCAAAATATGCCTAGCATGTTTTCCTTCTTGTGCAAATAATAATTTCATATCTGCTGGATCACTAACCCATATTGCATCAATGGGGCCAAGTTTTTCTCTGAATACTGGTCCGTATTCCTGATGTCGTTTACCAATATACTCGTGTAGCTTTTTTCCACCTCCAGCAGCCAAAATAGAAAATGCAGTGCCAACAATTGGTAATCCTTTGACAATTGGTACTTCACTTTTTAAATTTAGATTACCATCTTTATTATTAGTTGACAATAATCGTTTTAATAAACTAAATGTTATATTTGAATGGGAATAAATTGAAATACTTGTTAAGTATTTCATTATTTTAACCAATGCAATATTTTAGAACATTTAAATAAAACTAAAAAATGTATCTTTGACAATAATAATAATTCTACAAATGTTTAAATTTATTAGATAATAATAATGGAAAATCTCCTTAAATTATCTGTTAATCTTTTCTAAAAAAAAAAAACAAAAAAAAGGTAGATCATTAATACAAATTAAAATACATTTTCATTAAAATTACATAGCAAAAGTTTAAAAATAGGGACTCACATTCTCTCAAAAGTGTATTCTTTGCCAGCTTAAAACAGAATTGTATATCTTAGATGTACACTAATAGTATGTACCTACAACAAATATCATTTTTAAATAAAAAACAATTCATAATACATTTCAATTAAGGGGATTGCATGCAGTCTGTTTTTAAGGAGTTTTGTATTTGTAATATTTAAGTAAAAAGTGGTTTAAATAAATTTTGCCCATGCCAATTAATAATTTACCGGTTAATTTTATAAGCTTCAAAGAATTATTTTTTAATTCAAATAATTTTTTCTACGAGTAAAAGCCATTTTGGTTTATTTTAGACCAAAAAGCCAAACAAAATTTCAATTACATAGGATGGTCCTATTTCAATTCTGTAAACAGATTCTAGTACTCTGGATACTTTACTATGTTATTTAGGGAACCAATTTTCATTTAAAAATTTCAGTTTCTTGTAATTAAATAAATTAAACTTGCATTTTTTTTAATATTAAAACCCAATTTGTTTATACAAAAATAAAAAATCTGTTTCCTATATAACCTAGTTAAGTTGCCAAAGAACTCTTATATCTTTACAGAACTGAAATCGGACCATCCTATGTAAATTGAAGTTTTGTCTGGCTTTTTGTTCTAAAATGTCAAAAAACAGACCACATGTATAAGATCCCCTTAAATGTTAATGTCATCAAGTAAAATTAATATTTACAACACTTATTCTCTGCTTAAAAGATTTAATTTTTTTAAATTAAAATTTCTTTCATCAGAGCTTGAACTATTATTAATATTAATAATCCCTCTATTTTATTGACTTTTTATTTTTAGAAATAAGTTAAAAAAGGGTGTTCAGTAAAGTAAATTTGTTTCCTAATCTAAAGGTACTCTAATTTTACTATGCATTTTGTACATGGAGTAACTTAAATTCTTGATTTAAGAAACTGTAGCCTCAGTAATATTTTATTTTGAAGAATTGAAATTATACTGAGCTGTTTCAGATTTCTGATACTACTTCTTAACATTACAACGCTATCCATACGTCAATTGGATGAGCACTGATAATTTTACTGTTTTTTTCATTCGTTATCCCCGTGTATCTTTCTAACATGTAATATAGTGTAATTAATTAAGGTGAGTGTTCAAAGGTTAAGGCATAAGTTGGGATTGTTATTTTTTATTAAATTATTTTGTATTTTTTTAGTAATATATTTTATATATAACATGTATAAAAATATAAAAAATAATATTAATAAATAAAAATATACTTTAAGCCGTGTGTATTTCTCTAGTCCCTTTCGTAGTATAATTTACCTGAAACAAAATTAATTTAAATTTGGTTAAAATTGAATTGTTTGTTATGTCTATGGTTAAACTTTACAACTTCGTTATCATACATTATCAAAGATAATCACAGATACCGGCCTAATACACAGCAGCTGATCTTCAAGGCCATTATTGAGTGTTATCAAAATTTACCTAAATTAGAATACTTAATTATGATTTGATGATAGACATAAACAATTATTTTGTTTCTACGTTCATGTAGGTTGTCGGTCGGCGTTTTATCAAGTTTCTGCTTAGACGTGCTTAGCTTAGTGCTTACCGCTTACAACTTTTCTCAATAATTTACGTAGTCAATTTTGAGTGGGATGTATGGATAATAAGAGTACAAGTTTTGGAAATTGTATAATTATTGTTTATTTAAAATTAATTCAATAATACGAATTCGCCATGGTTGATGTTAAAGGGGTATGGTTTTCTTATTTTTAATTGCCACGATCATTGTATTAGAATGGTATACATTTATTTACTAATACATTTTTTAATATTTTAGAATAACAAGCAGTTTTCAGATTTTCATTTGAAAATCCTTTCAGCTAGTTTAAAAGAACGGAAAATATTGTTCAAAAATGCTTCAAATTTTGCCAAGTCTAGTAAGTTTTACAGTTTTTGTAGTATTTCAATTGAATAAATTGTATATTAATTTTACAGATTTGACAGATGACGTGTGGTCAAATTTTTCTGAAACACTATTAGTTGCATTTAGCCGGTATCAAGATTTGACATCGCAGTCGTATGTCAAAGAATTTATGAAAATATTAATGGTTTCAAAACCTAAATCATGCATTATTCATTTGACTCCAATATTGGTTGATTATATTAATCATTTTCCCCGACAAAATATATCGTTAGTATATGTTTGTTTTACCCCTTAATATTAATATTAATATTAAACCAATATATCAAGTAATTGATTAACTATAACCTAGCCAATTTATAAAACAAATTTAAAATTTGTTATTAGGTATACTTTTAATTATTTAATTTAATAATAAATTTGCAATATGTGTAATGTAATGGTAAAAAGAGTCAAACTTAGTACTAGAGGTACACACCAAAATAGACTTTGCATGCCTCTATCTCGCATAAGGTCTGCTTATTTATACATGTGCATACACTTCCATGGGTATGAGACACTATAGTGTGCCCATAGTATGGGCCCCATACAAATAAAATCTAATAAATCACAAATGTAAATGCTATTTTATTGAAAAATGTAGTACACAATACACAAGATAATCAAAAATTGATGGCTGAATAGTTAGTTAAAGAGCAAGATAATTTTATTTTATTTATTGATAGATAACACGGCTTTAGAAAATCTAAAAGAATAAATTGTATTAGCTTGAAGATTAAAAATTGGGTAGGCCATAAAAAAATAATTACTCTGTATAATGTATACCGGAACAAATAATAAACACTGTTTTTGTATCATTATATTTATATATTGATTTAACAAACTATACAAATTTCAAAATATATTTCATCTTATAATCCTGACTCATCTTTATAGACAATAAATAAATGAATTTTAGAACCATCTTAATACAATTAATGTAATTATACATTTGCTTATATTATTGGGAACAAAACTATGTCCTAGCCAATTGGTATTGAATCCATTGGAAAATAAATGATCCTTGTAGTATTTAATGTGTTCTTAAAATATATTTTTGCTTTACAGAAATAATTTAGCAAAATCAGCCTACTTTATGCTACTAATTGTAAGCATCATTGTTAAAACTGCATTTAAAGAATTCAACATCCAGCATAAAACTGAAATAAAACAACTAATTGAATCACAAGCATTGTTAGTTAATGCAATTGCTTTATCAAAAAACACACTGTATGTATTGAATTATATATTTATTTCTAGTATTTAGTTTTATTTTTTTTACATTTTAAACTAATTAATAATGTTTATTTTTGTTATATTTTAGTTTATGTAGAAAAACATTTAATGTTTTAAATGAGATATGGTTAAGTGAAAAAGATTCACTAGAATATTATGGAGAAGTTTTACAAGAACTAAATTCAAAACCATATGTATTAGTGATTGAGTCTTATTTACTAAAATCAATGTCATCTACTAATATAGAACTTGCTAACAAGTTTAAGGTATATTGAATCCCTAGTTTTTTATAATTATATTTTCCAGGCGTAAATATATTTGAGTACGCCGAAAATGTTGGTGAAATCAGAGTTTAAAAATTATTTTGAGTTTTGAAGTTATATCAAAAATAAGTTATGAATGTTATGATCCAAGCGTATTACCAGTCAGGACAGCATTGAGCGTTCAAGCAGCATTACCTAATGTAGCCTGACAGCGATGACAGTACAGACACTGCAAACATGAGTCACTGTACAGTATTTTTCACTTAAAGCTTAAATTACGTAGTACTATATTTTAGCCTCACTTGCCACAAATCTGTAAACTCCAAAGACTGGGAAACTTGCTTTTTGATTTCTTAAGCAAAGCAATGTTGCTCAGTGAGAGCTAAACACCCAGTGACCTGCGCTAACAATATGGTGTGTGACAGATAATGGCCATGACGCCCCTCTCCACTCATTGATTAGAGCATGATCAGTCACGCAATCCAGGTTTCACCCTACACCCTATTTATCGTAAACCAAATGACAAATTTTTGTCGCTGCGCTGGTTATGTTCTTAACGCTTAGCTAGTATAAATGATAACATTAGTAACTTTTGGTGCAAAAACTTCAAAATAATGTATGACTGTCAATATTTGACTTCACTATCTATTAAAAAAAAAAAATTCCTTAAGTAGCAAGGTGTGGTTAACTAAATTTGTCACATTTTTTTTATTATATATTTATTTGTAAAATATAGGACAATTTTTTGGATGTTTTCATCAAAGAAGGAGTAACTTGTAAAACAAGACCTGAACAAGAACTTATTCGCCAGTGTTCGTTTACTATAAAATTAGTTACAAAGGAAACTTTCAAATCAAAATTGTTGCCTTCCGTCTTAAAATCCATGCTGCGTAATCCAGAAATAATATTAGAATGTATATCTGCTATTATTTCTAATGTTTCTATTGATTTAAGCATTTATTCCAATGAATTAACAAAAGGATTTTCTGGTACATATTTTGAATTTTAATAAAACTTCACCATAATAATTTTTTTTTTTTTTTTTAAACATTCCAGCCAATCTTTATTCACAAAATGAGCGAGCAAGATTGGAATCATCCGAGTTGTGTAAAGAACTGGCATTGAAGTGTAGTGATGCATCAGCGATATCTAGTATTGTAAAACTTTTATTTAATATTTATAATGGTTCTGAAGGCAAGTTAAGTACCTCCGAACAAAAAATTAATGTCTTACAAGTAAATATAAGTTTATTTTTAATTTAACTAAATAACAAATAAAATCCAATTTTTTTAAATATTATAAAATTAAATTTATTTACAGGCAATTGGTAATTTTAGTTTTAATAACGTTGCCAATGATGATAAATGTCAAGAAATTGCAGATTATGTTGTTGAGCAATTTATCAAAGTGTTAGATTCAGAAATGCACGAAAAAACGTTGATACATGCAATACAAATGTTGACTTTATGGCGGTCTAGTTTCAAGAAAACCATTACTAAAACATTGATAGCCTGGTTTTCAGTAAGTATCTTTTATAACTTAAAAGTATAAAATATTGTGGAATTATTCTAGTAAAAATATTAAACTCTACAATAAAAAATGATACAATTAATTATAAAATAGTCTATTATCCTTCTGTTTTTAACTTACACTAACACTAATTTCAATTTTAGAAAGGATACAACAAGAAATCATCAGTTATGACAGTAAAATTGGCCTATTTGGAATGTATGATGCATGTATTTCAAAAGGATCATTCTAAATATGCCATTGAAATCATTCCTTTATTATTAAACTGTGTTGATATGTTTTCTCAGTCATCTCAGGTATGAAAACTAAACTTTTAAACATCTTATTTTACTAAGCAATATAGCTCAACAATTAAATAAAATTCATTACAGTATTTTTTTTTTTTTTAATAATAAAATGTACAGTTTATACTAATTAAAGCACAATAAGTATATGTGATATATTTGATAAAGAAGTCACACATTGGTGACACTTAAATATGATTATTCTACATTTTGTTAAGAGGGCGTCATACTAGTGATTTTCAGTGGTTAAAAACATGGTTAAGCAGACTGAAAATAACTTGCTTAATTTTGGTTTTAGAGTAAAAGCACCCATTATAAAATTAAAAGTGAACAATATTCCGGAGGGCAAGATGGTGCGTTTTTTAAAAAAAAATTCATTTTTTGAAAAGTTACAGTCTTTTAAAAATGTTAAAATAGTTGTTATTTCTAAACTGTATTGAGCGTTATACTTGAAATAATGAAAAAAACGCACTGTCTTGACCTCCGGAATATTGTTCTCTTTTTAATTTTATAATGGGCGCTTTTACTCTAAAACCAAAATTAAGAGAGTTATTTTCAGCCTTCTTAAACATGTAGAGATGAAAAAACATTTTTAAATCGCTTTCAAGGATGCTGTGATAGTCCAAAAAATAAATTACCTACCAAAATAGAGTCCTAGTTATTGAACTCATAATTACACATCACACCTATAAATTTTAACCTATAAAATTAATATAATAATAAGTTTAACCTATAAATTAAGATTTTGTAAAAAATTGCCTGTACTTTACTCCTTAAAAATGGGCGATGCAACACCGTAATTAACACAGTAATTTAAAAAAAATGTATAAAGAACAAAAAAAAAATTATTAATATCAAATAAAATAGTATACTAAATAGCAGTGCTTAATGAATATATTTTTTTTATAATGGACTGGGTTGATATTTAACACAATCACAGATAATGTATCAATAACACAGTTATGCGACTATTGTTGTATTTAATTTTTTATCCAGATTTAACTTGTTTTCTAACAATTTTATTATTTCAAAGTATAAAAAAACAATATCCAACAGATATAATGTTCCAACTTAATGTCACACTGTACATCTAAGTTAAAAGATAAAAGTGATAGTATTAATAGATTTTAGATTTGAATTGATGTTATAAAAATCTATGAAAATCAATATTTAAATTGCTAACTATAACATTAAATAAAATAATAATATTACATACAATATACATTACATATTACATTACATTACATACAATATATATTACATACTACTGGACTGAAAATCAATAATGAGCTAAGTGCAAAAAAATAAATATTAAGTTAAACCCCAAATATTATATTAAAAGCCAAGCCTGATAACATGTAAAACGCGCAACTTACCTCGATCAATTTTAATAGTTGAAAACAATTTGTATAAATAGTATGTGCAGTATCAACCAGGGCTTGTTAAAAAAAAAAAAGAGAATAACTCAAAATCAATGTATTGGCACTAAGAACATTATGGATTTCAAGTCCTCTCATGTATATAATGCATATCTTTAAACATAGGTCGCAAAACTTGTATGGTAATGTTAGGTCAGCAGCCAGCTGTAATCCTAAACATGCTAAATTTATAAAGTGTCTAAGCACCGATCAATAGAAATAACGGACATAAAAACTAAACTAAGTCTAATAAAATTTTGTTATATCATTTAATTTTAGATTCCTGTAGCCACTGAATCTATTTATGTTGCTTGCTTGTTGTTACATCTAATAAAAGAAAACTCTAAATTAAATCAAGATAATGGATTCACTCAATTTTGGAATTTAGTACTTAATCCGAGTAAACTTCCATTTTTATCTGAAAAGCTGTTATTACAGTTTTCAGAAGAAGGTATAACTTTGGTTTTATATTTGATACATAAAACTTTATTATAAATAAAAAAAACTATTGAATTTAAAATGTAAATTATGAATGTTATAATTGATTTTAGTTATGAACAAAATTTGCATGTTCAGTTTACTAGTACTTGATATGCATGTTGATAAAATAAATGGATCTGTCGAACTATACTACAAATCTATAGTTTTAAGTCTCTTATCTATAAAGTCGACTTTGAGAATTGAAACTAAAAAAAATGTGGCAAAAGCAGTTTCATCGCCCGGAGGATCTAAATTAGCGGCATCATTGTTAGTTGAAACAATAAACGTTCTGCAAAATGTAAGCTGTACTTAATAAAAAGGCTTTATTCTTTTTGAAGTAGTTTTTGAAATTGTTTTTTTTTTTTTTTTTTTTCATGTTTGTATATTAGAATACTCTAGTTATACTCCCAAAACATTTGGTGGAAACTATCACAATATTATGCCAGAATACGAATATTGGAGAAGAGGAACAAAAAATGTTGGCTTTTGAATCATTAAAACCATCACACCATCCTTTAATCGGTATTTATTTTTAATCTTCAATTTATTTATCAATCCCTATTTATTAATTCATGCTATCATTAATACATAATCAAAATAATTCCTACACATGAACTTATATAACACATGTTCAGTGACTTAAATAGTTAATAGTGCCCAGTTGCAAGATATTTTTATGTCTTATAATAAACATATAAGTATACCATTTATTTGCACCCAAAAAGTTATAGGTCATATCGACGCCCCGTATGAAAAGTAGCACCGTTCAAGTTCTAGCAAAAACTAACACCATTGGCGATGACCTTACGAAAAGTAGCACTGTTCGCAAATTTCTTACAAAAACTAGCACCGTTTGTAACAATAGGAACAATAGCCTAATGGTGCTAGTCTTCGTAAGAACTTGAACCATGCTACTTTTCGTAAGAATCTGTGAACGGTGCTAGTCTTCTTAAGAACTCACAAACTGTGATACTGCACATGTTTAGGAGATAAAATAACATTTTACATCCCATCAGTAGTACTTGGTGAGATGTTGAACTTTAACAACAATTTTAAAACTTAAAAATGTATGGCATACTATCCATTAATTTATTAAAAGTAGTTATAATCTAATATGTCTATATATCTACTTATGTAATATTGTAAATATTATTATTAACTTTTAGAAACATACGCTCCTAATTTGTGGATTACAATTTTGAAACGTTATCAAATAAAACCATCTGTTTTTATCAGATTATATGAAAAGAAACTCATAAAATGTTTTGTAGAAGATTATGTACCTTTACGAGTAAATTATTTGTTTATCTTATTTTAATATTCATATGTATTATAAATTATAATATTGTGATTTTTTAAAAAAAAATTTATCTTTATTAGTGTATGGAAAATGCTATAAGCACTATTTCAAAAATAAATGGTGATGTAATTATACCTCCAGTTATTGAAAAAATTAGACAATATTTAGAATATAACAATGATTATCTAAGCGTGACGGAAGAGGAGTATGCCATATTTTTATTCCCAGAAGGAGAATTATACAACAAATCTGTTTTAGCAGAGTAATGACAAATAGTTAAAATTGTAATTAATTAATAAATAAGTGTACATTATTATTATTTTTAAAGTAAAGAAAATGAGGATCCGTTAAATATTAAGAATATGAAACGTGAAAGTAAAGCATATTCATTTAAAGAACAACAAGAAGAAATAATGCTAAAAAAAGAAATAGAAGCTAAAAAAATTAAAGAAGGCAAACTGAAAAAACCAGAACTATCACCTAAACAAAAAGAAGCTATGGATATTGAATTAAAAAAGGAATCATCTATTAGAAATAGATTGTGTAACGTAAGTAATGGTTATATTATTTTCTTTTTATAACATTGTAAGTAATTTAAATGATTGAAGTATTTTTTAATAACATAATATTTTGATATGGGCTACAATTTTGTGAAATTATAATAATGTATAATTTAACCAATCATGATCAATTTGTAAATATTTTGGTATTATTTATAGAATTGGAAAGTGCTATTTTTTTTTTAAATTATATTTTATAATTTACAGATGAAGAATGATATTTTGAATGTAGTATCTATGTTGAATGGAATAGTAGCTGGAAATACACTCCTAGTTTCTCAATCGTTGCGGTATTTACTACCAGGAATAATATCAAATTTACAGTCTATTATTGCAGCACCACTCTTAAAAAAAGTATTTATTGATTTAGCTTTTTGTGCTTTTAATGCTGATGAAACAAAAAAAACCAAAGCAGTTAGCAAAACAAAAAATGGACGTTTAAAGATATCAGATTCTAGTATACGAGCTATAGCGTATTTAACACTTCGCAAACTAAAACCAAAGTGCCAGTTAGATGAAGCTTGGTTACAAGAAGACATTGGTAAAAAAAAAAAACTATATATACATACTAGAGGGGTCCTAAGAAATTTTATTTTCGAATTTTAACCACGATGCCCCCTCAAAAGTTTCTAAGTATAAAAAAATTTGATGAAAAAAAAATTCAAAAAATATTTATTTTAACTAGCGCCTCAAAAAGGTTGAAGTTTAAATGGGATTTAACATAGGTTTTCAACATTTTGCATAGATCAATGCATAACTTTTTTCCTACTTTCCTAACCCATTTAAACTTCAACCCTTTTTTTGGGCACGGATTAAAATTAATATTGAACAGTTTTTTTTTTTTTATATTACATTTGTATTATACATAGAAACTTTTCAAGGGGCGTTGATGTTAACATTTAAAAATCAACTTTAAAGGACCACCCTTAATGTATATACATCATTAATTGTTTTTCTTTTATTGCATATTCATTGTATGTATTCTTTTATTACAGAAAAAGCTTCAATTAGATTAGTAAAATTGTTTTGTGACTTAACACATAATGAAGGACAAGAAATGACTTCACCAGCATATTGTTATGCTTTTACTCTTATCAGGGCAGTAATGTTGGATTTGCCCTTTGATCATTCTTTGGTATATGATTGTTTATTATTAACACATAATCAAGCAGCTATCCGTCCTAAAGCTGTTTCAAAAGCCAAGAGCAATTTAGATTTACAACGGCCTAAATTTTTGCCTCGTATTCAAATGTTTCAATTGTTATCTGAAATTATTAGCCGTTCATCAAACAACCTTCAAGATAAAGCTGTTTTAGCTTACTTAACAGTAGCTGAAAGTTGTTCTACCGATGAAAAGTGTGATCCAGCGAATCGAGATGAAATTTTATGTTTATTATCAGCTTTACAAGATCCATCTACTAAAGTAAGAAATACTGCAATACAAGCATTGAAAATGGTTGTAGCTGCTTTTCCAACGTCCAAAAAAGATACTCAAATAATTTTAAAAATTACCAAAAGAATTTGGATCACAAAATTTGATATTTATGAAGAAAATAGGTTTGTTTTAATTCAGTTTTTTTTTTAAATTATGAAAACGTGCTATATACTTACCTATCCATTTATAAAATTTGCTTTTTTTTCAGAAATTTGGCAGATGATCTTTGGGTACTTGCAAAGTTAGATATCAAAGTTAATGGACTGCTAGAAAATTTGTTAGAAGATGTTGTACATCCAGTTACTGATGTGCAAAAGGCAGTTTCTATAGCATTGTTTTCTTTTTTGAAAGATTCTCCAATTAACGCTACTAATAATGCATTAAAAAAACTTCTTGTTATGTACAATAGTAAAATTTTGGTAAGAAACAAACAAATTACGTATCATTATACGATCATTTTGTTAGTTATTTCTATAGTAAATTAAACTACATTTTTGAGCAAAAAAAATGTTTATGTTATATTATTTATATGTCGCTTAGCTATATTTTTTTTATACTTAGAAACCAGAAGAAAACATTGAATTAGATGATTGGCAAGGTCGTGTTGGAGTTGCAATGGCATTAGAAGAACTATCATTACTACTAAGTGATGATATGGTAATACAACTAGTCAATTTTTTTGTTTCTACAAGTTTAGATGATAGAAATAATATTGTTCGAGAACATATGCTTAAAGCAGCTGTAGCAGTTGTAAATATACATGGTAAAAATAACGTAGACAGACTGATGAGTATTTTTGAGAAATTTTCAAAGAAAGCTACATCTTCTGAAAGTTTTGATAATGTTCGGCTGGGTGTTGTTGTATGTATGGGATGTTTGGCAAGACATTTGGTTACAAATGATCCTAAACTAAAACCTATAACTAATAGACTTCTCGAAGCATTATCTACACCTTCTCAAGAAGTTCAAGAAGCTGTAGCAAATTGTTTATCACCTTTAATGCCTATGGTTAAAGATGATGCAGCAGCTATATTAAAAAAACTTCTTGGTAAACTTTTCAATTCAGCATCATTTGGAGAACGTAAAGGGGCTGCTCATGGAATTGCAGGTGTCATAAAAGGACTTGGTATCCTTAGCTTAAAACAATATGATATAATGAGTACATTAACTGAAGCAATACAAGATAAAAAAAATTACAAAAAACGTGAAGGGGCACTATTTGCATTTGAAATGTTGTGCTCAACTTTAGGGCGTTTATTTGAACCTTATATTGTTCATGTTTTGCCTTATTTATTATCATGTTTTGGAGATAACAGTGAATATGTAAGAACAGCTACTTATGACTGTTCTAAAGCAATAATGAGTAAACTGTCAGCCCACGGCGTCAAACTTATTTTGCCATCATTGTTAAATGCTTTAGAAGGAGATTCCTGGAGAACAAAAACTGGTAAATACTATTATATTTTTTCTTGTGAACTATTGAAAATATTGGTTTAATTAATTTGTATTATGTTTTTATTGTTCAATAGGATCAGTAGAATTATTAGGGGCTATGGCATATTGTGCCCCTAAGCAGCTTTCATCGTGTCTCCCTAGTATTGTTCCAAAGTTAATTGAGGTTTTGAGTGATTCACACATTAGTGTTCAAGAAGCTGGGGCTCAAGCTTTAAAAGTTATTGGTTCAGTTATAAGAAATCCAGAAATTCAAGGTAATTATACTATTTTTATTAATATATAAGGCTGTTATAAATAAATGTGATTTTTCTTATTTAAATCAATTACAATTTATTAATCTACTTTTTGGTTTTCCTATTTTAGCTATCGTACCAGTACTTCTTGAAGCTTTACAGAATCCATCAAATAAAACAGCTCCTTGTTTACAAATTTTGTTAAATACTAAATTTGTTCACTTTATTGATGCTCCATCTCTTGCTTTAATAATGCCTGTTGTAAAACGAGCATTTATTGATCGTTCAACTGAAACAAGAAAGATGGCTGCTCAAATTATTGGAAATATGTACTCATTAACTGACCAAAAAGACTTGACACCTTATTTACCTAGCATAATACCAGGATTGAAGAATTCTTTATTAGATCCAGTTCCAGAAGTACGAACAGTATCTGCACGCGCTCTTGGAGCCATGGTTCGAGGAATGGGAGAGACAAGCTTCCAAGATCTATTACCTTGGTTAATGCAAACTCTTACATCAGAAGCTAGTTCAGTTGATAGGTCTGGTGCTGCTCAAGGTCTAAGTGAAGTAGTTGGTGGACTGGGTGTAAGCAAGTTGCATAGTTTGATGCCAGGTAAATATAATTAAAACAACTTATTATTAATGTCACCAAATAAATAGACTAAATATTATAATATCATTTATATTTTTTGTTTGTACCAAACAATTTTAGCTTCTTTTTTATAATGATATGCTTCATTAATAACATCCTATTGTAGCCTGCCTAGGACTGGGTACGTGACTTGGGGTTTATTTTAGTCTGTGCGCTTTGTCTAGTAAGAAATATGTTTAAAATTAGGGTTTTATTTAACATATTCCACTTAAGTTTTGCCTTGTCTTTTGGTCTCTAGTGAAATAATTTATTTTTTGAACACAATTTTATTTTATGAAAAAATTCAAATTTTTTTAGTTACGTTTCTAGTGGTACAAGTTTATAACAAAACTATAACTAAGATATTTATGAGAATTTTTTGGGCGGGCAAGTCAACTTAAATTCCTTTAGCCGTATTTTATCGTCCACTATAATTTATAAATATATATATATATATAAATTATATAATTTATATACATATGTATTACATTTATATATAATATAAACACTTTTTTTTACATTTTTTTTATTATAGCCTTTATTAATAAAAAATATTTAGCCCAATAAGATTATAAACACTTAATTTGTATTTTTTTTTTTGCAGAAATAATTGCAACAGCCGAACGTACTGATATTGCGCCTCAAGTTAAAGATGGTTATATCATGATGTTCATTTATATGCCTGGTGTATTCAATGATGACTTTATTCCTTATATAAATCAAATTATTACCCCTATTCTCAAAGTAAAATATAGTTTAATTTGTTGATAGTTTGCCATAAAATTTAATAATAGAAATTTATTTTAATTATACTTATACTTTAATAGGCATTAGCGGATGAAAATGAATTTGTTCGTGAAACAGCTCTAAAAGCGGGTCAACGTATAGTTAACATGTATGCTGAATCTGCTATTCAGCTATTATTACCTGAACTGGAACGAGGTTTATTTGATGATAATTGGCGTATTCGATTCAGGTATCTTATGTCTAATTATTTCATAATTAAATAGTAGGAAATAATAAATTTTGGTATCAGAGAAAAATGGAAAACGAGTTTCCGATGATTATTTTCTACAAGAGTGTTAATAGTCTTACTGTAATATATATTTAAGAAACATTATGTAGTATAGCACGTTTATAAAAATAAAAATTTTTGATACTTTTGCATTTTAGTTCAGTCCAATTACTAGGTGATTTATTATACCGTATTTCTGGTGTATCTGGTAAAATGAGTACAGAAACAGCAAGTGATGATGATAACTTTGGTACAGAACATTCTCATAAGGTAATATTAATTCAGTTTAATGGTGAAAAATTAAAAATTAAATAATTATTGTGGTAATCATAAGATATTTGTATTAAAAAGTATAATTTGTTATGCTTTAATGTTTTGAAAATATATGTTTAAATTTACGCTTTTAGGCAATTATTGGCACTCTGGGAGCAGAAAGGCGTAACAGAGTATTAGCCGGTTTGTATATGGGTCGTTCCGATGTTGCTTTAATGGTACGACAAGCTGCATTGCACGTTTGGAAAGTGGTTGTAACAAATACACCACGTACACTAAGAGAAATATTGCCAACATTATTTACTTTATTGTTGGGATGTCTGGCAAGTACAAGTTTTGACAAAAGACAAGTAGCTGCAAGAACATTAGGAGATCTAGTGCGAAAACTAGGAGAACGTGTTTTACCTGACATAATACCTATACTAGAAAAAGGTTTGGAATCGGAACACGCTGATCAACGACAAGGTGTCTGTATTGGTTTATCAGAAATTATGGCATCCACCAGCAGAGAAATGGTATTGACTTTTGTCGATAGTCTTGTACCCACCGTCAGGTAATCTTTTTTTTAAATTAAATTTCTTCATATCCATTTGTATAATTAATAAACGAAAATAGAGTCTCACGTTAGAGTGTGTCCATAAGATAAACAAAATATGGAAACTTGGAAACCTATACAATGTTATTAAGAAGACAATATATTCCATCTATGTACGAGTATATTAGGAAATACAAATATATTATTTAGGCGATTAAATGATATTTAATGTATCAATTTAGAATTTTTGTGTGATTTTAAAAACCATCATGAGAGAGGGATGGTGATTTCCCAATATATTGAAAAAAATTAATTATTAGTTATTACATTAATCGTGAAAAAACAATTTAAATTTATATTTTTAACACTAATCAAATTTTCTAAAAGTCATAACTTGTCTAAGGTTAAAAACTGAAAAAATAAACAATTTATGATTGGTACTAAGTGTAAAATTTTAATAAAATCTATGCAAAAGTAAATGGGGTGGATATAGGCGTGGAATATCCCATGTATACTAAGGGGTTTCAACCCCTTTGATTTTTATTTCTATTTGCTATTTGCTGAACTTTTATTTTGGAAAAATATACACATAACAAATGATATGCACATAAACACCGCTAATTGTAATGTAGCCGATGGAAGAGTATTTATCACCCTTTATTATAGCTTTACTTTTATATGGCTATTAGTAGTGTAGCTTACATCATATATATTTTTTGTAACTTATATTTAATAAATACTATTAAAATTTATTTTTATAATATATGTTTATTTTTTTCAAGTCGAGCATTAACTGATCCTTTACCTTCTGTGAGACAAGCTGCTGCTAAAACATTTGATAGCCTTCATTCAACTGTTGGTCATCGTGCATTAGATGATATATTACCTCCTATGTTAAATAATTTGGTACTAATTTCTTGTTTATAATAATAAATAATTGTTATATATTGTTATTTTATAAAAAAAATACATTTTATTTTCTAGAATAACCCTGATCCAGAAATTGCTGAAAGAACACTTGATGGATTACGCCAAGTAATGGCAGTCAAATCGAGAGTTGTTTTGCCTTATTTAATCCCTCAGTTAACTCAGCCTCCTGTTAATACAAAAGCATTGTCAATTTTAGCATCTGTTGCTGGTGAAGCACTTAATAAATATCTACACAAAATATTACCTGCTCTATTAACTGCTTTATCGAAGACTGAATCTGCAGCTGATGTAATTAAAGTTGTGTTAATTAGAAGAAGAAAATATATAAATTTATCACTTTTTTTTTTTATAGGAATTGATTTACTGTCAATCTGTGGTATTAGCAGTTTGTGATGATGCTGGAACAATGGTTGATTTATTATTAGATGCTACACAATCAGATAATACTTCTCAAAAACAATCAGCATTACAATTATTAGCAGCATTTTGTACTCACACAAAAGCAGATTATAGTTCTTGTGTACCAAAACTATTACATGGTATTATTTTTCAGTTCAAAGATTCCGATGAGAAAAATTTACAATTAGCATGGGAAGCATTGAATGCTGTTTGCAAAGTATACTTACATTTTTTTTTTTTTACATTATATTTGATACATAGTTTTAATATGAGACTGTTAAATGATGTGTTATGTTTTAGTCTGTTGATACAAAGCAAAGTAACCATTTAATATTTGAAATACGACAAGCAATTAAATTTGTAATGAGCGACAATAAAAATTTAGAACATTTACCTGGATTCTGTATATCAAAGGTAAATTAAAGAGTATTAAAATAAAGTTCTACAATAGTATCAAAAGTTTGAAGTGACAATTGACAAGAGAGTACCTCTGTTTTTAAAAAATAATTTTATTTTATAAATTAATATTTTATTAAAATAAAAATTTATTCCAATAGTTTTATAATTTTTTTTACAAAATATTACATATTATTTTTAATAATTAAATATAATAATGATTATATTAGCTGAAACCTTTTTTAACTACATAATAATTAGTATATAGAATAAAATGACTATAACATGAAATTTTGATAACCTATTTTAGTTGTTTAAAGAATCAAGTGTTTTAGTGGAAACTAGCTTATTATAATTTAGATGAGTAACTTTCAATAAAAAACATTTTTTATCAGTGTAACTACTACTATAAAATTATATTATAACTATTATATACAGTTTTTTTTTTTTTTTTAGTAGCCTTTATTAATAAAATATTATATACAGTTGTTAAATTGTTTTTAGGGAGCTGATCCATTTGTTCCTATCTTTAGAGAAGCCATTCTTAGTGGAAGTCCAGAAATTAAAGAACAAGCTGCACAAGGTTGGGGAGAAGTTGTAAAAGTTACAGCTAAAGAAGGATTAACATCACCTGTACTGAACATGACTGGGCCACTTATACGTATTTTAAATGAACGTTATACATGGAGTATTAAATCTGCGATATTAGAAACGGTTGCTTTGTTATTAGCGAAGACTGGTAGTAATTTAAAGCAATTTTTACCTCAGCTACAAACAACGTTTTTAAAATCTCTACAAGACCCAAATAGACAAGTTAGACTTAAAGCAGCCAACGCTTTAAGTCATCTTATTGTTGTACATTCCCGCACGGAAACCATTTTTGTTGACCTTCATTCTGGAGTAAAAAATTCTGAAGATATGGCTATAAAGTATATATATATATATTTTTTTAAATGAGACATTTTTAACAACCACAATTTTTTTATGATAACTTTTTTACTATAGGGAGACAATGCTTCAAGCCTTGCGTGGTGTCATTTCTCCAGCTGGAGACAAAATGTCTGACCAGGTTCGCAGAACTGTATTTATGACATTAAGGGAAGGATTGGGAAATCCAGAAGATAGTATCAGAAGTGGTACAGCTGGCTGTCTTGGAGCTTTATGTAAATGGTTATCTCCCGAACAGTTAAATGTTGCTTTAAATGATCACATTTTAGGTAAATAATATAAATAAATAATCAAAAAATCGATTTATTTTTTCTACTAGTTTCTTAGATTTTGATAGTTAAACTCAAAAAGTACGAACTATTAAAATTATACACATAATTTAAATAGTTTTTATTTAGATAGTTTGGTATTTTTAACATATTATAAATTATATATGTATATATTTTATCTTATTTAACTTAATCTATATTTTCATATCCCAAATACTGATTTTTCTTATAGTCGATGATATATCTTTGGATCCAGTATTAAGGCATGGTAGGAGTTCAGCATTGTTCGTTGCTCTTAAAGAATCCGCAGATTCAGTATATAGTGCACAATACAGTGATAAAATTTTAAAAACAATATTAAGCCATTTGCAATCGGATAAGGTAATTTATTTTTAAACTAAAAAATCAGTTGGTTGAAAAAAGAAATGCAGCAGGTGTTATATCACATAACTATAGTGGCACAGCATACTCTTCTTTGAGAATTGAATTTTCATTAAACAGTTAAAGTAAATATTACATTCGTAATATTTACTAATTCTCTATATGACTGACTCTACTAATTCTGTTATATGATATAACTTATTCTGTGATGACACCTCCTAATGTTACTTTTTTAGGTTTCAATTATCATGAATGGAGTTAGAAGTTGTGGATATCTGTTTTTGCATTTAATGAAGATTGGAGTAATAATTCCTTCACAAATTTTAAGCCCATTCATACGAGTATGTAATTAATAGTCAACTCTCAATTATTAATTTATTACATTAAATAACTATTTTTTAAATTACAGTTGATGAATCAAGCTAGCAATGAAGTCAAACAATTAGTAGCACACATATGCTTATATTTAGGAAAGTCTAATATTACCTTGTCTTCTGAGTTCTTAAAATCAGTTATTCCAATGCTAGTAAATGGTTCTAAAGAAAAGAATTGTTATGTTAAATCGAACAGTGAAATAGCTCTTATTGCAGTACTTAAGTTGCAACAAGGAGACACGATTTTACAAGTAATTATTAATAAAAATTAAGTACTAAATTAATTAACCCAATTAAGCAAATTATGTTTTTAGTAGTACTTTTGAACTAAATATGATATAATAATACCTAATTATTTATAATTCATGGTAGCATAGTCATCCTTAGCCCTTTGAAAAGCAACGATGTGTTTATACAATTTTAAAAGTTTTGCCATGAAGAGTGTTGACGTAGATATACGTTTTTACCCCAAATGTGTTTGTTGTCTTTTTATAATATATTGTTATCTAATAAACCAACATTATATTACCCAGGGCGAATTATGTGCTTCACTCTGTTAGCTATAATTTAGCTATTTTAAAAATAAGAAGTATATGTACGCCATTTGCTCCAAGATTTAAAATCTTTTTTTTCTATTATTCTCCATTTCTAATCCAATCTCTACTTATAGAGTAGCATCTGTGTATTCTGATTCGATCGTCAAAGGGTTAATACACTATCTTGTACACTTGTATAAGCATTAATATATGTGTATAAATTATTAACACAGATCTAGAAATTGTAATTGATAGATAATAAACCACATTATTATCACTCCACTATATATTATTTTTCTAAACTACTAGAATGTAAAAACATCTTTCCCTCTCTTTTTTCCTCCTACGTCTGCTCTGCTTTTCGCATTTCCTTCAATTCTTCTGTTGTGCCAGCGCTTGGTAATGTGCATTACCAAGTACTGATCTTGAAATTTCTTATTTCTATCACTGATAAGTAATAACCCTGATAAATTATTGCAATTAATAATTTTTTTTATATTGACGACAGGCGAACCCAAGAGTTTGATATATAAATTAATTAACACATTTTTTTTAAAAATATCATAAATAAATACTAATGGCAATTAAATTAACCCAAATTAAACATAGGAAGTGATAAAGTTTTATACTCTAAGATCTGTGCTTGATAACTATAGAAAAACAACGCATAAATAGTATATCCAATTATTTTTATATTATGTTATTGAATGTTTTTTATGCAGCCTGGACTTGAAATGGAGGTAATTAAAAACATAATGTTTACAAGAAGTCCATTGTAAATGTATAATTATTGTAATATTAGTTACTAAAGCATGTTGTTAAAATGTTTTAGGCTTGCTTGAACCTACTTGATATTGGAGCTCGAGAAGCATTGAACGATGTTATAAACAAAGTATTACGTAAAGTTTCATTACAAGTTGATAGTAAAGTCGAAGAGCCGGATGATACATTAATAACATAAAACTTGATTCAATTGTATTAAATAATTAATATATATATATACTTATGTATTATCAATTCAAAATGAAAATTCATTTTTATTAATAACTATTAAATTGTGCCTACATCTAAAAAAAAAAACTACCACAGTATAAAATCTCCCTGTAATACATTACCATTGATTTTAAGTTAGTAATTTTAATCAATGGTATTATATATTCTATGCCAGAAATGTTGTACTTCTTTTTACCTGTATAACGATGGCATTTGCCTGACATATTATTAGTAATAATAGTATTGTTCATGACTGGTGGATATCGTTACTTCCAAACCAAACCTGGGAGGTCTAATATGTCAGACAGCACCCTGGTCTGGGCGCATAATACAAATAGAAATATATAATAGCTAGAGGAGAGGGAGTGACGTGACTTGCCCTAGGGGACAGTATTCGCATCCACCTATAGACTAATCAGTTGGCATCTTACCATCTACGCGCTAATATCTCATTTTATAATTACTTAATTATTTGGCATCTTATTTATATTTTTGTGCGTGTCACTCCACCAGTTATAACTCTGGATTCCCACGGACCAGGTAACAGGTGTAAACCTTTATATATATATATTTATTTATTTATTTATATATATTGTTTCAGTCATTTGAATCAATAACTAATTCTTAACCGGCGTTAAGCCTGTTTTTTAAATATATAATATTGTACGTTGCTACTTGAGAGTTTATTTTATTTACTTAAAGGTACGATCAGCCCTTTTACTCTTTTGGGCGGTTATATAAATTTACAAAGTGTTTCTAGGGATATTTTTTAATGGTAACAATAGGATCATTTTCACCAATTGCCAATTTTCTTGTATAATGTATACAAGCATATTCAATTAAGTCGCATTATTTTGAGTCATTGGCTTATACCGTGTCGCATTTAATTTGTTTATCTCTCAAATGCCATCGGAGCTAAAATAATAAATAGCATTCAGTTACAAGAATATTGTAAAAGTCAAAATGAATAAAATATCTTAAATAAAAAAAACTGATTATACCTTCCAAGTCGCAAATACATTATTTCAGTACTAAGTTAGTTATTAACCAACGACAAAACTAACGAGTGAATTGAAACTAATATTTCTCTGTTAATAAATTCCTGTATAAAAAATGGATCTTTATCCTCTAATTGATTTGGTGGACATTGTAATAATGCCCGTAACTCATGACTGGTTGAATATCTTTCCAAATAAATGGCTTAATACATATTTGATAGCTAAGCAAATACATTAAATTTTAAACAGAAGTAACCATTGTTTTTCTTTATTTCCTTACTTTTCATATAATACACGTGCTTTTTTGCCATAGGTGTATCCTACTAGCGCTTTGTGAAGTCTAACACAGTTTACGAAAATAATAAAGTTTTATGGGATCCTAAGTGTGTTTACTTTAAAAAATTTAAGAGTATATTGAAAAACGTATTAAATATAATTTGTACACTTCATATTAAAAATATTTACTATTTCTTAATACAAAATATCACTAATTTTATCTACTTTACAATCTGCTGGTATTACATTTATGGCTTTTATTAACAAGCCGAAAAACCGTGGTACACACAATAAATAAATTAATTGTTAAACTTTTTCAACACTTCTTATTTGACTTAACATAATAAGTTTTAGAGCCCAAAAAATCAATCAACTAAGATTAATTAGCTAAAAAAGAATACTATTTTCTTTATAACTAATAATTTTATAAGCGCGATAATAATTTGTTTAATTATTAAAAGTTACTAAATTTTACCAACAATTTTAAAAATATTAAATATAAATTTATATGAATTTGGATAAACAATCAAATACTTGTTGTTTTTAAGTTTTAAAGACCGAAATACGTTTATAAATATTAATTTATAAACGTAAATAAAAAACGTAATTTAAGTAAAAAGTAATAAATAACGTAATTTACTTTTTTATCTGTAATTTTGTAAAAAATTTTGGCGGTAACTCTTAATTTGAATCGCTAACATGGTTAGGTACCACAAAATTCGGGATAACACAGTTACCACGAATGTTGCGTGCTACGATGTTATGTTACTCCGACATTTTTATTACGAATGACAATTGCTTCGACGGCAATTGACACGAATACATTTACAACGAAAATATGTTTTCGCTTTTATTTTTTATGCCACGATTTACAGTTACATCAAAGTTCCATTTTTAATTATTGCTTCGAATTACATTTACCTCGAATTCCTGTTACATCGACATGACTTATCAAAAAATCTTAATGTTATGATTTCGCTATTTTATAGGACATTTACATTGATAAACATTATATGGACCTTAAATTCCATTTACACTGACATGACCCAACAAATAATTTATATAAAACTATAAATAATATAATCTGAGTAAAAACAAGTTTAAAATTGTTCAGCAAGAAGTAACTCAAAGTTAAAATAACATTAAGGGGACCGCAGCATGTTTTTTATAAAAAAATATTAAGTATAAATATCAAAGAAATTAAAAAAGGCCAACCCATTGATAAAGTGTTTCCCTGTACATTGTGAGAATTTAGTAAATCTACCCCTTAAGGGGGTCGGAGCACAACTAGTTTCATGCGTTTTAGCGGTGCTTAATTAGACATACTTCTCAATGTTGGATTTTTAAAGTATGTGTGGATTTGTTGACAAATTGTCTGGGTTTCTTAGGAAGCCCATTTTTGATTTAAAATGTTATGCCTAAAATAAACTCAAATAAACTATCATTGAATTTTCAAAAAAAATAAAAAATAAATTTGGAGATCTTTAAAAGAGAAAATTAAAAATCGCCTTCCTAAAAAACCTTGAAAATTTGTCGAAAAATGCATACATGTATTAAAAATTAAAATCCAACATTGGGAAGTATGTCTAATTAAGCACCGCTAGCAGATGATATTTACCAATATAAAGTTAACAACATTTTTATTTTAACGTTGTAACTTACTTTATTAATAACTAGAATTCAATTGAATTGAATAAATTACCACTACTGTGCTTACCAGTCGTGAGTACATTGGTTGCTGGCTGAAATGTGTGTTACTATGCTGAAACGGCTGCGATAACAACCGTCTCAGACTTCAGTTGTTTTTCAGCTTTTCACGAGCAAACGACATTTTTGTTGGAAATACAGTTTTTGCGTTTCAAGTATTATATCTAATATTCTGAAATATGTGCTCTATGGAGAAGATTTTGTGGGCCGGCGGCGCCGTTTTAACGGTAACTGGCGGCGGTTACCTGCTCTATAAGGTATGCGTATGAACATACATATTGTTTGATGACATGTTCAATGACACACCTTCGACCAGGGCTCGCTGTTTTGTCAGTGTCAGCACAATAGTTATTAGTTTAAATAAAAATTGTTCTCGTGTTCAAGGCCAAAAAGAAATGGTGGGACGCGGCACCGGTAGAACTTGAACCTGTAGAACCCGTACCGGTAGAACTTACATCGGCTGAACCCGCACCGGTACAACTTGCACCTGTAAACCCTGCACCGGTAGAACCCGCATCGGTAGAACTTGAACCTGTAAAACCCGCACCGGTAGAACTTACATCGGCTGAACCCGCACCGGTACAACTTGCACCTGTAAACCCTGCACCGGTAGAACCCGCATCGGTAGAACTTGAACCTGTAGAACCCGCTCCGGTAGAACTTGCACCGGTAGTACCTGCGTGTTACTACCACGACAGATACGGGTCGGCGGCGCACAGATGTCGTCCTCCGTGCGGCTACAGGCCAACTGAGGCAGGACAGCCGGAGCCACCGTGTGTGTACCACAGGCGACACGGCGCGGATGCAGTAAACTGCATACTGCCGTGTGGATTTGCAGGAGTGCAGGAGTACGGCATAGGGGAGCCCGTACCATATTGCATATACCATCGACGGTTCGGTCCGGAGGCGGTGAACTGCCGAGCCCCGTGTGGCTTTAGGGCCATACACTGAGGTAACACATTCATTAGTTTCCACAAAAAGCAACATACTGCAACGCGTTGATAATATTTCTTTGTCAGTCTCCTTTTTTTTTCTCTCTGTTAATATTGAACCCAGGTATATTTAACTTGTTTGACTCTACTGAACTCATATCTACAGACTTTCAGGTGTGGAAAAACGGCCGTACTATCGTGTTGGAGACCACTACAATTATTAGTTGTCTACGGCCGCCGTGTTTGAACCCATCACGTTGTTTTTTCTCTCTATCTATTCAAGCTGTCATCCCTGTGGTCGCATTCATTTTGTTGACCGCCGTCTCAGCCATCCTCGCCGTGGCCGTCATTCATGTGGTTGGCCGTCGACTAAGTTTTGTAAATTAATAGTTATTTAAGTTTATGAGGAAAAATTGTCCTTTTTATTCCCTTTCTCGTGAAAACCTTAGTGATACTAATACACTTAATTAATGATCACCTAATAAATATGTACTGTGTTAATACGGATGTTGTTGTTTAATATGTTAGGGAACTCGGGGCAATTGCCCTGGTGTCGAAACACTTAAGCTAAAATATTATGTACTTACTCGAAATAAGTTTATCGACACAAGGGCTTTAAAAACCAAGTCGCTATTTTACTACTTTATCTATTTTACTAGAGCTTCGCTCTAGCTGGGAGCTCCGCCCCCAGGCCCCCGAGTCGGGCGGTTAGGTCAAAGATTCCTGGTACTGTACCCGGCTACGCCGGGCACGCTCACGTCCCCTCGCTGCAAAGTATTTTCGGGGAGGTCACAGATTCCGAGGGGGGTGCCCGGCTGCGCCGGCCACGGTGTCGAGCCATCGCAATACGTCTTAAAGAAATGACGTTATAATTCATGGTACCTATAGGCTGTATCTAGTAATCAGAATTCATACCTAGTTATGGACAAATATTTGCAAGCTAAGTACTGATTAAGTGTAGAGTAAGTCTAGCTATGTATCTGTAATTTTTTTAAATTTTAAATTGAAAAGAATAGTCTAGAAGTTAGACGGTTAATAAATATCAAGTGTCCGGTGTTGCTTACTTGGGTTGCTACCACTTTTACCAATTTTTATGAACTAACAATGTCCAGTTCCTTATCAGCGGGCGGAATTCGTATTGAAAACTGATAAGGACGGCAGGTCTCCGAGTGT